GAAATTGTTTATACAGGGAAACAATTTCATTCTTCACATTAAAAATTAAAGGAAATTATAAAGTGTTATACTTATGAAATATTTCTTATAAAAGCTTTTGTTTTTATTTAAATTACAGTATTTTTGATTTGTAATCGTTTGATATGGGATGCCATAAAATGAAAGGTATTTGGTGGGCGTTCCGTTATCTTAAAAGATTAGATACCCCTGTTCTAGACTGTAGTTACCGTTTACAAACAGACGAGCTGAATTCTTGTTTACCATCTTCGTGGTACATATAAAAATAAGCACCAAGTCCCTATTAGGACAGAGATAAATGGTATAAAAACGAGAAAATTTAAAATTAACCATTGTATGGGCCTCCGGTTTTAAATTAAACTAAATATTTGCACTATAAAAAATGTTAGATGAAATTACTGTGTGCCTCAAAATCTTAAGGTCACAAGGGTCGTCTAAAAATAAGATCGGTCTTTACAGAAAGCACAGTTATGTATTTTTCGCGTATATATAATGTCACTGTGTAAGTAATAAATAATTATTATTTGTTAAAAACTGCGATTAAATAATATATTATTAATAAATATTATAGTAAAATGTTATGTATATGTTTCATCTCTAAACCGCGATTATTTCTACTCTTTCAAAAGATTAACTGGTAAAGAATTATTCTAGATCTTTTGATAAATGCTACATCTACCCATGCAACCAGGGGGGAAAGGGATTGTTAACAATGGAGTTTAACTGCCCCATTACTAGCAATATGCCCTATTAGGTCGACCTTTAATCGTTATTCGTCACGATGGGCTAACTGACCTTTCATCCTCGCTTATCATCTTTCACTGGTGCCCCGCCGGGGTATACCGTAAGCAGGGGTGGGGTTACCATTCAATTATCACACATTAAAAAAAATATCCATGCAACCAGAAAAGATATACGAAATAAATTATAGTTTTAATTTATTAGGTTTTGTATATAGTAAAGTATAAATAAATAAACCTACTTAATTTTGGCCCCAAATACGATTGAGAAGTACCATGAGTATCACAGTATATTCTGTAATTTCTATGATGTCTATTGGCAATAGTTACTTTATTAGATGGGCCGTCAAATTATTTGTATTTTCAAATTGCATAAAAAAAGGTAATAATAAACATTTGGACACCCACCAGTATAACATAATTACTGCCTTAATCAATTTGTATACTCGAGTTGGTTATAATTTATTTTCTATTCGCAGCTTGATCTAATTATATTTATACACAAGTCTGAATTAACTCGATGGCTAAGGGATTTATCTAAAGCAATTTGTCGCGCGGCAATTAAATAATTATAACAATAGAATTATTAGGCAAATCTACTTTTACAATAGAACGTTATACATATAATTCGAATTTAAACTTATTTCACCTTATTCTTATCTTTCCTACCTTATTATTTCTTCTATATTTTATTATCTTTCCTACCTTATTATTTCTTTTATATTATTATATTATTATTTCCTACCTTATTATTATTCTTTCTTACCTTATTCTTATTTCACATTTCGATAATTGCGCTAATTCACTATAGCTTTCAACTGACTTTAAGATATAAATCTAAGAGCGTTCGTGACCAAATATTAGAGCGTCGCAAATAATTGTCAATTTTCAAAAATACATGAACATTTGTTTTTTGAGCCACGAGTCCGGTGAAGCTGCAAAAGCCATCTGCGGCCAACAGCACTAACGGTTAGAAAAAAAAAGTTAAGCCACAATTTCTTTAGAACTTAATGGTCGAGGAATAGGCAGCAGCGTCCCTCTTAAAACATCACAAGGCCTAACTGTGGTTGCCAACCCGACTACCAACTACTAGCGAAACGTTTAAATAGAGGATAGCATTGTTTAGCAGTGGATAGTTAACGTCTCCCTTTAACGCCTGTTTAGCCTCCCGTAGGAGTGCAGCTTGTTCCCGGATATTAATTTCCAGGTTTTTTAGCTAATTTAATTTCCTTCTAAGTTTTCCTCACTATTTACTACCATGTCCCCTTCATTCCTCATTTTTCATTCCACTTTTATTTAAATACAATTTTATAACTGCGCCTGCCGACTACTGCAAAACCCTAACTTAACGGCCAATATGGTGTAACAAGTAAAATCGACGACAGCACTATTTCGTTAAGATGGCGGCTTAGCAATTCTTCGCTATTCATACTCATTTCAGTTTTCAAAACTCATGTACCTACTCATTTACCATTCACATCACGCCCAAAACTAGAAAATTTAGGTACAGCGAAAGTGAAGCGAGCTGCGAAACAAGTGCGAATCTTTCCAGAACAGCAGAACGGAATATCATAGTCGAAACATCTTATTCTCGGAAAATTTAATTACATTTATATTATAAAGAAAATTTTTGTAATTTTTCTCTTACGTGCCCTTTAGCGTTTGTAGGGCAGATAAATCATATTGTTACTCTCTATGTAATCTACTTGTGTAAACAAAATACATATCTCAATGAATAATATATATTCTTATATGCCGTGTACCTATACAAATAGCAAGTTATGCGTATTAACTAAGTACTAATACCTACCGATCCGGCCCGACCTTGCTTAGGTAGATAGAACTTTTAAAAATAATGTTATAACCTATGTTACTTATAAATTAGATAGAAATCTTCTTATGTCGGGAAATAAAATCAGTTCCACCCTGGTTTTTTTTTTTACAATGGTGTGGTAACCCCGCCTACGCTAACGGTATACGCTAGCGGGGCACCAGTGAGGGATGATAAAGAACATGAAAAGTTAGCCAACCGTAAAAAATACGCTAGGAAATCAGCGCGATGGTTTCCAGGAGGGACCATGGGAGGTCGATCTGACAGGGTTTATTGCTAACAATGGGACTGGTATTCCGCATTACTAACAATGCCTTCCCACCTGAATGAAGGGTACCATGAGAATCAGTGTATTCTGGGATGTCCACGGTATTGTTCATGTATATAGGCGACGGTAACCGCTTTCCAACAGGTGGGCGGTCAGCTTATTTGGCATTTAAAGTATCATATATAAAAAAGCTTCCCGTAGGTACTAATAACACAGTCCATACAGTTGTTAAGTTAGTATGGGATTGAGAGGCTTAATTATATTTATTCAACTTTTTTTGACGTCCTGAATATTTAATACAAAGAAATGCTGTGCAAACAATCTATAGCGTGAAAAGATTCCTATTTTTTTTAATGCAACTTATAATGGCAAACAAGCTGACGGCCCACCTAATGGAAAATGGTAACCGTCGCCTATAAACATGAGCAGTACCATGGACATAACAGAGTATACTGTTTCGCCCATGATGCCCCCCATGCGTTATCATTCCTGAGCAATCAGGTGTTATTCCTCTGTACCCTGTAAATTCACTACCATATCCCACCCTTCAAACCGAAAGACGGCGATGTAACCACAACTGCAGCAGACGATTTTTTTAGTCTCCCTCTGGCATTATAGTTTATTATACCTACCTACGTCTAGTGACTTGCATTTCATCATGTATAATATTTGTATTACTATTTGGCATCTTGTATAATAATATTATATTTGTATTACTATATGGTGGATACCTATTACACTTTCAAATTACATGCTTAGTGTAACACTTCTAGAATACTAAACTGAGTATTCGCAACGAAGACCTTTTATTACAAGTCTGCATTGTAAAATGATCGCGTTACCAACCTTGCAATAATAGAAGTTAACAGACAAACCACGTAGACACTTGTAACCTAAATTGTTGCAGCAACAATGACATAACTCGAATCTGATCTGTCAATCACTTTCAATAATCCATTTCTAAATAAATATTATAAAGAGGAATTTTTTTTTTTTGTAAATTTGTAATAGATAAACTCAAACTCGATTCTAAAGTTTCTTTCACCTATACAAAACTATGTTATCAGCGAATAACATAGCCCATGTCATTGTATCAGCCGTTAACTAACCACCGCTGAACATAGCCTTTCCTCCATAAGAGGGATTTTACAAGTAGTTACTACGCTTGGAAGGCGAGTTGGCAACCGCAGTTTAGCTTTTGGTATACGTATAGATTATATATTACTTTAAAAAATCAACGATCCTTACGAAATTAGACTTTAAAGGACTAATATATACTAAGTTCCTAATAGCTTAAAACCCTGCTAAGTTCTGCCAGTGTAAGACTTAAATTAAATTAAAAATAATAAAATTAAAATTTTATTAAATTTGGTTTAAGTAAAAGATGCGCTAAAATATAATGCACCCGAATTATCTGCTTTGTTAGCTGTCAGCTCTCAAGTTAATAACTGAAAGCAGGTAGGCTATAACAGCTGATTTTTTTTTACGACACAGAGTGCAAACGAACATGCGGCTCACTTGGTGGTAAGCGACTACCGCCGCCCATGATCACCCATAACATTAAAGGCATTGCAGGTGTGCTGCCGGTCTTTTAAAAAGGAATATACTCTTTTCTTGAAGGTTATGTTGTCGTATCGGTTCGAAAATACTGCTGCTGGAAGTTGATTCCAAAGAGTGGTTGTGCGTGAAAGAAAGTGCCTTGAAAAACGCACGGTGGAGGATCGCCACACGTCCAGATGGTTGGGATGAAATTTTAGTTTGTGGCGGGTAGTACAATGGTGAAAATCAGCAGCAGGTATCAATCCGAGCAATTCCTCAGAGCACTCCCCATGATAAATTCGATAGAAGATGCACAGAGATGCAAAATCTCTACGCAGTTTCAGTGGGTCAAGTCGGACAGTAAGGCGTTGACTATCAATAATTCGAGCTGCCCGACTTTGAATGCGGTCTAACGGAAGGAGTTGGTACTGTGGCGCTTCTGCCCATAGGTGAGAACAGTATTCCATACGTGATTTCATTATAGTAAATGAATAAGACTAAATTGTTGCCATACACTACCTTAAAAGGGCGTTAAAAATGTCGAGTTCCCCTGTGAATGTGGGAAGACTTTCTGTGCTAGTATAGTTTAAATAAAACTACGATCACAACTCTCCATCATATATATTATCACATAAACAATATATGAACCCACACATTACAAACACATAAAGCGGTCACAACAATGGCAACACTGCCGTTCTTTTACCAAATCTATATTTGTGACAAGTATTAGTCTTTAAACCGTGTTGGTACATAATCCACATATACAGTATGTTAATTGACGTAGCCCATTCATTAAAACTAGTGTTAGTGTTTCATGAATAGGGCCTGAAAAAAAAATCTCAGTAATTTTTTATAGCACTTAAAACTAAACAAAAAAATAGAAAAAAGAACCTGTGTCGATGGTAATACACAGTGTAAGATATGTACATACCTATTTATATATAGTACCGTCGACACAGATGCAGGTTGCTCCCTTTTTTAAAAATTTTCAATACTTTTTAATTTTTAGTAATAAAAAAAGAATTCTATTAGAAAAAAACTTGTGACCCTAATACTAAATACTAATATTTGTTTTAAGTGATGGGTTACGCAAATTATCAACTGTATAAACTTTCTATTTACTAATAAACCGTATATGAACCAACAAATTTATCCAAAATAATTCTTTAAGTAATTTTAAGGACAAAACTATTTATGTGATTAAATTACTATAATAATAAGTACCTATTGAATATAATTATGCCATGAACATGTAAGTTTTTCAAAGAATTTGAAACGAGTTAATTTCAAATTTTCACATTCTTTACACATTTTAAATTCACGATTGGAACTTAACGTTATGTCGTTGCGTTTAGTCTCGATAGTGAATTAAAAAAAAATTAAAGTGACACTTAAAAATAAATTAAGAAATAACAAAAGTACATGTAAGGCAAACTGTTAGACATATTACGAATGGAAATATAAATTAACGAAAAAAAAAAGAAACACTTGTAACTTTTTATTAATTCATTTTATGTAATTTGTGTCTGTATACATTCAAATTACTTAGAAATAAAATTAAAAAAATTATGAAGTTATTTCATTTCATAGAGGTATATTACGTTTATTATAAATATTATATTTGCCACAAGTATAGATAATATTACAGACATTTCACTTACATACCAGACCATTTGGGATATCTTGAAAAATATATTTAAAAAAAAAAGTTATTTAAGCTTATTAATTATTATGAAAAATTTGATTGTTTGTGGCAGTTTTTATTTCTACTAATAACAAAAGTTATAGAAAATTCTAGTATAAATAATTAAGATCACCAATCTATAGCTATATCCACTACCCTACATTTTACGTCAGTTTGAAATTTATTTCCCCCACTCATACTAAAATTCTTTAGTGATTCTAACCAGAGCTAGAAAATTCAAATTATGGTAAAAAAAAAAATTTAAAACAGATTTTTTTTCTAATTGTCATCAAACTCATTACTCTGTTTTATTTATAAATTAAAAAATAAGTAATATTGTCTTTGATTCCACGTGGAGTAGGTACAAAATAGCCTCATAATTATACTGATACAGAAACATGTGGAAATCTCTTTGTAAATGTTCTCAAACAATCTTCGGAACATAATTATTATCTTTTAAAAAATAATCCATTTATATAATTTGATTAAAGGTAACTATGATAATATACTATAGCCATTATCTTGCACTACAACAATGTATAGATAAATATTTGATATAAAACCTGTAGAAATACCAGTGTATAATAAACTATAGATTGGTCTTTAAAAGTATTACAATGGAGCAAACTATCGTGTTAAGAATAACATTCAATAATAACGAATCAGCAATCGATAGAACAAAATTTTACTTTATCACAATTTTTTTTTTCAAACTGTGTGCGTTTTGAACTCAATATATTTAGTTTAAAACCTGTATATATAAGGTAATGATTTTCATATAAAAAAAAAAACTTAAAATCTTAGTCCCACGTTGGGCGCCAAAACCATTCTTGGCGCCCCACGTGGTTATTTAATCAGTGATTTAAATCTAATCAGTGAGACAAGTAACAGTATATGAAAAATGAGTACTCGCTAAATATTAAAACAATCGTTCAAACGACGCAATCAATTCTTACTTGACTAGCAATTGATTGTTTACATAAAATAAGAACAGCCAAATTAACGGCACAAGCCTTATAGACTATAAAGGATTTAAACACAGCACCAAAATTATGTTAAACATATTTTAAATATAAGGAAACATCACTTACAACATAAAAGATAGGTAACACCTATACAGTATTATGAAAATTGGTGCTTGTACAAGCTGTAAATTTATAAATGAAATAAAAAAAAAAGTACTTACTGTATTAACAACATTTAACAACTATTACGTTAAATCATGATTACATATATAAACTTTAAGGACATCCCTACATTATTTTAAAGGAATATATTTTTCCACAATATCGATACATGATTTTAAAGGAACATATGCTGAAAACATTTTATCCATTACATATATCTATAGAAAATCTTTTTTGACGATTGGTAACACTGATTTTAACAAACATAATTAAATTTTACGTACATTTGATAAACAATTTGATCGATTACTCTTTATAAATAACTGTATATATAAAAAAAACCTTTTATGCACAATATAGAAATTAACAATGCATTACATATTGTTATGCTTAAGTGCTTATATCAAGCATTGACTACTTCCACAACATGAAAATATTTGCTGCGAACTCTTTTTGCTACAATCCTCCATTGTAAAATGGTCAAGTTACAACCTTGTAAATATTAAGCGAGGTTAACAGACAAGCCACTTACACCTAAATGTGAAAATACAGTAAGAGAAACACGGATGGAATTCGTAAGAGTCGGAAACTGATAAACTTGTGTTTTCAGACAAGCGGCCAAAGATCGTAGACCGTAAGACCGCATAAATGTGTGCATAGTCCGTATACACGCATGCATATATATATATATCAAATATATATGTATATAATTATATATACACTATGTCAAATATATAAAGTATATAATACATATAAAATATACAATTAAAGACAAAATAGAGGGGATTCAGTCAAATAATGGACTCGACCCTAAGCAGGTTGTAACTAGATACTTATAAATTTACTAAAAATATAATATCTATAGAGTTCCACATTTTTGATAAGTGTTAAAGCCTTATCATATGTTTTTATTTAATTTTAATTCGGTATAGTTTTAATTTACTTAGACTCTACAATCAGAAATCTACATTTCTCGCATCCGTTCCCACTACCCGCGTCCCTCTTACTGTTTAAACCCTAAATTATTACTGCACACGATAAATATGACGTGTCACAAATTTAAATCACAGTCAGTCGCTTCTATTACCGATTATTGTAGTACAATATTAAAGTTAAAAAGGACAGAAAATCGGGGCCGTAAAGTATATAGAAAAAAAAAAGCTTTTTTAATTGTCATATTTACTGAGTGCTCACATTTGTTCGTATTGTTATGTTTACTATTGAACACGTTTAGGCGATAGCTATCAATCTAAACGCCTTCTTTGTAAACACTTGAATCTTCTAATAATCCTATTTTAACTAATGAAATGTTTCGTTTCTTTTTAATATATCTAAAAAGAAAGTGACGAAACACGCCAATACTTAAGATAGGTTTATTTTAATTTATACAATCTCAGCACGATTTAGGGACTATTCATATTTACTTTCATTCGTGACAGACCAAAAATAAGGCTATTTTTTTTTTGTCAGTATCGTTCTTACATTTGCATGTATCTGAAAAGCCCCTAAACCATTTGAATACGAATCAAAAATGTATCTTGTAGAATGCGTCCAAAAATACTCCCATCACAAACACAGTGTTTGTCATGTATATTTGATGAAAAATCTATGTTACTGACGTGACCATAGCAAATCTTTTATTTTTTTTTTTTTAATAATAATAAACGTGCAAGTTTCCATACTTTCCATATTTATAAAAATCAGAATAAACAAATATTAAATATGTATTTAAATTGAAAAATCTGTTATAAAAACAGCAAACTTGACATTAATTAATTATAATAAATAACAACAAAAGCATAAAGAATATTTTGGCATAGCTAATCTCGAAAACGATGAGATTCATTTTAGTCTTAAAATATTGCAAATGAATTTGGCATATTTACTTAGTATTAAAAGACAATAGCTTAACAACTCAAATAAAGTGTTACAAAGCGTTTAATTGTCGAGCAATTTAACTACACTAATAAATTATTTTAATAATAAATATAGTTTAAATATATTAAAAATGCACATTCTATAAAACCTTTACTTCCCAATCAATTGCTAAATACCCCATGCTAATTCCATTATCATCCTATCCACTTTTAGTAGTAACAAGGAAGCAATCGTTTGGCAATACATTCACATTAACTGGTGAACCCTAACATATCAAATCTGAGGGGAAGGGATTGTTAGTAATGGGGATGTTAATCCCCAATGCTATCAATGTACCCTATCAGGTCGACCTCCACGCTGTTCCCCCTGAAAACTACCGTGACTAATTTATCATTGAATTCGTCACGATGGACTAACTGACCTGCTTCATTCTCATCTATCATCCCTCACTGGTGCCCCGCCAGCGTATACCGATAATGCAGGCGGGGTTACCCTGCCATTTACAGCCATTAAAAAAAAACATATCAAATCCCATATATTCTTGCTAATAAATATATAATGATATTTTAAAGTATAAAAAGTTATTATCATTGCTTACCTGTAAGAAGATTTGTGATTGGTTCCCTACAGGTGGTTTCGATGTGCCGGCACCGGTACTGACATCCAAAGGGCATTAAAAAACACATATACTTTATGCACCTTGCAATGACAAACAGACTTATGGCCCACTCATTAAACACTGGCTGTTAAATTGGCTACACAGGTTACACTCTGGGTTTGTTATACGCGTCCGTGTAGCCTAACTTTAGGTTGCAGCTGAAAATCAGTGCTTTGCTTTTAAGCAAAACCATCATTGAGCTGTAGCCTATTTGGGTCACTGCGACACACTTGTTGAAAACATATTTCCATACTTCATCTTTTGTTTTATATTTAAAAAAATGTAAATAATCTAATTGTATAAACTCATTTGTGTAATTTACGTGTGTCATAAATGGCTCAAATAAAGTGTTTATCTATCTATCTAAGAATAACACCCGAGTCCTCAGGAATGGCAACGCATGGGGAGTATCATGGGTGAAACAGTATACTCTGTTGTCCATGGTACTGCTCGTGTCTATAGGCGACGGTTACCACTTTCCATCAAGTGGGCCGTCAGCTTGTTTGCCATTCTAAGATGTATAAAAATATATATATATATCTATCTATCTATCTATACCGGGCCGGCCAATGGAAAACCTCCTATGACTGATGTAAGCGAATGAATGATATGCGTATGAAATTGATCTATTTAAGTACGTTTTCAAAATTAAATTTTCAGTTATTCCATACGTTGTTTTACGTCAGTAACTAGGGTTTCCGATGTCGACTCGAAACATCAATCATTTTTGGACCGCTATTTTCGATTTTTTATATCGATCTTTGTGACGTAGATCGATTTATAAATCGATACAAAATTAAAATGGAAGTTTTCCTTTTCTCAATATATAATTGTAACCTTATTGTTGCTATATAACTAGCATTTTCTTTATAAAATTATTCCTTTCTGTAATTTTTCCATTAAAGGAAATGAAAGTCGAAATAAATTTTTCGAACATCGATTTTTAAATAAGAATGAGAACCTCTAATTTTAATCGATTCAAAGATCGATATTTTTACCAAGATCGGAAACCCTATCGGTAACTTTACGGTTTCCGTTCCCTTAACTAATTAAATGCAAACCTCAACTTTGGAGATTTTCATAACGCACCAAATTGGTACCTTATTTATTTTGTTTTCAAAAACCTTTAATAGTACGTTTCAGTTATACATGCGCAGGGCCCGGTTCGTTCTCGTTGAAGCTATGTTTCGAGACGACGTGTTTCCCTAGATCCGCTATGTCTTGATGTTCCCCGTGGGCGGCAAGATCGAAGTCGGAACCGGAGAGGGAAGCGATGTGATTCCAGTTGGAGTCTGTTATTTCTTCACCTGATTTAGGAAAAAAAGGATGGTATTAACAAATGAAGTTTGAAATAATATCAGAAAAAAAAATTGGTATACTTGGAATTCAGTCACTGAATATAAAAAAATTATAACTTATTAATTATGATCAAAAAGCATTTTACTAATTAAATTATGTAATTAAATATTGCAATTGCATAAAACTATTAATTAAATTGTAGTTCTGTAAAATGTACCCTCTTTGCTTGACTTTAATGTACTAAAAATTTGAAAGTATAATTATAAGACCAAAAGCTGTATGAACTTAGGCACTTTGCCTTCTTTTATTTCACTATTTAGTATATATTTTCCCTTTCAAATTAACAATATTTGATACTTTAGTATTAAATACACGAAAAGCTTTAAATAACTATTGAACTTTTAAATCATTAACTAAAATAAAAATTTATAATAATAAGCCATTATCTATGTTTAAAAAAGCTTTATCATTAATAAAAACAAAAATTTTTAAGCCAATCAGATATTTTATTATACCTGCATTAAATGTTATCTCAAATTAGTTACAAAAGCTTGCGTTTTCTCACCTACGTTACGTTAACTACCCACAACAGTAATAGGAGCTGCTCGATAAAAATAACGACGGATTTTTTTTTTATAAAAAGATGGTAATCACACATACGTCCCGCCTGATGGTAAATGGTAACCAAAGATACCACTTATCATCATCATCATCATCATATCAACCAATAATTATCCACTGCTGAACACAAGCTTACCCCCCTTATGGAGGGGGTTTTGCCAGTAATTGCCACGCTTGACATAGAGGTTGGCAACCGCAGTTAAGCTTTAGTGACGTTTTAATAGGGACGCAGCTATCCATGTCTTGACCATAAAATCCCCTTAGTTGCCTCTTAAGAGACCCACAAGAAAGGTATAGATACCACTCGCCGGTTGCCAACCCTTGTGGCACGAAAGTCTTATCTTCAATAACAACAATCAAATCTATTACTAATGCAATAAAGTAGATGTTTAATTGAATGTCTGGAAGTACCAGTCGATTTAGGAAAATTCTTTTTTGCATTTGATAGCTTATTTATTGAGGATGGTATTCACATTCATACAGTATGAAGTTCTTCAAAAAGAGTATATTAAAGTTTCTTCAGGGTCGGCAACGCGCACGTGACAACCCTAGTGTTACAGGCGTCCATAGGCTACAGTGACCGTTTACAATCAAACGGGCTGTCTATGTATTTGTTTGCCACCATTGTGGTATAAAAAAAAAACAACCACAGGCGTAGTAGCGGGATACATTGTATGTAACATATGAGACGGAATTAGACATCTGTGATGAGAACACAAAATGTGGAAAATTCTCGAAGTTGCTTGTATTACTGTCGTTAAGGCAAAATATATGCAAACTTATATTAGGCATATTAATATTGTTCACTTCAAATTATCTACTAAAAGTGTCAGTACGTTATGGAAATTCAAAATGCATTAGTTTATTTATTATTTAGTACAAAGCTGTTTCGCATGCTTGTGTTAATTTATTTAAAAAAAAAATCACGCGTGTTATAAGGTGTTATGTATGTAATGTAATCGTCATTTTTATTTATATATTATTATAATGGTTATTATATCTATTATTACTTTTTTTTTAATTTATGGTCTGTTTATATCGTAGCGTAGCGTAGCAGAGAACTAAACATCTAATTATTTTTTTTTATTTCGCAAAAGTCCTGACATACTACTTTTTTCTTCCATTTTTTGTTGTAAATAAATTTAACAGTAAATTTTTCTTTTTTTTTTTTTGTAAGGTCTTTTACCTTCGTCATGTATTGTATCGTGTATTAGCCCTATTGTATCCTGAACTGATTTCTCAGATAAAGTTATATCTATTTTTCCTGCTTACGGAAAGAGAGGAATTAATGGGTATCGATAATTTACAGAGATATTAAATGTCTGATTTGGATTCAAATTATACATCTTTATAACATTATCTTCCGATAAAATTATAATCTCCTTCTATTAATTACGACACAAATGAAAAAATAACCGTTTTCAATCGCTTTTTTGTATTATTGTATATTATTTGTATTGTAAGAAATTAAAAAACTCGACAATTTTAAAATCTGTGTGTAATTATTAATTTGGGTGTAAATGTTATGAACTTACTAATATTACGTATTTTCTTTTTTTTTTTTTAAATAATACAATAAATTTTTTATACATATAAATATACTTAAGACACTTCCCAAGTAAAAAAAAACTATTATTTATCTACTTGTAATATATAAATACATATAATCTGAGCGCATTTGACTACATCTCTTGACGACGAAGTCTAAGGTGTTTATACGCAAACTAAAATAATGCTTACTCGCTGCAGCTTTGAAAGAGCCCATAAAAGATATGTACATCCAATGTGCCCTTCGGTACATATCTTACTGTAAAATTTAATGTTCTAGTCTACAAAACACTTTTAAGCGATATCTCTAAACAGAAAGCTTGTATTTACATGTTTTTAATAATATTATAAATGTTAAAGTGAGTTTGTAACAAACAAGTTAGCATACAAGATAGAAAAGAATATAGGATACTTTTTATTCCAGTCAGTAAATGTTTACTAACTGGGATATGTATCCCAGCAAACAAAGTCGCGAGTAAAAGCTAGTGTTCAATATTGCCATGGCATTTAGGATTATTGCGTACCTATTATGAAGCTATGTTCCATTTCATTAACCATTACCATATATTTTCAAATATTTATATTATAATATCTTTATTATTTATATAATTAATCATTTTTATAATATTTTTATTATTGTATTTTAATTTGTTCAGTCCCTGAAGAAAACTTTCTAATGGAGTCGAAACAATTGTCGAAAACAATAAACACGGTGAATTCATAAAATTCCCTAAAAATAACAATTGTGCATGTATATAGGACATTATTAATATTTATATGTATTTATTGTTCAATTTGTAAATGCATTTTGATTTTCAATGAAATGAATGAAAAAAAAAACTAGTGACAAAACTGGTCTCCACTAGCACACTACCCGTCAGATTGTCATTACAAGATTTATAACAATGAAAAATTTACTACAGAAATTTAATAGTACTTCTTTTATGTAACTTAGAATGGCAAACAAGCTGACGACCCACCTGTTGGATAGTGGTAACCGTCGACTAGAAATATGAACGTATTATGGATATCACAGTGTATACTGTGCCACCCATGATACACTTCATACGTTGCCATTCCTGAGAATTAAGGTATTATGCCTCTGTACTCTGTAATTTCAAAGCCATATCGCACATATTCCATTATATGCCATATTTAATTATTTAACTCTTTATTGCACAAAAAAAGAATAAAAATATACAATGGCATAAAGTACAGATCAAAATATAGACATAAAGGTACAAAAGGTGGTCTTATTGCTAGAGCAATATCTTACAGACAACCTTTAGTTAATATATATATATATATTATATATATATATATATATTTTTTATACAACTTTTTTTTTAGAATAGCAAACAAGCTGACGGCCCACCTGATGGAAAGTGGTAACCGTCGCCTATAGACATGAGCAGTACCATGGACATAACAGAGTATACTGTTACGCCCATGATTCCCCCCATGCGTTGCCATTTCTGAAGACTCAAATGTTATTCCTCTGTACCCTGTAAATTCACGCCATATCCCACCCTTCAAACCATGCAAGCATAACTGCTTCACGGTAGAAATACGAATCGGACAGAGGTACCCAAGCAATCGACTTTTGTACAAAGCCTCCCACTGGTGAAAGTACTATACATAAAGTACTATTAGGCACTCTTATATGACTATTAAACAGTCTTAATCGCTTTACAAACTGCTAGAACAGATAGTGTGCTAGTTGGACTATGCCTACGCGTACTCATGTGTTCTCGCTGAATCCTACAAGTGAATTGTGATTTATCAAACAGTACCACTGTGGTGTATTGTGAAAGTGTCACGTTTGAGCCCAAACCATTTTCCAAACATGCTGTTATTGTTAAAAAAAAACGAGTTCAAAATCACTCACATAGCAGCCGTTTCTGTCAACAGCGCACCTGCTTAGTACTTAGAAATACTTATAATAAGCTCGGCGTTGTAGTAAATAGAAAATATATAACCGTACGGAAACGTCCATGATGTATATTAATAAAAAAAAAAAAATTGACAAACAAAAAACAGCCAGTATTTAATTGCAGATGCATATTGTTCGCTTTCAAAAATTTATCGAAATATTTTTATAAACACTATCGGAACTCAATAGGATGTTTTTTCTTTTCTTTTGCAGATAAACAGTACCTACCTACATACCTGCTTCTTTATTGGCAACCTTTCGCTTTAAATCCCGATAGTGTATTTAAATATATACACCGAGAAAAGTTTCAAATTAAATATGGAAGTATATTTTTAAAAGGGAAACACTGTTTAAAAAAAAATTTATGACAATTATTATCTAAGACAAAATCTAGATATTTCCATAGACTATTATAAAAACAAATCAAATAATACATTATGGACGTTAACGAAGGCTCATAGACTGCATTGTGTGTGTAACGTATACTACATTTTGTCATTGTATTAATTAGAGATAAATTTAAAACATAGTAGAGTTGGATGTTTACATAGCAATATCTATATATGTATTGTTGTTACAATATATGTATAATATATATTATAATCGGATATAGTAAATATCAATTATTCAATATTATATATATACTTATAATAAATCTGTATAGAGGTCAATTCTGTACATGAAATATATTTCCAAAATAATTATCAGGGGGTGATTAGTGATCGATACTGATGCCAAAAATGCAATCAGTAAAATTTTTGTCTGTCTGTCTGTATGATCGTTATAGAAACAAAAACTACTCGACGGATTTTAACGAAACTTGGTACAATTATTCTTCATACTTCTGGGTAAGTTATAGTATACTTTTCATCACGCTACGATCAATAGGAGCAGAGCAGTGAAGGGAAATGTTAAAAATGTGCACCCCTGCGAAGCCGGGACAGGCCGACTGTTTAGTTTTTAAATTAAAATAAAGAAACCGATTTTAATCGTAACAAAACCAGCTATTTAGGTTTAAAAACTAAACTATTTAATCAATTTTGATAAAATTTCTATGGGACCAATTTATAATTTATAATAATATACCTTTCAGATAAAAAAAAAGAATTCTGCAAATCAGCAAATAAGTGACGGAGTTATGAGGTAACTAACATGAAAAAAAACACCTCCAAATTGTGAATCTTCTTTTTTTAAATCGGTAAAAAAATGTAGTAATCATAAAATTATAAATGTAATATATATGTAGAAGAAGTCACTGGTCCGATACAAAATTACCCTTGCCCCTTTATAATGTTTCAATTTCGAAATTTAAAATAACTATCTTTTTTTATACAACTTAGAATGGCAAACAAGCTGACGGTCCACCTGATGGAAAGTGGTAACCGTAGCCTATAGACATGAGCAGTACCATGGACATAACAGAGTATAGTGTTTCGCCCATGATACCCCACATGCGTTGCCATTCCTGAGAACTCAGGTGTTATTCCTCTCCCACCCAGTACCCAGTAAGTTCACGTCACTAAAAAAAAAACTATAGTTACCAGATTATTATAACTTCTAAATTGAAGCCCAAATATCATTAACAAATATCAAAAGGTGATAAAATATACCATTCAATTTTCAGCAGTGAATTTTAAGCTGCTTAAAGCTTTGCACATAATACAAGCATTTAATACCATAACCTCTATTCTAATCTACTAGAAAATTATATGTTGACGAAAATATATATCTGTCTTATATACATTGACAGGGAGGAAAGGGATAGTTAGTAATGGAGACTGAGAATCTCATTGCTAGCAATATACTCAACCAGGTCGACCTCCTCGCGGTTCTCCCTGGAAACTATCACGGTTAATTCCTGATGAATTCATCACGATGGGCTAACTGGCCTGTTTTCATTCTCATCTATCACCCTTCACTGGTGCTCCGCCAGCGTATACCGTTAGCGCAGACTGGGTTATTATACCATTTTCACCCATCAAAAAAAAACAAATGTTCCACAACAAAGACTTCAATCATAGCAAAACCAGTTATGTTTATTTAAAAACTAAACTACTGAATTTATTTTTGCAATATTTGTATGGATGGATACCAATATGTAAGTGTATTATTTCAGATAAAAAAAAATTCTCCGAATCAGTTTATAAATGATGGAGTTATAATGTAACTACCATAAAAATAAATACCACCGAATTGAGAACATTATTTTTTGAAGTAGGTTAAAAATATCTTGTTTCATTTAAATCAATGTAAATTTGCTAGTATATTTTCATCAACATATCTATATTTAAAGGCTTCCTACCACAGCGTATCTAACAATTACGTTTTATATACACGATATAATTAATTTTGCCATCTAAATTATAATAACTAATTTTATAAACTTTTTTTTAAAACATCAGGGCCAAACGAGCATGCGGCTCACCTGACGGTAAGTGACTACCGCCGCTCGCGAGCACCCGCAACACCAGAGGCATTGCAGGTGTGCTGCTCGCCCTTTACATATACCATATTCCGCTTATTTCGTCAATTTTCAATAGTGTGGTAGGAAATCCGTCGTTTTGTTAATTGATCACACAAAAATGAGTTTTGGCAAATGGTATTATCATTGTAGCTCAATTTTATTTATTTTTTATTTTTTTTTTTTAGATAATTTCAATCTATTTCTGTTAATATGTATATTTAAAACTATATAAAGTAATAGGAACGCACTATTAAAACTATACAGCTGGGAATCATCGATAAACTCTTTCATTGAACGCACACACACAACACAGTCCTCGTGACGTTTCCAGTTCACTGATCAATACATACTATAGAGACCCTAAATATCTTTCCGATACGGATACAATTGATACATGTTCGATTATACACCTACTGCCCCCCCCCCTTATTCGTAAACACTAAAAAGTCCCACAAACTTTATTTTAACTATTAGTGTCATATCTCTGTCTGACAAATTGAGAAATTAGTGCAAAAGAAAAGGACAAAACGCTCCAATAACTAAAATAGGTTTATAAGAGTACCCCAATTTTATTACATAACAACTATAAAGCAGTATCCGCAACGACTAAATGTAATAAAACAAAAACTATACCAATCATTATAAAACTCGATCCAAATATTATAGACCTCGATCCAATCATAGTGGACCTTGATCCAATCATTGTGGATACGAGAGCATGGTCTCCATAATGATTGATTATCCATTTTATTAGACATAGTCGCTGTTGATTTATCGATAACCCAAAAACCACAATCTCTAAAATTCCATATAAAAATTCACGAGTTCCTGTGACAATATACATAAAATCCCGCGAAAAATCCACATAATCCCACCAATAAAACCACAAAATCCCGGTGCAAAATCCACGAAATCCCGCGACGTAGACCAGTGAACCGAAAACGCTGTTAGTAAAACCAAGGTAAGAAAGAAGCGAGTGCAGCCTACCGTAACCGTTAGCTATACGGGCGTGGAGGTGGCCACACCTGCGCCGCCGTCGCCCCCCTCGCCTGTGTCTCCCCCCGCGGGCCCGCCGGGTCCAGTAGGTCCGGCCCGGCAGCTGGTCCCCTGCCGGGTGGACCCTAAAGATCGCGACCGCGTCTCGTCCAGTATGAACGAGTTGATTACGTAGGCCTCACGGCGGATCCGGTCGCGCAGCTCACCGGACATATCCGGGATCGCCCAGCGGACGATTATCATCACTAGCGCCACCACATTCTGGTGGCAGAGTGGGAAAACCGATCAAGGATATTGGCAAGGAAAGTACATATACAAAAAATACATATATGAGGTGGACCGTCAGCTTGTTTGTCATTCTAAGTTGCATAAAAAAATACTCTTTTTATTCAGGTGCCATAAATTCAAAAATCTTTAAAGAACAATTCCGTTCTTCTTTTATTATCACTTTTTGGGCTCAAAAAATGAAGCTTTTAAATTTTTTATCAATAACATCAGCTGTCAACTGTCCACTGCTGGACATAAGCCTACCCCATAAGGAGTGGTTTGCCAGTAGTTGCCATGATTGGCAAGCGGGTTGACAATCGCAGTTAGGCTGTGGAGATGTTTTAAGACGCTACTGCCCATCCCTCTTTGTCCCTTAGACGCCTCTTACGACACCCACGGGACAGGAAGGGGTGACCTATTCTATGCCGAGACCATACGACAGTTCACGGCACAGTCGTAAACTTATGTAATAGAATATCCATACTAATATCATAAATGTGAAAATGAGTTTGTTTGTTACCTTATAGCGCCTTAACGACTTGACCAATCACTATGAAATTTGGTATACACCTACTACATGAGATGTAGAAAGATATAGCCAACTTTTATCCCGATCAGTAAACATATCTAGGAAGCACATATGAAGTCGCGAGAAAACAGCCATCAAAATATAAAATATAACAGTACCTCGAACACGACTATGAATGCCAACCTCGCGCCCATCACGTGCCAGTACCAGTTGCTGCGCTCGTAATCATCGCCCTGCTTGTAATACCAGTAGCCGGGGTAGCTGTGGACCGATAATTTATTTTATTTATTTATAATATGCTCACTTCACTTACAGTTTGCCAAAACGTGTAGTGAAACATAGGACAAAAAAAGGTATAATTCACTGTTTTTGTTTTTTTTGATGGGTGAAAATGGTATGGTAACCCCGTCTGCGCTAACGGGATACGCAGGCGGAGCACCAGTGAAGGGTGACAGATGAGAATGAAAACAGGCCAGTTAGCCCATCATGATGAATTCGTCAGGAATTAACCATGATAGTTTCCAGGGGGAACCGCGAGGTGGTCAATACCTGCACATTTCCTCTTTGTACGTGGACTTGAGCGGCTTGTACTCTATGACGCTGATGTTGAAGTCTGCGAGCGTGTAGTTCACGTAGTTGTTCAGATTGCTCTCCATCGCGAACTGGTACACGAGCCGCGGGATGAAGTCCGACGTGAACGCTATTATAAAACCCTACAATGACAATATATGAGATATATTAAAATATACCTTATTCACAGTGTTTTAGGTTAATTATCGTTTGTGTTTAACACACGAAAATTAATATTTAAAAAGCTTCATGATATATAATATGGTGGTGATAGTTCAGTCTTCTTATCTTACTAGGCTTGAGGGAGACTTTGTATTAAAACATATCTGTATTAATACCTCTATCCTATTCCTTTTCTTTTTGTCCCAAAAAAAATTTGCTTGGATAGTTTAGAGGACCGGACCATAGTAAAATTCCAATGTACGGAATCCCTCCCTCCCGGAACTAAAATGTTATACTTCAGTCCCGAAAGGGAGGGGTTGTCAGTAATGTGGACCACCAAACTTTGCTTTCCAGAAGGGATCTCCTGGAAACCATATACATATATATATTCTTTATTGCACTAAAACATACAGTAACAACGTAAAGTTAATTACAATGTTAGCAAAGGTTTATTCGTGGTGAATTGGTCACGACGAGCACTCTGCCAGTGTATACCGATAGTACTGACGATTTTACCAATCTATTTCCATCAGGTGAATTGTCAGCTGGTCTGTCATTTTAAGTTGCATAAAAATTTCACCCTATTAAAAAAACCTAGACCCTCACTCCCTGGAAAATAATCTTAGATACACAGCAAATGATCGTTCGTAAAAACTCATAAATTGTAAGAAAATCGTTGGACAAAAAAAAACATAAGCGGTTATAGTACATTACTGCAGCGGCCAGCAACTGAGGCATTGATGGACGAACGTGTAAATGTGGGTCGAGGCGTAGCCGAGGCACACATACGTGAGTCAATGCATACATCAATGCCTAGTTGTGGCTAAGGCTTGTATAGTAATTTTCTCAAACAATGCGTGGAAATCAAAAACACAATTTTAATTTTTAAGTTCAATGACGAATAACGAACAATAATAATTTTTCACACGCCATAATGATCCTTTGTTTTTTTTTTTTTTCAATAAACAGCTTTCTATTGCAAGCCAGTTCGAAATTTAAATAAAACCTTTTATTAGTTACCTCCTTGGTAGCCATGTTTCGAAGTAAAAGGTCATTCCATTTTTAAATTACAGGACAGATATGAGTTTACATAGTAATTTATCTGGCCGCAAAACACGACAAATATGGATTTTCATACAACTTTTGCCGGCCACTGCGCGCATGTATCTGGCCAGTACGGCAATTTTGATTTATCTCAAAGAAGATTGTCAAAATAATGCTCACATTTCCAAACATGTTTGAGAAAAATGATATAGTGAAGTGTATACTGACGTTGGTGATGACGCTGAGCTTTCCTATGGAGTCGAGGATGCGGTACCACACGCCGATGTCGTTGACACGCTGCGGCACCGGGCGGCGGTAGCACGAGAGGAACTTCTTCGCGTCCAGCCGCATCTCGAGCACGTTGTTGATGAGCGCGAATAGCGGCGCCAGCGGGAACGCGGACACGAAGATCGTCACGAACCCGTACTGGAGCACTGCCGATAGATTCGAACATTGACCAACACTATTACTATGAGAAGTTCCACAATTAAATATTATACATAAAGGTTACAATTAGTTAATTGCAATAAGATAATTACGTTTACGTAAAGTCTAGGATATTATACTAACATATTATATATATATATATATATATATATATATATATATATATATATATATATATATATATATATATATATATATATATATATATATATATATATATATATATATATATATATATATATGATGTTGAATAATATATATATTTTATTCTATCACTATTTACTAGACAATAAGTAGACGGTAAAATTAACTTACCCATTTCCAAATACTCCGGAAACAATCCCATATTACCAAAGTCGACTAGTTTAAAATCTTTTACCCACTGCAATGGGCTTTTAATCCTGAAAATTATAAAATAATATGATAATAAACTCATTAATTAATACTAAATTTTAATCATAGCTTCGAAAATTTTAATGGAATTTGCAAATTGGTACAATGCCAATTGCCTAATCTATACTTATAATAAATCTGTATAGAGGTCAATTCTGTACATTAAATATATTTCCAAAATAACTATCAGGGGGTGATTAGTGATCGATACTGATGCCAAAAATGTCTGTATGTTCGTTATAGAAACAAAAACTACTCGACGGATTTTAACGAAACTTGGTACAATTATTCTCCATACTCCTGGGCAGGTTATAGTATACTTTTCATCACGCTACGATCAATAGGAGCAGAGCAGTGAAGGGAAATGTTGGAAAAACGGGAGAAGTTACTCCATTTTTAAGCTTCCGTCGCGTGTGCAGCCTTAATGGCCACTTTTTAAAATGTAAAAATGTCCACCCGTGCGACGCCGGGACGGGCCGCTAGTCATAAATAAATGTTTAAATAAATATATTTTTTAAATCATTATCATCATCAATCAAAATTATAACTCTTAGAGAATAAATTACTAAAATAATATATATTTAATTATTAATTTAGCCCCCCCCCCCCTGTTCCTCAATTAGAACCAAGTACTATTTGAACTCACGTGTTTTTCCTGCCAATAGTGCGTATGATATACAACCACTTGAGTAAATACGGCATCAGCATCTCCACTATGGTGTTGATGAACTGCTTGCCCACCATGATAATGGCAAGCTGGATGGACAACTCGAGGAAGCAGCCGCCGGGCGCGCACTGAGAAACGATAGGTTCAATTTAATACCTTCTTTAGAGGGAGGTGGGGGGGATAAATGGGTGATGATAGAGGAGGATGAAAGCAGGTCAGTTGTTACATCGTGACTAAATCAACAATAATTTACCATGGTGGTCACCAGAGAGAACCGCGTGGAGGTCATCCTGATAGTGACATGACAGTGATAGTTACTATCAACGCGACAGTTTTTTTTTTTTTTTTATTGGATGATAATGGAATGATGGCCCCGCCTGCGCTATCGGTATACACTGGTAAGGCACCAGTGAGCGATGACAGATAATGATGTAGCAGATCAGTTGGCCTATCGTGACGAATTCAACAATAAATCAGTCACGATGGTTTCTAGGCGAACCGCGTGGAGGTCGTCCTGATAGGGGATATAGCTAGCAATGAGATTGCTAATCTCCATTACTAACAATTCCTTCTCCTCTCAGATCAACACGAAAGGCTCCATTACTAAGAAGGAGGGGAGGTTAGCAGATTGTTAGTATGGGAATTAGTGATTACTAGCAATATATCCAGTGAATTTGCCATGATGGCATGACTTCATCATTATTATCATCTGTAATCCCTCACTGGTACATTCGATTCCATCATTGCCCATTAAAAGAAAATACAGTTAGGTAGTTAAAAAATTTCAAAAACTACTCCTATAAATACAAACAAATATTTTTAAAACATTTCGTTTTATAGATTTTAAAGCCATTCTTGACAGTTACTTGAGTATATAGTAATCAAAATATAAAAAAAAAAAACAAACTAATAATAAATACCTCTTCTTGTCTATGGCCAAAAAACCGCACATAGTCTCCGGGACGACCCACGTATTTCCCTTTAAAGAACGCGATGTAGAATATAGACGCGTAATAGTTCACGAACTGTAGTAGGTATATCTTGAGCGTCAGTGAGTCGTCGAACTCCGTCTGTGTGCGTAGCAGTTCCTTCTCCGTGAGCCACTCCGCTAAGTACTGGTATATCTGTTGATTCAAAGACACAAATGATTACATTCAGAAAAAAAAACAAAAGAGAATCGAAGAATTTTTTCTTTATTAATATTACAAATATGTATCTGAGCTATGCCTGCCAGTATTTTTTTTTCTTACCAAGGAGTATGTTGTTCTACTTTTTAATCTGTCCTCGTAGAAGCATAATAAATTTTTAAACGCCGGCTGTTGTCTTTACCCTTAAATTCACTAAAAAGCACTCATCAAGAGTGTCACAATAATTATTTATTTTAGTGTCTCGATATTCCGAATCAGTGCAAGATGGTGTAAACCAGTGTTTTTCAAAGCCTGGATCGTGAATCCGAGAGGTCCCCAAGTCTCTACAAGGCGGTCACAGGAGGTCACGATGTCGTATTTAACTGATACCTAACTACGAAAATAAATATACGGATTTGATATTTACATATAATAAATAAAAAAACCACAGGTTAGGAATCGCGAAAGGCGTGAGATCACAAAATATTTTTACACGCTAGGGAGAGGTCACGCCATGAAAAAATTGGAAAAACGCTATGTAAACAACCACATTTTTTTTTATTTTGTTTCTGTTGCGTTAGCCGCTCTATAAACGAATCTGTTATACAAAGTTTCCGTAGAAAATATTGTTTTATTATAGTATAATTTTGCAATAAGGCTGCCTTGCAAGACACATACCACATGTGTCATGAGATACTGTAATTTTTATCAAAATATGTGTTAAGTACAAATAAAGCAAATTATTTCTCTCTCTCTCTCTCTCTCTCTCTCTCTCTCTCTCTCTCTCTCTCTCCTTCTTCTTCTTCTTTATCTCTATTTACAGAGACATGATACCATAGTCCTAAAGAATAGCAACGCATGAGGAATACCATGGGTAATACATTGTGGTCTGTTCATGTATATAGGTGATAATTATAACTGTCCATTAGGTATACCATCAGCTTGTCTGCCATAAAAAAACCTCTATCTCTTTCTCTGTTCCATTTCATTTCATTCTATTCTATTCCAATCCGATACTCACATAGTTGAGCAAGCATATAAGCACGAGGTTGATGCAGGCCGCGGTCGCAGTGGTAAACATGATGGGGTTGTAAGTGATGAGCACGTTGGAGTTGTGGCGCAGGATGGTGGCGCCGAGCAGCGACATGCGGTAGAGCACGACGCCGAGCACGGTGGCGAGCGCGAGCAGCACCAGCAGCGCCACCACGCTGAACGACATCAGCGTCGCCGGCAGCCGCATGCGCCAGAACGGCACCATCGGCTCGCGCTCGCCCGTCACCACGTTCAGCTGTGTGCAAACAATCAACCGGTGATCCGACACTTTTGGTATGTCCCAAACAGTAACAGTTTACCAGAGAGAGACTTTGTACAAAAGTCGTTTGCTTGGACACCTCAGTCCCATTCGTGTTTCAACCGTAATACAGTTGTGTTTGCATGGCTGTGTTTCGGTTTGAAGGGTGGGATATGGCGTGAATTTACAGGGTACAGAGGAATAACAGCTGTCCTCAGGAATGGCAACACATGGGGGGTATCATGAGCGAAACAGTATACTCTGTTATGTCCATGGTACTGCTCATGTCTATAGGCAAAGGTTACCACTTTCCATCAGGTGGGCCGTCAGCTTGTTTGCCATTCTAAGTTGTATAAAAAAAAACAACATGACATGAGAGTAACATACAAAAGGAATAAGGAATTATATTACAAGAAATGTAACAATAATAGCATTAAAATCTTACAACAAGTTTACTCTTCAATCCAATCCTAATTTTAAAGCAATCTATTGCAAATAACTATTTTGTAACACACTCTAGATTTTAACTATCAACTGCTGACCATAAGATTCAACCTTGGAGGGTTTTGCCAGTAGTTGCCACGCTTGGCGGGCGGACTGGCAACCGCAGTTAGTTATGTTTTAAGAGGGACGCTGCTGTCGATCCCTCGACCTACCTTAGTCGCCTCTTGCGACACCTACAGCAAAGGGGTGGGCTATTCTATGCCGGGACCACACGGCAGGCATAATGGGCATAGAACCTAAATATGGGTAATATCGGTACGCTTCAATATCTATACATAGGATTCCTCTTAACATTGATGGCGGAAAGTCATTACCCATCAGACACCGCCCAAACCAGTCGGTACTTCATTCGATATATTATATAACCTATATAGTTAATATGCTTATCCATTATTGGATCAATATATATTGTATCCTACAACAACAATATTGGGGGCAAAGGGATTGTTAGTGTTAGAGACTGAGAATCCCATTGCTAGCTAGCAATATACCCAACCAGGTCGACATCCTCGCGGTTTCCCACCCATGGAAACTATATATATATATATATATATATATATATATATATATATATATATATATATATATTATATGGCATCATGATAGGCTGAACTGGCCTGTTTTCATTCTCATCTATCACCCTTCACTGGTGCTCCGAAAGCGTATCCCGTTAGCGCAGGCGGTGTTACCATTCCATTTTCACCCATCAAAAAAAAATGTATATAGAGCTGTATACTATCTACCGCTAATTGCAAGCAGTACCTGCGTGCGCTTGACGTGGGCGAGCCGCGCGAGGTACTGCGGCCGCGGGTGCTCCTCGTACACGTCGAAGCCGGTGAGGTCCCAGCGGTGCGTCATCTCCGCCGAGTACCGCTTCCACAGCTCCAGAAAGCAAGCCGCTGTGATAAAAAATATATTCGTAAAAAAGTCGATTGCTTGAGTACCTCTGTCCCATTCGTGTTTCTACCGTGAAGCAGTTGTGTTTGCATGGCTGTGTTTCGGTTTGAAGGGTGGGATATGGCGTGAATTTACAGGATACAGAGGAATAACATCTGAGTCCTCAGGAATGGCAACGCATGGGGGGCATCTTGGGCGAAACAGTATACTCTGTTATGTCCATGGTACTGCTCATGTTTATAGGCGACGGTTACCACTTTCCATCAGGTAGGCCGTCAGCTTGTTTACCATTCTAAGTTGTATAAAAAAAGCTCAAACCCACCAATACATAACCTTAGGGTTGACAGTTTTGGACAGACTAACTTACCATTTTTTTTTTTTCACAAGGCCTAATTAATTAATTATTAATCTTGATATCACCAAATCTGATTAAGATCAAAACTGCTTCTGTTTTATTTTATAAATACCTGTTTTCACAACCGAAGCTTAAAACCGAATAGGACGTAATTTATTTTTTCATACTACTTTGTTTTAAAATCATGCAAGAAGTATCGTTTTAATTTACACTTGATGTTGCTAATAGTAATATTATCCCTTACATCGGTGGGTGATATTGAACTAATATATAGATATTGCTATATATTACGCACCCCTACTGTTTATTAAGTACACTCTTCAATCAGCTAATCTTGGCCACTCCAAATAGGGTATAAGTGAGACGGAAGATACGAAAAGTAAAAGATTAAATTTAATGATATTCACTGGGCCCATAACCTGATGGTGTACTTTATCAATGACTTTATTACTTACCCCAAAAACTCATGAATATAGCGAAGAACACAGTGGTGGAGTTATCGAAGAGGTAGGTGATCCGAGATTGTAAGCAGGTGTCCTTCAAATCCCAATAGTCGCAGAAGTAGTCGCAAAGGGGACACATTTTGATCGATGAATTGTAATTACACACTTGCTCACTGAAATTATAGTGTATTAATATTATAATTATTACGTCTTACCTCTCAGGGAAGTGGCAGAAGTAATGTGGGATAGAGTGACTCAAGAAAGACGAAAATCGAAACGGTTGGAAGAGGCCTTTGCCAATTAGCAAACAAGAAGAAAATAAACAAGAATCAATTACAAGAATAAGTTTTCTTGTTTTTTGCTTTTAAGATTTTTAAAGTTTAATGTTTGTTTTAAAGCAGTGTTATTACGTTTAGTTGATCTAAATAAAGGCCATAAAAAAAATTCTTATCTCAATGTCCCTCCCTCTTATCTCTACATCCATATCTCTACCGCCCTTAACTATGTCTCCCATAACTTACTCTCTCTGCCAGTCGTCCTAAAGGATGACTGCTAAAAAACGCCTATAACATTAAGTCCGCCTTATAGTCATTTTATTTTTTTCCATTTTATTTGGTCGTACAATCATATTAGTCAATGAATTTAAAATAAATAAATACATAAAACTTTCCCTGTTATTACTACTTAAATCGGTGTTTCCCAACGTGGAGCCCACGCCCCACAGAAGTGCCATTTGATAGTTAAGGGGGGAAGGTGAAGGGGGGGGGGGGGATTAAAATGAACACGAAGCGATTTTAACCCTCTTGCTGCGACCCATGTAAATGCTACGAGTAGACATCGGTGCCAAGTTTAACAAAAAAAAGTAAATTAAAAAATTTGCTGTAAATATTTATTAGGTATAATTTTATTTGACATTACCAAAATATCAACTGGGCGATTAGAGTCGTCAAGTAAACTTTATCGGGAAAAATTATGTATGAAGGCATAAAAATTTAGAAATGTTCAAGTAGGGCATGGCACATAAAAGGTTGGAAAACACTGACTTAGATTGTCTCTACTTCTCTTATTCGCGTTTGTATCGCTTACCTTGGTTGATTAGAATACACTGTAGAGGCGGAATATATGACGCAAATGAGACCAACTATAGACGCTGGGATCAACATGTGAGTGTAGAATCCGAGCCACGCGAAGTACAGACCTATAACAAGTGCACACGTTAATATGTGTATATACACATATATTTTAGTAGACTTCAAATTTATTAAGATGGTTTTCCACAGAAAAAAAGCGACTTTAATTATAAATAATATATTATTATATACATATACAGTGTTCATATCTTCATATCCAGTGTGTTATAAATTTCATCCTGTTTCTCGAGTGCTACCTATCGAGTGGTGGCCCCACTGAAAATCAGCGCTGTAGCACCACGCTGCAGCTTACGCTGAGTGGCGACCATTTCAGCTGCTACTACATAATTATTATTATAATGTAAAAAATTATAATTAATATTGTTATATTGTGACTGAATAAATGATTTATTATTATTATTAAAACCAGTTATTTTTATTGTAAAAATTATTGAAACGATTTTGAAAAAAAAATGTCTATGGTTTGAATTGTTTCAAAGAGAACTAAAGTAAAAAAAAAATAGATATTTCTCACCTATCTTAACACCGAAATAATCCTTAACATAGTCCAATGGCTGGTATTTGATACACTTGGAGACGCTCGCCCACTCGGTATACAACAGATGCCTCATGGAGCCTGGTGTTTTGAGATCACCCTGTGTGTAGATTAAAAACAGCATCTTAAGAATAATATATCGTGTGGTGTCTTACATTTGCTGCGTGTCCCAGCATAGAATAGGCAACCCCTTCCTTTCCCGTGGGTATCGTAAAAAAGCACTAAGAGAACTTAATGGTCAAGGGATAGGCAGCAGCGTCTCCCTTAAAACATGGTCAACGCTTAACTACGTTTGCCAATCCGCCTCCCAATCGTGGCAACCACTGGCAAAGCCCCACAATAGGGATTTTTTTATGGATGAAGATGGAATGGTAACCCCGCCTGCGCTATCAGTATACGCTGACGGGGCACCAATGATAAATGATAGGTGAGGATGATGACAGGTCAGTTGGCCCATAGCTGTCAATTGAACAAGAATTAACCACTATGGTTTCCAGGGGGAACCGCATGAACCTGATAGGGTGTATTGCTAGCAATGAGGTTGTTAAATCTCATTACTAACAATCCCTCCCCTCCCCCCACAATAGGGGTAGACCTGTAGCTACAGTTAAAGGATGACCTGATGATGATATCATGTGGTAAACCCGATCAGACGCCAGTTTTTGGACAGAGCGTGCTAAGATATTTGAAATTCTTTCAGTCATAAGTTCGTAAACATGTTCGAATATTTATTTTGAATTTAGAAATACGTAAGAACAGATAGATTTTAAGAGAATCCTTGCTACCCCTCACCCCGAGACCCGTACCAGCGAACGCAGTGTAAGATGATCCCACAAAAGATGGAGTGACGACCTCAAATATACTACAGACAGTCAGTAGATGCAGGTAGCTCGTGACCGTTCCTTATAACAATCTATGAGGAAGGCTTATCTTCAACTATGAACAGAGAACGATGATATGGTGATAAGATGAATGAAAAGATGGGCACGTACATCGTGAAGAGGGTACGCCGCGCTGTAAGTACTGTTCGATATGAGCCGCGTGATGCCGAACGCGAAGTCGTCGTTGCTGGCCGACGAGAACTTCTTCCTGTCCAGTATGAACTGCACGATGCGCGACCTGATCGACGGCGTCCAGAAACACTCCGCTGTTGTGTCGAATCTGCCATACAATAAGGATATTATATATTTTTTTGTAACTTAGAATGGCAAACAATCTGACGGTCCACCTGATGGACAGTGATAACCATTGCCTGTAGACATGAACAGTACCATAGACATAACAGAGTGTATTGTATCGCCCATGATACCTGGAAACTACTGGATTTAATTCTTATAAATTCGTCACGAGGGGTCAACTGGCTTGCTTCATCTTCGCCTATCACCCGTCACTGGTGCCACGTAAATGTAATCATCTATTAAAAAAAATCATCCATTTAAAACATATATACCACCTTTAATTAGGTACATGGCATATGTCATGGTGTATGTAGTGGCTTTAACGTCTGAGATATTTGAATGATATTTGGTACATAGGGAGTAGATGAACAATATAAACTATACATATTGATTTACACAATTAAAGTCGTAGGAAACAACTGGCCTAAAATACTTAATACTTACAAATATTCTTTATCCTTGGAGTATATGGCAGTGAGCCGATGTTTCCGCTCGGGAAACAAATCCGGATCAACCCTGATCTTTGCCATGAACTGCTCCCAGCACGCGTCCATTTTGTCGACCAAGCTGTTGGTCTTTTCGTGGACATCTTTCAATGCTGAAAACTGAAAAATCAACCTTGATATATAAACAATAAGACTCACCGACGACATATTCAAAATTTGTTTTAGTAACGCACACGACTGTTGCATTATCAATTAATTATATAGGACCTTATTAACAAAACCAAAAAGTTCCATTTCCACTGAATTAATACAATCAAAGAATTAAATAAGGACATATTTTTTAAATAAATACAATCCAATAATTTTATTATCGATTGATGTCTATATAACACATTATTGGTATTAATCAAGCAAATTTCCGTGCACAACCCAAGCCTTTTTCCGCTACCCTCAAATACGTAAGCATGATGTATTGGTTGAATGGACGAGCCAAGCTGTGAATACTGCGATCATTTGAGAGTGAACTACGGAACTCTAGATATCAACTTGGTACAATATAAAATAATCTTTAACACTATATGGATAGAGAATAGAATACTTTAACAATAGACAGCAAGTTTTATCCAACAGACCCAATCACCTATCCGAACAGATTAATTTACAAAACGCTAACTCTACCCATATAATAATAAGGACTATTTTAGATTGCACTCGCAGTGCTCGGCTGTTATTATAATATTTAGTATATAATACCTTTATTTTCAATCCTCATAGTATTTAGTAGTACTCTGTTATTTAAAAACTAATTGACCAATCCCAAGATCTCTGATACCATAAAGCGTCTACAGAATTGAACTTTTGTTCTAAATGCAACGATGACAATTAGGTCGATTCTAAAGTGCTATTTTACTAAACTTTTTCAATTTGATAATACAGCTATATCTTTACAGTAAGGACTAATATGAATTAATTTTGTAATGATCCAGAAAATAGTAAATTAGCGAAACAATCTAATTAATATACAGGATGGAAGGGACAGGTTGGCCAAATCAAAAACAGCTGATTCAGATGAATAGCCTCACTCAGATAGGAGATTATTTTTCCACCGGAAATGCACCACAACCATATAATTAACGATTCTTAGTATTGACGCTGCGCAATGTATTTGAAATTTTACCACGTGCTGTGGCTCGCTACGCCGACATCTACAGCGCGCGGTCAACGGCGCTTCTTCGTAGATAGTTTTTAAACGCTTGCGACGCTAACCTTACAGAGCTGATTTCAAATATTACAATGCTGTTTTTTTGGTATTTCATTATATATCACAAAAAAATATTATTATATCTTTATATTATATCAGAAGATCATAGATTACTTTTTTACAGATTTTAAACAAAAACGAAACAGCATAAAAAAAAACAACTATATAGGCCCAATGGAAAGTTTTCCGAAAAGAATAACAGAGTTCCTGTTTCGCCCATGATACCCCCATATTCACAGACACACACTTCACACCGAATAAACACAACTGATCTGAATTCATAGTGAATTTCAATTCACTGTTTTTGCCAACCTGTCCCTTACATCCTGTATAGGGATAAGTTTATAGAAATGGCTGTTCAAAATCAAACCCAATACAGTGGATATTTAGTAATGTTAGCTGATAAATATTAAATAATTACAATGATATGTTAAACGCGCAACTACCCTCACATTAGTAGACAGAAATGAATAAATTACCAATAATATATACATATTTTTACATAATTAATTTTAAACACATCACAGCCAATTATTTCAAATAACATTATATTAGGTTAGTATATATACATATTCATAATTAGTTTTTTTTTAGATAACACAAATCAGATGCCAATATTTCAATTGTATTTTGTAATCACTGTTTTCCTTTAAAATTTAACTGGATAGAATACCTACAAAAACTATAGAAATTTACTAATATTCTATAAACAAATGAACAGAGATTATAATAAATAAGTTTAATAGTACATTACTGCAGCGGCCAGCAACTGAGGCATTGATGGACGAACGTGCAAATGTGGGCCGAGGCGTAGCCGAGGCACACATACGTGAGTCAATGCATACATCAATGCCTAGTTGTGGCCAAGGCTACTAATAAAAGTACTATACAATACTTTTCTCAAACAATGCGCGGAAATCAAAAACACAATTTTACTTTTTAAGTTCAATGACGAATAACGAACAATAATAATTTTTACGCGTCATAATGTTCCTTTTTTCAATAAACAGCTTTCTATTTGCAAGCCAGTTTGAAATTTAAATAAAACCTTTTATTAGTTACCTCCTTGGTAGCCATGTTTCGAAGTAAAAGGTCATTCCATTTTTAAAATACAGGACAGATTACAACTTTTGCCGGCCGCTGCCCGCATGTATCTGGCCAGTACGGCAATTTTGATTTATCTCTAAGAAGATTGACAAAATAAAGCTTACATTTCCAAACATGTTTAAGAAAAATAAATTTATCTCATAATAAAAGCACTTGTAATAAAATTATACAGTTAATAAGGAAAGCTTGACCTTAATAAGTACTGCATCGTATTTAGCTAATATAATTAAGCAGTTACAGCCTACTTACGCTAAAAATTCAAATTTCGAAGCAATATTTTTTGTATTAATACCTCATAGCGGTCTAGAATTTAACAATATCTGATGGGTATTGTTAACATTATTAATGTAATCGAATTTATTTATTTTAAATCATAATTGTAACAATAATCCACATATTCATTGTATTACCTACTTACCACATTGTTCATTGAGTCAGTTTTATTATAAATTTACATAATATTAAATGTCCATACTTGTATTTTTTTTTTATTTATATTTTATTGTACACACTAAAAATACATATAAAATATGATAGAGGTAAGCAAATGTACAAAGGCGAGTTTAAGGTGGTTGATCATAAAACACAAATAGACATGAAATACTAGATGGCGTTAGAATCGTCACTTGTGCTTTTTTTTATTATTTCGTAATTAAAGATAATTTAACACAAAATATATAAATTGGCGAGTGGTTTTATTTATTTTTTTACAGATATAGTAATAATTTATCATAATTTTTGTCTTTATTCTCTTGTATTGTACAATTTTGTAAAAAAAACATACACTTGCAAGAAACATAGCAATTGTGTGAATTAATGAATTATTCATTCAAGAAAAGATTATGTATCACATCATATGATCATATGTATCGATTCACGTGATATTTATACTTATAAAAATCACTTGCCGATTCAGAAATTTCACTTCAAATTATCTTTAATTAAAAATAATCAATATAAACCACAAATCTCGATTCCAACGACATCTAGTATTGTCTAATTTTGTTTAGTGACCAACCACCTTTACTCTAAAAGAGTTCTCTTCCAGCAAACCCAAAGTGGAAAGGCGCATCTATAATGCACTGGTAAAGTATGTGATGGATGTAGAGCAGGATAGATGGAAAAGTATTATTTAGAACTCTCAAAAACATTCATAATTTGTCTGATCGATAAGTAGTTATTAATCTTATATTTTTACTAACATGTACTATTCCTAGGTAGAACACCAAAAAAACACAAAAAAATACATTAACACTCATTCTATAGAATAGAAGGGAAGAAGAAATGTGTTTATATAAGAATAACGATATTATTTTCTGACTCAAGTTACGTTCCCAGAACCTTTAAAGAACAGAAGACCTACCATGAAATGTTTTTCAAAATTTCGAAGCCGAACGAAACACAAATTTGATATTTAAATTACATAATACTTATCGTTTAAAAACATTAAAAATATTAAAATATTATTCCTTTAGACTTATAGTAGGATTTATGACGAACAAAATGTTAAGCTTCATTTACTGGGCCGATTTAGGTATGAACGAAAACACGAAATTGAGTCTGAAACATCGGAATTTCATTTCATGGTAGGCCCCCAGATATTATAAGAAATCAATCGAGACTTATGTTAATGGAAACGAAACGCGTTCAAGTTTGATAAACATTAATTAATTAAAGTATATATATGAGACGTTATTTGGTGCGTGCAACACTTACGATTCGTGTTTAACATGATCAATCTAATTAAACCTTAAGACGATGCCATAAAGCTTAATTTAAAACCGATCATACTGGCCCAAATGGCAATTACTACACGGACCATAATCTGACACATGTCGCCACCAAAAACCAATTCGTTGGCCACAACATATAAGCGCTGGAACTGTTTAGTGAATCCGTAAGCGCAATATTGTTAGTAAAGCGGCCATGCGTAGCAACCACGACATCGGCATACCTTAGACATATACATGGCAGCATTCAGTATGGCATTTGTCCGCCCACCTTTTCTTATTTTACTGCATTCCTATGAACGTATACAAGACAATGTTACTGTGCCTCGTGGTACGCACGTCACGTAACTACAGGTTATTCGAAACTAATCAACGAAACTTTACATAGACAATAGATTATGGGGGGTAGAGGTAAGGGAAACTATCCCATATGGGAAAACAGTTGCACAGGAACAGTGTCCAGCTGTAAGCTGTAAATAACCGTTCCAAATCCCTCCAGAATGGCGCTAGTGTAGCGAGAGAGTATACAATTAATTTAGCAGTTATTGATGGAGTGAAGTGCGTCGAGTTAAAATATTTAATTCCTTTTTTACTATTAAATTAATTTAATACGTAAATAAAACTGTAACAATAATATTTAACATATCAAATCATATCACTATTTTTGTATTTTAGGTTTTTCTTTTAAAAAGTGTTTTACTAAAAGCGGAACTTTTGCTTGCCTTGTGCATGTGTGCCTCCCTTTAACATATACCCACTTGCTACTGTAACGCCATCCTAAATTAACACATTTTAACGGTCATTTTTTCAAACACAGAAACAGTTCTCCTTACCTTTACCCTCCATGCAAAGATTTCTAATTTGAAATTCAGAAACTATACAGGATGAAATCAAAATAACGGTACGTAAAGCTAAGAATCTAGCTATACTATAAAACATATTAGGACAGAATATTTTTGATTCAAAAAATTCAAAAACGTCAATAAATTGTGAGTCTCCTTGACTAGATAACTGAATAACCGAATGTACCGTGTTAGTATGCAAGACTCAATTTTTTTCGTAGTTTTTCGACTCATCTTTATTAAAAATGTATAATTTCATCATTAGAATACATACTTCAAAAGACACTACTTCTGTTTCACCCTGTATAGCGATCAACAGCGATCTATTAATACATAATACATAGTCAATACATAATAAATGCAGTTACAAAATAATGAATATCGTGTAATATATTAATAAAAGTGACTGTAAAGCTTCACTGATTTATTATTGAACATCTAGAACATTCTAATCACAACAGACATTAGCTGAACTTAGGCCTATGCAAACTAAATTACATTGTGTCACTCGATGCGCTATAGAATCAGTAAATTAAGTGAAGGATATAAGATAGGAGTAATATAACTTATTAAAATTAAATTTAAGGCCACCTTTTGCCCGCGGATAGAAAATTGCTTATGTCTTTCTGCATCCCATATAATACCCGTATACCAAATTTATAGTGATTCATTAAGCCGTTAAAGTGCCAAGAGTTAAACAAACACCCTTTCACATTTGTAATGTAATATTAGTAAGGATTACTGGTACCACATTTATTTATTCATTAATTTTTTTTGAAAATAAATTATATTATTATTATAAATATATGTATTTGTAGATGACTGTCTTAATGCTCAAAGCATTCTCTCCCAGTCAACCACAGGGAAGTGTCAGAATACTCGAATGCTGTACTAGTAATTATCGATATACATACATACTAGAATTCCATTTGAAATAAACATTCACCTCTAAGCAATGATTTTAAGGTTTGCGCAAACGTAGATACATCAGTGTACTCGTTGGTATAAGCAACCGGTAACATCTTGAGTGAGAGATATCTATTAAACTGTGTATGCATATGCCATTATTATAATATCTATGTGATTAAATTTTTTTTGCAACTTAGAATGGTAAACAAGCTGACGGCCCACCTGATGGAAAGTGGTAACCGTCGCCTATAGACATGAGCAGTACAATAGACAACAAAGTATACTGTTTCGCCCATGATACCCATTTTTGCGTTGCCATTCCTGAGGACTCAGGTGTTATTTCTCTGTATCCTGTAAATTCACTGTCATATCCCATTCTTCAAACCGAAACACAGTCATGCAAACACAACTGCTTCACGGTTGAAACGAATGATAAAAAAAGATACTTTATAAGTGTATTATATATGTATATAAAAAAAATGCTGATTCTTTATTTATTTCATAAATTTTCCTCTTTTATTTTAATGTTTTACAGATAATTTTGTTATATAAAATTAATAGACATTAAAAAAAACTAAAGAGGCAGATGTGTGACATTAAAAAAAATCAATAAAACAATACTCGTAAATTCACTACTTTAGTCTTTCAGACGAAATAACGGGCGAATATAACTGTTGCCACATCACAACAACAATAATCCAAAATAACGTCTCGTGACGCGACAAAAAGTGTCAGAGTTTGCGGTACGCCTAAATATTTTCTAATAACACATGTCAAGGATTTGCTACAATAATTAAGAACTGATTACGGAATATGGGAGCAATTAGACACAAGCGGTGCAGTTTATTCCATTAATTAGTTTGTGCTCAATATTGATGATTTCCACCTAACGAGGCCCTTCTTACTAATAACTACGACCTACTGTTCTTTTGAAATATTTTTTTAACGGTCTCTATATACATGCACAGGAGTTTTACAAACTTACTGTGTCTATCGTTTCCGACATTTATTTCAACTTCATCCGAATTTTTTTTTTTTTTTTATACAACTTAGAATGGCAAACAAGCTGACGGCCCACCTGATGGAAAGTGGTAACCGTCGCCTATAGACAAGAGCAGTACCATGGACATAACAGAGTATACTGTTTCGCCCATGAAACATACATATTGTTATTCCTCTGTACCCAGTAAATTCACGCCATATCCCACCCTTCAAACCGAAACACAGCCATGCAAACACAACTGCTTCACGGTAGAAACACGAATGAGATAGAGGTACCCAAGCAATCGACTTTGTACAAAAGTCTCCCTCTGGTAAATCTTCTTCGGTATGCGTACGGAGTACTTTTTATTATTATTATTATTCAAAATTATATCTTTTAAAGAGATAACGTGGCAAATTAACCTGTTATTATTATTTTATATATACAAGCCGTTATTTAAAAATCGAAAGGTAGGAAAGTAACCAGTGCATAAAAAAATATATGTTTTTAATTACTACATTTAGGAATACAACAGCAACAGTATATATTAAATTGTTATTTAACGACCATTATGATTGATAGATGTAGAACAGTCTATCACAGAGCAAAAAAAAAAATATTCACTACACATTTTAATCAAGGTTTAGGTAAGGTGCGCCATCTAATTCATCTAAATCATTTTAGTTTCTTTTTTAATTTTATTAAAAAGATGTTTTATTTATAATTTGAAGTCTGTGTCAGTTTAGGTTTTGTTTTTTGTTCGCTTTTTTACTCCGTTGGTTTTCTTTGTATATATTTTATATAATTATATTATATTTTTCTATAACACCGTGTTTCCATACCAGCATACAGTCCTTTCGCCCACACTATGAGTACTCGGTATTTGATAGAAATACTTCTTTTGTAAATATATATGTACCCGTTATCAATCTTATGAGTAAAAAAATATCTAAAACAGTATATGATATATAGAAAATCACTAGACCAAAACAAACAAACATACTAATAAATACAAATGCGTATTGTATTGGGGTCGAAGCCGCAACAACAGGAAGGCAAGGTAGTGTGTTAAACCGCTACACCACCGAGGTCGTCAAGTAACTAAGTAAACAATAAGTTTATGTTTCTAATTCGTCGTATTATAAATGAACTAGCGACTGGACCCGTCTTCGCACGGATGCAATATTTGTTTGTATATCTTTTAAACTGTTCAACACATTTTGGCTGGCATTTTGGCGTGTGTAAAAGTACTACACTAACATCACTAAAATTTTAAAATGAACGCCCTATTTATCAGCTTTTTTTTATACAACATAGAATGGCAAACAAGCTGACGGCCCACCTGATGGATAGTGGTAACCGTCGCCTATAGACATGAGCAGTACCATGGACATAACAGAGTATATTGTTTCGCCCATGATACCCCTCATGCGTTGCCATTCCTGAGGACTCAGGTGTTATTCCTCTGTACCCAGTAAATTCACGCTATATCCCACCCTTAAATCGGCCCAGGCAAAAATCGAATCAAGGACCTCATTACACAAAACAGTGTGCCTAAAGATGGGCCACGGAAGTCATCATTTTTTATAGTCTTTTAAAGTAGATATAATGTCTGTAATATTAAAGGGGAAAATAAAAACACAAATTGGCGAACAAATGGCGAGGAGGCGCGTTGCAATTCTTGGCAAGGAATACGTCTGAACATCGACAATGGTTACGATCAATAATTTCCAACACACAGGCCAAAGTTCAACTCATTATAGCTGCACATTGCAAGATTATTATATCGTCAACGTATTGTGAAAATATCGCAAGAAATATTTATTATAAATACATATATCACATATCTATAGATATTGGTACATTAAGGGTTTAAAAAAATATATATAAAACTACGACATTTAAAAGTAATTTTATTTATGTATTTTACGAAATGATAACCCTCATAGGACAAGTGTCAAAAGCTCACACACATACAATTGATTTTGTTAAATCAATGCACCGCCATTTACTCTCTCTCTGTTTAGCGAAACAGGGCCTCTAGACAAGCGGCAAGCGAATTCGTCGATGGAATCGACATCGCTAGCGAGTCCGTAAGTTGGAATGAGTCATCCAGCGTTGCTATCTCATTCTGTCTCACGGACTCGCTAGCGATGTTAATTCCAATGACGAATTCGCTGGCCACTTGTCTAGAGGCCCAGTCGACTGGTAGAGAATGCCATCAGGCATTAATTCCACCCTGTTGACACGGTTACGTTTAATGTCCCGCCAGTAAGAACTAACCTACTTCAGCGCGCTCCCTTAACTCACGCAGTACGGTTATTAAATAATATTATAAACATCATTGATATATTTAGTAGTAGCCTGCCAAAGATATTGGAAGCGTCTAAGAAATATCCAGAGTCGGGTTAAATACATTTATTATAACTTTGTATGTTAGCACACTAGATTTATAACATTGATTTGGCTTTTGCTGTTATAATGTTATAATTATTTTTAATGAATAAATAAATAAGTTTTAATATGTAGAAAAGTATAAATAAATAAATACACTTTCACAATACGATGACTACATATGTAGATACATTGCTTCCATTGACATTTATCAAACATTTATTCTATTTACTAACGAATAACAATAGAACAATTATTGAAAAACACAGAATAAACTATGTATGTATTTGTAAAAATGTTGAGGCCACAAGCCCCTTGCTCGACGTATTTAGGGACATGAGATCGGCACACTATTTCGTATTCTATATATATATATATATATATATATATTGCCGAGCCTATAGATGTATATTTAAATAGACATCGCAAACGTATATATTTTGAGTTTGAGTGTCAATTACCTTAGCCTACTTAGACTCCGTCAAAATATATATATATATATATATATATATATATATATATATATATATAAGTAACGCTCTATATAAGCAACATACTTTATATTTTATAAATATAAATATTATATAAAAGAAATAAGTAAAAATATTTTATACTCCTTTTTTCCTATAAGCAACTTTTCCAATAAGATTTTTTTTCATTGAAATTAGTTCAATTGAGTTGCTTATATAGAGCGTTCACTGTACACATAATTATACAAGTATATCGTATAAAAAAATAATTAAAGATTGAAATTGAAGAAAACTGATCCTAATTATATCAAAACATTTTTATCTAAAAATTAAACCACCGAACCGATATTCATAATATTTCTATGAAACGAATCTGTACGTTTATCCTTTTATATAAAAAAGTTTTTGACTTTAGTTGCTAGCAAAACCAGTTGTTTTGATCTAAAAAAAAATACTCAACCGATTTTGACAAAATTTCTATGGGACCAATCTATCTAGTATATCCATTCAGTTAAAAAATAATTTTCTAAACAAACCATTTTTAAAAAGTTTACAACTGACCGTTTACGAGGTAACACACATAAAAAAAAATACAACCGAATTCAGTACTTCCTTCTTTTTGAAGTCAATTGAAAACATACTAACTGTCATTGCAATTTCCGCACGTATACAGAATTCTTTATCTATTTCTATTCCTTGGTAAAAATTTTTGAGTTTCATATAAACACTATCGTTGAATTACGAATTGTTATAGACTTCCAAACCGACTTTACATTTAATTAAAAGCTAAGCTTTGGAATTGTACGGGAACAGAAGGAGGAACTGTATCACCACTACGATATATATAGTACGTTACACATTATATACATTTAGTAAGCGATTCACCTTATAAGACAAGTGTTCTAACAGAAAACACGTGCCGTCTCTATCTAATCGCGTTCAACAAAAAGAGAAGGGATCAAAAGAGTGATATTAATTTCTATATTAATAAAACAGTATTATCTTATTACACGTACCTTCATTGGCATCCTAAGTTTTAATATCTCACTATAGTCTCTTAAAACTGAGTACGGTGCATGGATCTGAAAAAAGGAAAAATATATTTAATAATGACACACTTGACATCCTTACCTTACTAATTTTTTTTATTTGTTTTTTACCTCATAACGCCTTAACCAGTCCATCATAAACTAAAATAATAATAATTTTGACTTACGATTAAATATATTAAAAAAATAATTCATTAAGGCCTTACAATAAAGATTTCGCGGGGAGAAAGGGATTGTTAGTAATGGAGACTGTGAATCCCATTGCTAGCAATATACCCAACCAGGTCGACCTCCTCGCGGTTCCCCCTGGAAACTATCATGGTTAATTCCCGATGAATTTATCATGTTGGGCTTGAGGCGTCTGTAAATAAATATTGTAAATATTCATCTCATAGCCACTTGTCAACATCATTACTTTCTTTTCCATCAAGTAGGTTAATTTAATTGTACATAGATATTTCACCTCTTTCTATCTTTCGGACTGGCCGTACAGACATGACAGCGACGTTTACTTCTCACATTCATTTCTGCTGTCATTCTCTCATTATATGAAAATCAATAATATAATCAAGTTGGTTGTTACTTATTTCGTCCAAACAACTACAGGCTAACTGGCCTGTTTTCATTCTCATCTATTACCCTTCACTGGTGCTCTGCAAGCATTATTTATGGGTTACCATTCCATTTTCACCCACACAAAAAAACTCAAGCCAGTTAGCCCCTCATGATGAATTCATCAGGAAATAACCATGATAGTTTCCAGGGAGAACCGCGAGGAGATCGACCTGGTTGGGTATATTAGTAGCAATGGGATTCTCAGTCTCATTACTAACAATCCCATTCTCCCCCGCAGGTTACCATTCCATTTTCATCCATAAAAAAAAATAAAGATTTCGCTGCGATATCAAATCGGAATCGACATTACTGTCATAATTCTCAAAACATATGTGTGGTGTAACTCCGTGTGATCTGAGCATTGGCAATAGGCCACCCCTTCCTTTTCCGCGGATGTCGTAAATGGCGACTAAGGGAGGGCGAAAGATGGACAGCAGCGTCCCTCTTGAAATATCTCTAAAAGTTTAGCTGCGGTTGCTAACCCGCTTGCCAAGCGTGGCAACTACTGGTTGCCAACTCGCCTGCCAAGCCAACTACTAAAACTTCCCTTATAGAGAAGGCTTATGTTCAGCAGTGGACCGTTAACGGCTGATATGATGATGATGATGAAGATATGTGATGTAAATACAGCATACCCTCTATCCTTCTCTTCAAATTATCCATTCCTCTAATTATTATATTCCAACATGAATTTGAATATCTATAGGTTTAGGCTGGGACTCGATCCCCAAACCCGAATGACGTGGTAAAATTGCAAGTAACAAATAAGACTTACCTTTGTAAAATTTAACCCGTGTAACTCCTTCGGTGCTTCCCTCTCCAGTTGCAAACCCTCATTTTCCAAGTTCTCTTCGAAAATCCTCCTCTGCTCGATAGCTTGCGGTGTGGTTGCGTCGACTTTACCCGCCTCCCATACCAACACATAATCTATGGTACGAACACCATCGTTGAAAGTCAACGATGGGTTGTTGAGGACACCGCCCATTATTATCCTGTACAAAGAGACATATTTGAAATAATTTCGTATCGACTCATTATTATAATGAAGTGCAATGAAAATAGAAATGAGTACATAAATGCATATAGAAGTTTGACTGACTAGACGGCGAAATAATTTTTAATATTATAGCCCGACAACATCGTGTGGGGCACTTCACGTGGGTAACAAAATATAAGGTCTGCAAGCTAGTGTATTTCAACAGATCTAAATGAAAATATCACCAAGTTATGTCACCGAATTTATCACTGAAACACTCTCCAAATTATTTAATTTAAACTACTTTTTATTTGAAGCAATATTGGACATCTGTAGATCGTTTTATGTTCCGGCCAATTACTAGTTTGTTTACATTTTCATTCAATCTATTGAAACAGAATATACCGTCTCCCGGTACGTCAAACACCCCGCAAGCCCCACACGAAGTTGACAAGTTATAATAAAAGTAACCAATTCTTTTTTTAAATAAGAAATAAAAATTAAGACTAAAGAATAGAATAAAATTAGTGCTATGATTATTGAAACTTTATTAATGTCGTTAAGGTATTAGTAACGTGCCAAATGCAAATTTATCATCACAAACACCAAATAATTCTCCAGATGAAAATGTTTCACTGACAAGAAATACAGTTACCTGGATACATATATTTTGAAGGACAGCACAAGTATATAAATAATGAATAATTTTATATACATATATATATATAAAAGGACATTCACAATGAATATGAGTAAGGAGTCGTCAAACATTCAGAGGTTGTTCCTTTGAACGTTTGCCAAACGTCTATAACTGTTGTATATTAGACCCAACTTACAAATCAATGTACTAAACGATTATAATAGTTTGCGAAAATTAGATACATTATACTTTTTATGTTTAGTATTACTTCTTAAACAAATTTTATTATATATATTTTTCTATTTTAGTGTAACGGACAAACTAAAATCCAGCGGTAGTATTAGTAGCCCTGAACAATTTTCCCTAAGATACCTGGATCGAAATATGAAAATATTTATCTTATATCAGGAATTTTGTCTTGTAGGTCTTGTCATCACAATAATTTATTTTGTTGCATCCGGTTCGAAGGACCAAAAAATTTTAAGGGTAAATTTCGTGATATTACTCTCTGATTATTCTGTTAGAGATTTTAATAAATAAAACCGCCCTGATTAAACGCCGCTCGTACACTAATTTATTGTTACCAAAATTGTATGCGTATAAGGTGCATGTGAAAGCATAACTTAATAATGCAAGTACCTACTTGCATTATTAAGTTGTCATATATAAGTTTTCGCATAGCGCTGTCTCATTCTATTTCATGGACTCGCTAGCGATAACGATTCTATCTATTAAATCTTTTGTATTGTATTTAAGGGAGGGCTGCACAATTTACGGGATATAATACGAATGTTTATATATTCATATTTGGGGGGAGGGATTGTTAGTAATTGGGAGGTAAGTAACCATTGCTATCAATACACCCTATCAGGTCGACCTCCACGCGGTTCCCCCTGGAAACTATCGTGACTAATTAACGTTGAATTTGTCACGATGGGCTAACAGACCTACCTTTTCATCCTCACCTATCACCTCTCACGGGTACCGCACCAGTGAATACGGATAGCGCAGGCGAGTTTACCATGCCACTTTCATCCATTAAAAAACATATACATATTTTGCCCTGTTTCTTGGAGCAAATTATTTAGTTTCCTAACACATTTGCTTGATTTAAGATTGTTCGTCCGTTACACCCTGTATAAAAAAAATACATACAAATCTGAAATATCGATTACATTGATTACAAGACAATTGCAAATTGATGTTGATTATGTAGAAAACACCCATATTCCCTGGCATATCCATATATTATGGCCGTTTTCCACATAACTAACTCCATGTTTGTCGAAAAAGTTTGGCCAAATATACAATCAAATGTATGCCCACATAACTAACTACTCACGAGCAATGGTTGGCTTTCGGTTTGCCATTGCCATTGGTAGCTACATCTGGCAGAGTGGCCGCCGGGTCGAATGAGCATTCCTCCGCCGGCCTCGTTGATGCTTCGCTACCGTTGTCCCTGAAATTATTCTTTGCTTGGGGACAATGCGCTTGTAAGTGTGCCAATTGTTTGAACAAATCTAACCGTGTCGGTGCAACAATGGTTTTTTTACTTCTACTCTATATGCTATTAACGTAATTTGCAGTTTTATATTGAACTAACACAGTGTACGGTGTGAACAAATCCTGTTACACATTAATATATAATAAGGTATTTAAAATTAAAACTCTATCCATAATATCACAGAATTAAAACTAAAGGATGCATTAGGAATAAAATTACGTAACAGGAAGCACACCAGCGCCAGGTCAATGGCAATTCTGCACAACTGACCTTGTAATTGCGAACTTGTTATTATAAAATTGTGACGCGTGGTAGATACCTACTATTTGAATATGGAATATGAAATTTAACATTTCATTCGTTTTAAATTTTAAGTGATAGAATATGGAATGAAAATTTGATTTTTTTTTTTCTAAAAGCATTAATATCGGACGACTATGACGATAGGCAAAGAAAGAACGGATGACAGCTTAATTTTAAATACCACTAATACACTTGATTTTGTCTTGTATATACCGTACATGCATACAAAACAAGGAGACCAGTATTTAATCCCATTTTAATGAATATTTGTATCAGCTGTCCATCACCTTCATATGAAATTATTGTATTCCCTAGCGTATAGGTACATATGGCGCTTGGGTTAAATAATTATTCACTTCACAACATTACTTCTTTTACACCAATATTAATTTCCACAATGTAGTATGATGCAAAAATATTCAAACCGATAAACGAAAACACATTCTTAACATGCAATATTAATATTTAATTAATTAGTGGTACTAATGTGGCGAGCAAAAAAATCGAGCCAACACAAATAATTAAAATAAATATATATATAACAATTATGACAAAATCACCATTAATACGAGAATAAACCCAAATTCTTCTTCTTCCTATCCTTATCCCAATTATTATATGGGGTCAGCGTAATATGTATTTTACCCATATTACAGAAAAAATTTGGCTTAGTTTTACGATCGGCCGCCTACATGACATCAACGTTCTTTGGGAATTAAACCCTAATTATGTATTATAAAAAAAAAGTAAAGAAAGTCAACTTCGAATTAGCAAATAGGTCATTAAACATACATATAAAAAATATATAAACTTAAAATATAATAATAATAATCCTTTATTAACAAATACAAGATTGCACTAAATTAATATAAAAATATATCATACAAAAACTAAAAAATGACCAAATGCCAAATATAAATATGTAAGTAAATAAGTAAAGTAAATTTTAGTACTGAAAGCACTTATTTTATTATTTATTTTATTATCTCTACTCCCACTAGTAACACCAGTAACAACATAATAGATTTTTTTTAATAAATTAATTAAGTAATAATAATAATTTTATTTGTTCCTTAAACAAGTTTACAATTTACTAAAATTGAACTCTTTCAAAATCAAGCTTGAAATGAACCTACCATGAAATGTTTTCCGAAATTTCGAATATATTTTTATATTAATTTGTTTTCCGAAATTTCGGATTCGAACGAAACAAAAATTTGATGTTAAAATTACTTGATACATACCGATTAAAAATGTTAAAAATGCTAAAGTATCGTTCCTTTTTACTTTTATGGTAGGACTTATGACAAATGAAATGTTAGGCTCCATTTATAGGGCCGATTTTGGTACTAACAAAAACACGAAATTGAGCCCGAAAATTCGGAATTTCAATTTCATTTCATGGTAGACCCCCAGGGGATAGTTTTCGTTTGCTGATAGGTTGACTGGCAGAGAATACTACTAGCGTTAGGTCCATCTATTGTACCTACCATATTTTCTTTGATCAATATAGTTATTTATTTAAATAGAATAGCTAAATTAATGCATCGTCTATGATTCGATATCGTTCATTTAGAGGTATTAAAAAAAAAATTCTAAAGACTCATCGATGTGTAGCTAGCTATCTAATAAACTTATTTGTTACAAAAGGAACCGATATAAATTGTTACAATTGGCCAAATTGCCTGTCGAGATACGAAGTTTATCATGTCCTACTGCTGATACGATTCAATTTGAACGTCCTGTCAAACACCGAATATAGTAGACACTATTAATTTTTTTTTTATACAACTTAGAATGGCAAACGAGCTGACGGCCCACCTGATGGAAAGTGGTATCCGTCGCCTATAGACATGAGTAGTACCATGGACATAACAGAGTATACTGTTTTGCCCGTGATACCCCCCATGCGTTGCCATTCCTGAGGATTCAGGTATTATTCCTCTGTACCCAGTAAATTCACGCCATATCCCACCCTTCAAACCGAAACACAGCCATGCAAACACAACTGCTTGACGGTAGGAACACGAATGGGACAGAGGTACCCAAGCAATCGACTTTTGTACAAAGTCTTCCTCTAGTAAATATGTTAATTAATGTACATAAATTACCCTTATTTTAAGGTCATAAAATAGAAATTTGTATAATAAAATCTTAATGGTACTTCGTATTTGGAATACATTGTGCCGAATACATAATTACATTGACCTTAAAAAGAACTATAAGTTTTATATTAATCGTATGAATATATATTTTATATTACCAGAAGGAGACTTTGTACAAAAATCTATTGCTTGGGTATCTCTGTTCCATTCGTGTTTCAACCGTGAAGCAGTTGTGTTTGCATGGCTGTATTTCGGTTTGAAGGGGGGATATGGGGTGAATTTACAGGGTACAGAGGAATAACACCTGAGTCCTCAGGAATGGCAACACATGGGGGGTATCATGGGCGAAACAGTATACTCTGTTATGTCCATGGTACTGCTTATGTCTATAGGCGATGGTTACCACTTTCCATCAGGTGAGCCGTCAGCTTGTTTGCCATTCTAAGTTGTATAAAAAAAATTAAAATTAACAAAGACGACCCATAAAAATGACCGCAGAGTCTAAAGTTTATAAACCAAATCGTTGTACATGAAGACGTCTAGTCTAGTTTACGGGAGACTGTATTATATTAAATTATATCTATCACATCTCCCATATTTAGAACTAACAAAATTTTTCATCGTGCCTCCCACCAAACTGTTTATAATTACTCCTCTCCATCCAAAGGTTGCCTGAAAGAGATCGCTCTTAGCGATAAGGTCGCCCATTGTTTTCTCATTGTGATTATTTCTTGTAATTATTTATATTTATAATAAGTTTACTATTGTAATCTTTTGGAGGAAGCAATAAAGAGTATCTATCAAACTATCTATCTAAATTCTATACAGGTAAAACAACATAAAGCGAACACAACAATTATAATATATGAAACAGTAAACACAAGGGTCAACGAGTACATAAAATAGATAAAATCACAATGACAAACACATTGTTATCAATTTGCCCTAGCAGCTTGAATGAAGCACATTCGACGCAATGTCCTAAAGCGAAGTTCTAAAGCGATCACGTAAAATAATGACTATACTTTTACATGGCGAATAAAAGAGTAATAAATAAACTAAAGAATTAAAGCATTTCAACGGCTCTACAATTATTTTTACGATGTTAACACTGAGGGCATTTCCAATAGGCATTATTCATATATTTTTAAAAACACTATGAAAGCGAAGCAATCAGTAGTTACAGCTTTAAAGAAGTGAAGCACTTTTTATTATTTTTACGTAGTGTCAGCACAGATTTGCAGTTGTATAATACTACATCGAATAGTTAATGTAATTCTAATGCCCCCGAATACGGAAGATGATGGATAGCCTTCCTCCATATCAGAGCATTACAAGGGCAGCGTTCACAAAAGCAACATCGTTATAGAGATAAGCATGCATTAGGGAAATATACCTACATTGAAATGTAACAGAATGTATATAAAATAATAGAAAAAGAATAAAACACTTGCTCGTGTGGTGCAATAAAACTGGCATGTAACAAAATTACAGTTGATATGAAGCTTAATTGCGATGTGTCAGTAATTCAATTTAATCGAATTAGGTAATTGGAATGAAGATTACGCATAGATGTCCCCCACTAATTGCTTTTCTTCATAAGTGATACAACGATATACTGCACTATTACGAGTATAATTAAAGCAGAATACATAGCGGTGCCTTATAATGGTCATGTTATGTGTTCTAGAAAAAAAAAAGCAAACGTAATTTAAAAATTGGCGGGAATTCATTTGTTACGGTTGGTATCAGGAATGGCCCACCAAGCTGCTAGTACAAATGAACTAACATGACCACAGCACTCACCGGTCGGTGTTCATGTCCTGCGACATATTGTCCTGGTACATACTCAGCACCGACATCGCCTGCAGGTCGGGTATCTTCTCCTGCTCCTCCTTCTCCTTCTGACATAACAGGAATACTAAGTCAGTCAGATCTCTCATATAATACGAAATAAAAATCGAATAATAAAGTAACGGAAATAAATATTTTTTTATATACTTTTATCTCTCCTAAGTCATTTTTGTGTTCACAATGAGGTAACTCTTCCAGGAAAATTATACGCACATTTGGCTGTTTTTCTATTTTCCTTTATGAGAGAAGTGACCGATTGAAATGGAAGGTTTGAGGAACAAAATAAACAGGTATGTATTTAATAAGCAACATAATTTCAAGTTAAAATTTAAAATCAATTTAAAAATTTTAAGTAACACGTATTAATTTGGTCGATACAAGTAATTTTAAATAAACGACTGTTCGAATTGAAATATAAACATAAATACTTAATACCTGCAGACGCAGAACCTACGTTTTTATCCTAAACAAATAATGACACATGCATACTTTACGTCTCCTGTGCGCAGCGCTCGACTTGTTCATTCTCAACAATGCCAAGTCAGACATAATGTAAAACATCACATCAATACACCATCTTGCTATCATTATAGAAGTTACAATGACAAGAACGGTGGCGAACTAAAAATGCCGAGTATAGTCACTGACCTTGATTAGTCTACTGTTTCACATAGTGATTCATAGGACTTGACGGTATTTGAGATATTGCAAGCGTAAAAATCAACGCACTTAATTTTTCTCATCACAGACGCGAAATTATTGATGTCAAAAAGAAAGCGACGATGTCCGATTAATATAATAGACGGCTACAAAAAAATTTACGTGTACATTTTCCGAAGTTTCACGAACAACTATGTTTATCCGGTATGTACGAAATGTCTTGGGAATAGGCTCTGTACAAACAGAGCGACGTTTAGGTGTACTTGATATGAACTCTACATAAACGTTGAAAATTATTCACTCTTTTAACTAGGTAAGAGGATTGGATATCATCTTTGTTAGTGCATTGTAACACGCGTCAAGTTACAACCTTCTGCAAATTGAAGCAAATGTTATAAACTTGATTATACTTGTTAATCTATTGAAAAAGTCTACGTCAATTTTGAATAAACCTAACTAAACGATTATAATAAAATTATATCTTTTCAGATAAAAAAAAAGAATTTTCCAAATCAGTTTATAACTGACGGAGATATGAAGTAATAAACGTGAAAAAAAATACAACCCAACCAACCCAACCAACCCAACCAACCAACCAAACCTCTTTCTTTTTAAAGTCAAATAACAAAAAAAATTGCTCTTTATAATAATAGTTTATATGTAACCTATGGTAACCATTTACAGATAATTCAATTAAAAACTAATTCCAGATTGTCTCCTCTATCTTGTTTACTTGTAATAATCACGTATACGACCGAGTAACTGTGATTCAAGGTCGCATTGCAAAAACAGCGAACTGTAGTTGACGATCGACCGAAAATATACATAATTAACTCTACATAAATTCGTGAAAAGAAAAGCAACAAAGATCTACATAAAATAATAAGGTCCACTGAAAGAAATCCCTTTAAGGGATAAGTCCGCCCGTGTACATTTTTGTCATAACGTAATATCTATACTGTAAGTGAATCTACAAAAGCATATAAATAAATAAATAAAATCCTACACAAGTTTATTGGCCATTTCTTTTATTTATTCAATTGACTTCAAAAAGAAGGTAGTTCCCAATAGGACTGCATTTTAGGCGACTTCAAAAAGAATAGTCACATTTCGACCTTTTTTTCCTATAACAGGTATGTCATCGCCAATTCTAAACCGATTTTTATTAGTATTTGGCAATCAATAAAATTTATTCCGTGTTGGTCTTACGCCAATTTTGTGACGATTGGCGTTTTCATTTGTCGAACAAATTCTTAAAATTATCCACTCCATTTATATTTTTGTTCCTTAGTCGAGTTATTTCAATATTTTAGGCTCCAGACTAACCACTGGATAAATATTAGTCGCACATTGCACTTGTACCTGTTCTAACTCCATCACCACGTATGCCGTTAACGCGGGAGGTATTATCATTGTCATCCAATAAAAAAAACCTCCATCACCAAATGAGGAACGAAGCTTTTCCTTCGAAAGACATTTTTTGCTTTTGTGAACTTTAAATAATAAAACCTACAAAGACTGTTGACAAACCACAAAAACTTAGAGAGAGCTGAACGAAACTAATAATGGAACATAGCCGCATAAAAATTACGGTTTTTATAAAAGTTGGTAACAGTGTGAAGTGTGAATACCTATGCTTATGGTATGAGCAATAGCGTTGTTTGCTGTTAATTATCTTTATTGGCTCGTTACCTCAGGGATTTTCATGACAAATGAACATTGCCTTTTTACACCAAAATTACGTCGTAATATGCTTTTGTAAAGAGACGCGCGAGTATACGTACGTATGTATTACTTCTAATACTGGAGTTGAGGCCTATGACAACAATCGACGACTAATAAGCTAATTTTTACCTGCGGTTTCGTCTGCGAAATCGGGATAAAAAGTAGCTTCTTCCTAGGGTTTAACGGATGATAATGGAACGGTACCCCCATCTATATTAACGGAATACGCTGGCGGGGCACCAGTGAAAGATGATAAATGAGGATGAAAATGCAGGTCATTTAGCCCATCGTAATGAATACACCTTTAATTTAGCACGATGGTTTCCAGGGGGTACCACGTGGAGATCGACCTGACAGGGTATATTGCTAGCAATAAGACTGATAGTCTGCATTACTAACAATCCCCTCCCCCCCCCCTCCTAGAGGTGGGTAACACATATTGGGGACCGGTGGACAGCAGAGATCGTCAGTTCGGAGGCTGACCACATACTCATTTGTTGCAGTATCCGGCCATTCATTTATCTTTCTAATACTCTGGCGTGAATTTACTGGGTACAGAGGAATAACACCTGAGTCCTCAGGAATGGCAACGCATGGGGGTATCATGGGCGAAACAGTATACTCTGTTATGTCCATGGTACTGCTCATGTCTATAGGCGACGGTTACCACTTTCCATCAGGTGGGCCGTCAGCTTGTTTGCCATTCTAAGTTCTATATAAAAAAAAAAAAAAAAAAAAAAATAACTCCTCAAATATTGCGTCTAAATTGCGCCCACCAAGTACCCTCGTGTACAGGCATTCCGTCACCCGTATCCAATAGCGAGGACGGGATGCCTTAAATAATGTACAGCAAACCATAAAAAAAACACATATCATATAGGAGGGAATGGACTGTCAGTAATAAAGTCCCAACAGCTCAATTTTTAGTAATATACTACCGGGTCAACCTCCACGTAATTACCTTGAAAACTATTGTGATTAATTCTTGTAGAATGCATCACGATGGGCTATAACCTGCTTTCATTCTCATCCATCATCTCTCACTAGTGCCTCGCCATCTTATACTGATAGCAAAATGGGGTTACCATTCCATTTACACCCGTTAAAAATAAAGATAAAAATCATATTCATATATTATTAAAATACCTTATCACCTTTTTTACAGCAATCAAATTTCAGAGGAACTCAATGAGTATATAGATATCGGACCAGTATGAACCACATCGATATAGGTGATGACCTTTTTTCGTAGTCAACATCATACTGGTAGAGGTAATGTCAGTGTGTGTCAAAGCGCACACGATAGTCGACAAGATATTACGTAATTTGATTACAATTATTTTAATTAATTCCGCTACCATTAGTATGTGTGCGACTGCTAACAAAAGAAGATTGAGGGAAAGGATTTTTTTTTGTTGGGTGAAAATAGTATGGTAACCCTGCCTGCGCTAACGGGATACGCTGGCGGAGCACCAGTGAAGGGTGATATGTGAGAAATATGATATGTGTGATAGATGAGAATGAAAACAGACCAGATAGCCCATCATGATGAATTCATTAGAAATTAACCATGATAGTTTTCAGTGAGAACCGCGAGGAGATCGACCTGGTTGGCTATATTGCTAGCAATGGGATTCTCAGTCTCCATTACTAACAATCCCCTTCCCCCCGGAAAGGATTGTTAGTAATACGGACTACTAGTCCCATTGTCAATATACCTGGTCCGTTCGACCTCCACGTGGTTCTCCCTGGAAACCATCGTGTTGAATTCCAGGTGTATTCATCACGATGGGCTAATTGACCAGCCATTTCATTCTCACTTGTCATCCCTTACTGGTACACCACCAGCGTATGCCGTTAGCGCGAGTAAGATAGCCATTCCATAATCATCCATTAAAGAAAAACACTCGAAGATTGATTACTATTTATATTACTAGAAGTTCCATATTTGCCATCAATCTTTGACTACCATTTCGTCCAAGCACGTTTAAGAATAAATGTTTCACCTCTAAACGAGGTATCTTCAGGCAAATTAATAGATAGTTGCTCGGAGCCTAGTGTTAACTATTCGGCGTCCAAACTGCGGAACTTTTGCACGTGGTGAAACACATTTCACAACATAATTCTAATCAAATAAGCAGCGATATGGAACTCCACAAAATAACACCTAGTTCAAAAAAGATATTCCGTAGATTTGTACTCAACATTGACAACATTTAATAAATTTATAACTAGTAGAAATTTGCTCCGTTAAGGTAAAATGGCAACTTCAATTCACAAAATGAATATAAGACCACCATGGCAGTAAACTCTATCGATTGCAAGAACAATTGGAGCTAGTTAAGCAGAGAACAGCCTTATTATCTGAAATATACTATAATCCTTACTAATATAATAAATGTGAAATTAAGTTTGTTTGTTACCTCATAGCGCCTTAACGGTTGTTAAAAATTTGGTAGACACGTACTATTTGGAATGGAGTAGGATATAGGCCACTATTTATGTCGTTCGTCGAATATTCCCGGTCACGCGAACGAAGTCGCGGATAAAAACTAGTATAATATAAAAGATAACTGTTTGCCGCATAACTATTATTTATCAGTATTCACGTTGAAAACTCGTGATGTAGCCATCAAAAATACAAAAGCTTTTGAAAATAGAATTAAAAATACGCAATAAAAGTTCAACACAATTTCAAATACACAAGTCAAATGTTTATCATTTGCAGAAATGTATTAAGTAAACCACTAAATTATGAATTATTTATTGATTTCTATTTAGAGTCGTCTATTTTACACTTTTTCTATGAAAACTTGCACACTTGTATAGAAAAAAAAAAAAACACTATATTATATCTATCTTCACGTTATTTTCCTTAAAAAATACACGATTTCATTTGAAATATGTTTATAGAATAATAGAGAAAACAACACTATTCCTTTAAAAGAGGAAAATGTACAATGGTCAGCATCTTTCATGTTGATATAAAATTATACCTTTGTATAACCAATTAGAATCTAATGGACTACTCATAGGTACTTCTATTCAAAGACGAATAAACGGCGATAAACCCTAGTGTACAGTGTTTTTTTTTTTTAATTAATTAAGAGGAAATTGTGCACATCTCTATAATTTTGGCGAACAACGGGGGAGCTCTATTAGACGATGAAATTATAGGAATGAAGTTAAATCAGTTGGCGAATTCATATCATGGCCATTTCACCAGGTATTAATAACCGGGAGGTAACCACATTGATTACTAGAGAAACCACATTTAGGTCAATTAATAGGGAATATTACTAACTGCCCTCTTCTCTAGACACAATGCTTTTTATCATATACTGAATTGAGTGGAATACACCCTCGACAAGATTAATCAATTAAAGGCATTACATACTGCATAGTATATAAGTCAAAATCCATAGAACTGGTGAAGGATTTTCCTGTTTATTAAATTATTATATATCTATTCGTGCGGAATCGCTCCGCACAAATAGATATGATTTTCGAAAATAATATATGTTACTCGATGATACTGTAGCCTTCGTTTGTTGAATAGTTTGTGAATCACAAACAAACAATCAATCGAATCTTTCTTCTTTTTAATATTAGTATAAATTTATTTATTATTACACTAACAGAACATAGTACACAATGTTTTATCTCCAGGATGTCGTAAGAGGTGACTGTAGAAACAAAGCACAATATACCAGTACAATAGTAAGAAAATTAAAAAGAAAAACCCGATACCAGGCATCTGGCCTAGAATCTGGTACTAGAACCATTGTAATGCACTGTCTAAGGTATAAGGTAGAAGTACATTGTGTGACTAAATTAGGTGAAGAAACGGCGTCTACCACTTTTTATTATAAGATGGGGTATTAAATAGTTTGCTATAATATAGTACATAGTAGTACAAAAAAAATTACTGTACTTGCAATAAAATAACGCTCGTGTGAATAAGGTCCCAGTACAGTAGGTATAGGTTTAGTAACAATAGATGTAACACGCTACAAGAAGCCGATCTGTACGATGTCAGGGCTTCCCAGCTCTTTTTATCGTCACAACTATAAATTATACATGTGTCACCTAATTAAGTGATATTTAGGTTTCTGTAGCCGTTATTTATTTTTTTATTCATTTATTATTTATTTTTGTAAGTGGCTACTTTCCATCAAGTGGGTTTATCAGCTTATTTGCCAATCTATGTTTATCATAAAACTAAAAATAGAGTATTGTTTCTATTGATTACAAATGCAGATCACTAATAATTCTTGATAAATACTACTTTTTAAATCTATTTGACCACTGATCATCACCAGCTTATGCATACATAGATTTAAATTTGGAACTCCAAAATCTGAGTCTAGAGGATAATAATTTCAGAAACAGCAAAACAAATGAAAATTTTATTTGCTACATAAATCTAAAAATCTCCACAATGTTAGCTATTAACTAGTTATGTGGCTAAAAAAATCTATTCAATATTATGACTTTTTCTAAGATTATCATATGGTACTACAGGGTGTCTCAAAAGAAAGGTGACATTTGCTTTGGTTATTGTGTGAACGCAACTATTCTGGCAAATTGATATCCAGGAGAGGTGACATAAATTGGCCTCCACGAAATCCCGATTTAACCCCTATGGACTTTTTCCTGTGGGGTTACGTCAAATCTAAAGTTTATGCCAACAAACCGACTTCCTTGGCACAATTTAAAGGAAATATCCATCACGAAATGGCAGCCATCATGGACAATACATGCTGAGCTGTCATAGAAAATTTTAGAGCTCAATTAAATGAATGCTGTAAACACAACGGTTTACACTCGGACGACATCATTTTCAAGAAATAAATTCCCAAAAAGTGTGTTTTAATATGTAATAAAAAAAAATTTAATAAACTCCTTGTTTAATTTTTTATAAATTTTTTAAATGTGAACTTTCTTTTGAGTCACACCACAACACCTTGTACATTGTATGGATCAAAAAAATAAATATAATATTTATGTAATTTATTTTTAAAAGACTTAAATAACTGAGTTTGATGCAGGAAGCAATCAAATATGTTATTAGTCATATATTGATGTATAGGAAAAGGATTATTAATAAAACCAAATATTACCTATACTTATCTCATCATAAAGTAGTGGCATTCTAAAGTATAAATTTATTATGTATTGTGTATAGGTATACATTATCAACTGTTATTTTCTTTATCTATCCCAATAATAAAGTATGGCATTCATGATTGACTGTTCACATTAAAGGTTAACTGGTAGAGAATGCTACTAGCAGTTTTTTTTTTATACAACTTAGAATGGCAAACAAGCTGACGGCCCACCTGATGGAAAGTGGTAACCGTCACCTATAGACATGAGCAGTACCATGGACATAACAGAGTATACTGTTTCGCCCATGATACCCCCATGCGTTGCCATTCCTGAGGACTCAGGTGTTATTCCTCTGTACCCAGTAAATTCACGCCATATCCCACCCTTCAAACTGAAACACAGCCATGCAAACACAACTGCTTCACAGTTGAAACACAAATGGGACAGAGGTACCCAAGCAATAGACTTTTGTACAAAGTCAGTACACTGTTAAAGTAGACTTAATAGTCTGTCTTTTGTACCATAATTGTTTTCTTTTTAACTTAATTAGTTATTTAAATAAATAAATAAATGTTGTTAATATTCCTATGAGTCATATAAGAAATATATAAGTCCCCTAACAGTATGTATAAACTACTTATCTGATGTAGGATCAGTTAAGGTCATTCCGCATTGTTGCACTCTGTGTGAACTTCATTCAATCACATTATATTCATTCAAGTGATAACGTTTGTATTTGTTCATTATGATTATCAACAATCTATCACAATAATAAATAATCACAATAATAAATAATCTCAGTGTGCCTTTTTCTGTAATAATATTATAAAGATAAAAGATTTGACTGTTTGTTTGAAATAGATAAATTTAAAAAACAACTCAAACAATTTTAAATTTTCTTTAACCTACAGACAACTCTATTGCCAATGAGAAGTGTTCAATGAGTATTATTCTTGAAAATTCTATCTACTTGTGACAAAGCCAGGCTGGATCACTAGTATCAAAATAACAGTATAATCAGATTTACTAAAACTTGCAACTACTATTTTATATAGTATTTGGAAAACTATTGAGATTATAGTTAATTTTCACTGTAACAATGGTACTACTCATGGCTAGCAATGGGATTCTCAGTCTCCATTACTAACAATCCCTTTCCCCCTGACAATTACCACTTTCCATCAGGTATGTCATTGCTTGTTTGCCATTCTAAGATGCATAAAAAAAATACAATTAGGTATGCCACTCCATATGATTTAGCATTATTTCAACAACATTGTATCAATAAATATTTCTTTCTTCTTTCTTTCATTGCTGAATATTTTATATATCATTATTGCAGATTATTTTAATTTGATAAATCTTCATTATTAAATACCACACAGTCACAACAATAATTTGGTTCACAAGTTTGTAAATACCCTGTGTTATAACAATTGTGCCCTCATTATCAGTATGTACCATTAGATAATAGGTTTTAAATAACATGATAATATACTTGTACATTAGACATAGTTTATTATGAACAAATTCATTATAATACCTCCACCATTGATTTATTAAAAAATAAATTATTTTTTTCTTGAAAAACATATTGTGAAACAATGGTTGAGTACCATAGACATTAGTGGTTTACCTCAATTTGTATTCAAAATATTTGTATCATAGATATTAATAGAATCATAACTCAATTTGATGAACATAAATAATCGAGTTTAAGGTAACACTAACATGTGAATCTAACATTCGATCTGACTCATTCACAGCTAAATACAAAAGTAAATATAGACAATACCATATACTAAGAGGAATATATTGGAAATATATAAAAACAAATATCATCCTTATTTTAGATATTAATTGTCCACACCTGTAGACTGAACTAAACTTATTAATAAAGAATGGATAAAACTACAAACAAAGCTTACAAAAGTGTATTTATTGAACCTAGTACTTAAGTACTGTAAAAAAAAGTTTATGTAGAAAATTTATCATCTGTGAGTCTTTCCTTAAGCTTGCTCTAAAATTTAGTTCATTTTTACACAATATAAATAATATAAGCACTCACCTGTTGAAATTCCGCATCTCCATCCTGGAATAACTGTCTGAAGGCGAGATCGTTACGCTGCGAGTCATTCAGGAACGACTCGGTCTCCGCCGCGTCAGACCTTTTATGATGAAGCTTCACTCCACCAGTATATATCGGAGTAGCTATCTTCGGCGTAAACACATTTTCCTCTGCTCTCTCCAACAGAGGCTTCGGAACGTCCTCTTCAAGTGATGGGTCACCGTCTGACATTACACGCCGAGGTACAATATCTTAGACCCCACAGCACTTAACACATAGTCATATCCGAATACGTAGCCTGTTCGGAGCGATTACTGTATTAGTCACTGATCGGCAAGAAAGGAAAAATCTGATTTTCCAACTATTGTAATTACAAGTACGGTGGCTATAAAATGTGTTTATTGTAAATACCCGCCAATTATATTAAATAAATCTTGGGAATATATATAATAGAAAGTGAAGATAAAAGTGGAGGAGTATGGATGGATAAAAGAAATATTTTTGGTTTTGCGAAATTTTCAGTCAACAGATGTCAAATATGATACCAAACGTCAATCATGTCAAAATATGACAGTTAAACATATGACTATACTAAGAGACTATAATTAGTAATCATAGATTATTTAAATGGTAGTAATAAGATGGTACAACACTCAAAATCTATCATTTAATCTAAATTTTGGCTACCAACCGGTAAAAATAGTTTACTTATTTGAATTTTATTGATCCTTTGTCTTTACAAGATATTTTTAATTACTTTTTATTAGCTCTAACTTAAAAAAAAATATATATCTTTATTATAATTCATTTATCACTTCTTGGTCGTTCATTGGTTTGGTCATTTGGAGAGGATGGATGAAAGAAGAGTTACGAAAGAGATTTATCGAGCAACAATGAATGGAGATGTCAGTAGGGGCCGCCCTAGACGGACGTATGTCGACCAAATAGGCGACGTGCTGAAGAAGGGCCAAATTAAAAGTACCCGTAACCGGCGAACGTGTATGACAAGATTGATGAATGTGGAAGAAGCGAAAGAGGTTTGTTTGAATCGAAGCATTTGGCGTTCCATTGTTTCTGTCTACCCTAATGGGAGACAGGCGTGACAGATATGTATGTATGTATGTTATCACTTCTTCTTTTCTTCCTACTTCTTTAACTTAACAATTTATTTCTTTGTATTAAATATTATTTAATTATTAACTCTATTTCAGGAAGAATACAATTTCGACTATATTTTACTCTAAATAAATATATAATTTTTTTGATCAGTGAAACATAATATTGTCTCACACTAATTATAGTAGAAATAGATATTTTTTTGAAGTACAAAGATTGTGGTATACAAAACTCTTTACAAATACTGTTTTTTTATTCTATCACTGATTTAAGATTGTGACATTACATATCTAACTATTAATATCTATTATAATACCACTGTATCGTCATTTTTAGTTGAATTAAACAAATATTTCCCTACGGTTTATATCGTTTTGTATCAAAGATACCAAACAACTATAAATTTAAGTCTGTCTTAGGGTAATAAGCGGTTAATTTTGTATACTAGTACAGTGGAGATAGAATTATTAGTAGAAATATCGTATTATAGTGTAAATAGATGATTTTTAAAAATATATAGTAGCAACAATCTCTGCCACGCCGCTCGTGAGCTGTCAAATTGTCAAGCCGAACTAGTTGTTCGCGGTGATGTTAGAAAATTTTCAATAGGTTGCCGGTGAAGAATATATTATAATAATATATTAATTATTACTACGTTTATCTATGTAAAATTTCATTAAAAATATTTACAAACGAGCAACAAACATGACGGCGGAGGTCCAGAGTAAGGCGAGACTGCCTCATCTTTCGTCCGATAAACAACTAACATTTCTAAAGTTAGCTGTTTTATCAATGGCAGCAATCCTATGTAAGCTTTTTTTAATTAAAAATCTAATATTCTACACATCTCCTACGATTTAATCTATCCAGTAACTATTCCACTATTCAGAATATTTTTCATTTACAGCAACGACTACGTGGTTTTTTATGATAAGATACCGCTGCGTAAACTGCTGACTTCAGCTATAAAATACTGTTTTTATACTTTTAGTGTAAACGTTACCATTACAATAATATTTTATGAGTTTAAAACTCGTGTTATGTCTATCAATTATTCACAGTAGTATAATATAGGTAAAGTAGCTACCATTAATAAATACCACTTATATGCCTGAATACTGCTAAATAAACTTGGGTAGGTACTTCACTGTACATATGTAAATAATTTTTTGTTTTAAATTTAAGGATTTCAAATTTAAGGATGATCAAGGTGGATAATTAAAATGAACAGGAAAATAATAATATACTTTTAAAAGCTTTGATTTTCTTTAACCCGTGGAGTGATTGGCTCTAGGCTAGCTTGCTACACTGACTGTGTCACCCATTTTTTAAATTACCAAATTTCGATTAGAGGTTATATATAAATAGGTTTATTACCTATCTAAATTAATGACCTACATAAATGTAATTAAAATGGTGCTGCAAATTTGAGTTATACAACAGATGCTGTTGCGTTAGTGTGCTGTACCACATTTTTGTTCAGTACAGCACATGATGCATAAACACTCGAGGAGTTAAATAAAAATATGTAGATCATTTTTGAAAATTCTAAAATAAAACTAAATAAAATAATAATAAATTGTTTACACACTTATGTATAGTAAATACTTCTGTTTTTTCTTACTTAGATATGTTAAATAATTTTATTACTAGCTGAAATATTTATTACTTTGTGATATAAAAATTGAGTTGCAATACTGAATTTTTGTTTAAAATGAAAAATCACTCTTAATATTAATTAATGCTCAATGATTAAAATCAACACAAAGATAAATTAGCACCCTCTTTTCTACAATGCTTTAAACATTTTTTAAATATAGTACAGCCCATGTTAATAACAATAAGTATTTTAAAAATTAATTATTTTTGGAATTGTCTACTACAAACAATCAAATATTTCCTCTTTATAATACTAGTTTAGATTATGAACAAAAATATTACCCATACTAATTTTAAACTTTATTTAGGACTTCAAAATGTAATCAACCTTCCGACCTTTTCTTATTTTTTGAGGGCAATTTTGATGCATTGTGTTGCTTATACATAACTTTCATATCTTTCATTCAGTCTTTCATATTTTGAAAATATAATATTCTAATTGGAATAAATCCCTTAAATGTCAATAATGCAACCCATATGTGTATTTTGATTTAGACCAAAATACTAACAATCATAGTTTTTATGTAGTCTTTCAAAGACTTATTTAATTGGAGTATTAAAAAAAAAAGTAACGAAACATCCATAATAGTTTGAAGGGTGGGATATGGTGTGAATTTACAGGGTACAGAGGAATAACATCCGAGTCCTCAGCCATGGGGGGTATCACGGGCAAGACAGTATACTCTGTTATGTCCATGGTACTGATCATGTCTATAGGCGACTGTTACCACTTTCCATCTGGTGGGCTGTCAGCTTGTTTGCCATTCTAGGTTGTAAAAGAAAAAAAAAGTTAAACATTATTTATAGTAGTATAAGTGGGATAATTTATTATTTACGCTCATATCTCTGATTACTATTTAAAATATTATTAATTTTATAAAACAAATATTTCATATATCTCTTTATTTTCAGCATTTGCAACACGATTATTCTCTGTCCTACGTTTCGAGAGTGTCATCCATGAGTTTGATCCATACTTCAACTATAGAACAACTCGTTTTCTCACACAAGAGGGATTTTATAAGTTTCACAACTGGTTTGATGATCGAGCATGGTACCCACTTGGACGTATCATTGGAGGTAATACTTTACATATTATGAATGTTTACACATTTATTAAAGTTAATAAAAAAAAATCCTATAAATTTACTTGTAAACTTAACAAAAAACTATAATAAAAGGAATGGATAAGTAAATAAATAACTGATTTATTTCTTTCGATAAAAAAAGAATGGATAAATAATAGTTTCACAACATTTTCCAATTAGAAATTATTGTCTTATTAATATGTTCCTTGTATGAACTATAAAAAGTTTCTTTCCAACAGGAACCATATACCCTGGCCTAATGGTGACCTCTGCCACATTATACAACATTATGCAGTTCCTGAACATCACCATCGATATCAGGAATGTGTGTGTGTTCCTGGCGCCATTCTTCTCTTCTCTCACCACACTGGTTACATACCTACTCACCAAGGAGCTCAAGGTTTGTAAAATATCATTAAGTTTAATTTTATGATCCAAATGTTATGTTAATAAGGAGGAAGGAGTTGTTAGTAATGAATTATTAAAGTGCCTCCTTGTTACTAATGAACCCTAACAGGTCAACCTGGGGGGAAAGGGATTATTAGTAATGGAGACTAAGAATCCCATTGCTAGCAATATACCCAACCAAGTTGACCTCCTCGCGATTCCCCCTGGAAACTATCATGGTTAATTCCTGATTAATTTAGCGCAGGTGGGGTTACTATTCCATTTTCACCCACAAAAAAAAAACAGGTCAACCTCCATGCGGTTGCTCCCATCATGGTTAATAAATGTTGAATTTGTCATGACGGGCCAACTGACCTACTTTATCCTCACCTACCATACCTCACTAGTCCCCCATTACTAATAATCCCTTCCCCTGGGGGGAAGGGATTGTTAATAAATAGGGAGGTTTGTCCCAATTGTTATCAATATACCGTATCAGGTCGATGTCTATGCGGTCCCCCTGGAAAACATTGTGGTTAATTCTTGTGGAGTTTATCACAAATGGGCCAACTAACCTGCCTTTTCATCCTCACTGGTGCCTGCCAGTGTATACTGATAACACAGATGGGATTACCATTCTGTTATCATTCATTAAAAACACTGGTGCCCCTTAAACTAGCTTTTTGTTCACTACTTCCTATGTATGATTTCAAAAGTAGGAAATACAAAACTTCATTTGTACATTTGATCAGCATATTCAAATTTTAAAACCTGTTAGACAACAGCGCTCACCCTCATTACATAGATAATGTTAGTTCAAAATTTTTAGTGCTACATATAGAATATTGATTTTATATAAAGTTAGTTATCTAATTATAACAATTGGCAATAATGAAAATTGTGAAATAATGCCAGAAATTTGAAATGTGTGTGGGAGAGTGTGTAAAATTATTTGTATGTTACAATATTATTTAAATAATTTAAAGGTATTAATTTATTTATATTATTATAAATTGTAAATATTATTCATTTTTTTTTTTTAATAATAATAATAATTTTTATTCAAGAAAGATACAGTTGCATAAGGTACAATTTTCAATTTTTACAATTTATATTCAACGAGGATATACCTGCATTACCATCAGTCCCCAAACTAGATCAGACCTGTATCTTGGGGACTTAGTCTTATTAAGATCTCTCATATAAATTGTTCTTATATATTAGTAAGATGATGTTACCCTCTGCAGGATGAAGGTGCAGGGCTAGTGGCAGCTGCGATGATCGCCATAGTACCAGGTTACATCAGCCGGTCGGTCGCTGGCAGCTACGACAACGAGGGTATAGCGATATTCTGCATGCTGCTCACTTACTACTTCTGGATCAAAGCAATCAACACCGGCACCATACTTTGGGCGACCATGACTGCTCTTGCTTATTTCTACATGGTGAGTTTACTAAACAAATAAACTAAACACTTTCTACCTTACTGGCCTGGTCATGTTTTTTTGGGTATATGTGAATGTGTCTGCACATGTGTGTGTGTATTTTTTTTTTTTTTTTTTACAAAACTCGTCTTGTTGTGGTACAATAAACATCTGCAGAAGTAAGTTTCCGTGCATATTCCACGAACAGGATTATCCCGTCAGCTTGGTGAACCTAACTCACCACTTGACCTCGCTGTGTTGGCTTCCTAGCTGCTTTTGTGTGCGTCTTTTAAAGACCCTAAGATCGTAATTTCGAGGAAAAATATTTCAACATAAGAGGAAGTCATTTCACATTTTAAGAGTAAGACATAAGTAAGTGTTGCTAAGCTTAGCCGTTCGTGGTTAAATTACATATATTGTAAATTGATGTAGCCTTTGTCATTACTGTTGTTATCTGCTGAGAAGAACCCTCAAGAAACTCAACAGTTAGTCTCTTCAAATTATTATCTATACTTATAATAAATCTATATAGAGGTCAATTCTGTACATGAAATATATTTCCAAAATAACTATCAGGGGGTGATTAGTGATCGATACTGATGCCAAAAATGCAATCAGTAAAATTTTTGTCTGTCTGTTTGTATGTTCGTTATAGAAACAAAAACTACTCGACGGATTTTAACGAAACTTGGTACAATTATTCTTCATACTCCTGGGCAGGTTATAGTATACTTTTCATCACGCTACGATCAATAGGAGCAGAGCAGTCAAGGGAAATGTTGAGAAAACGGGAGAAGTTACTCCATTTTCAAGCTTCCGTCGCGTGTGCAGCCTTAATGGCCACTTTTTAAAATGTAAAAATGTCCACCCGTGCGACGCCGGGACGGGCCGCTAGTGTACAATAATATTTTACATTTGTAAAGGTGCTTTATTCAACAGTGGACAGGTAATGGCCAAAATGATGATGATGATGATTCGCATTGATTTTGTTTAATGAAGATAAATGATTGAAAATAATTTCTATTGATTGACAATTAAAAATTTTCAAGTAACATGATCACAGCTTCTATGCAGTGATCTGAACGTTAATCATAGAACATTTAGATGAAAGCTTCACACCAACATTTTTTATATGACTTGTTGGCTTTTGCACTTTCATACATTTTTATATTACTTATATTGTTATTATTTACTTTCTATACAAAACTTGAAAAAACCTCAAAATAATGATAGGGACCATATAGGGATAACGGGCCATTGTCCATTAAACAAACATTTATACACAATAGGAGCCACAGACAGCCCTCTATGTCGAGGTTGTTTCGACGATGAAGAAACGGCTGCTCATGTAATCCTGGAATGTGAAGCTGTGGCCCATCAACGTTAAGAAATCCTCGGAACGGTGAAGTCGCTCCGTGAGGCCTGTGAAGATACCAGAAAGCTTCTGTGCTTCTGGGCGGAGCTAGGTTGGCTGTACTAGCCACGACTCATACGCACAACGGCCCAAATGAGAGGCTAAGCGTGGAAAATAGAGTCCTTTAAAAAAAAAGATATAATACAATTAAATAATAATAATAAGACCTTGTTTTGACAATTTGTGATATTTTTTTTTCTCACTAGGTGTCCTCGTGGGGTGGCTACGTGTTCCTCATCAACCTGATGCCGCTTCACGTGCTGGCGCTCATGCTGCTGGGCCGGTTCTCGGCGCGCGTGTACGTCGCGTACAGCACGCTGTACTGCGTAGGCACCATCCTCTCCATGCAGATACCATTCGTCGGCTTCCAGCCCGTGCAAAGCTCGGAACATATGCTGGTGAGTGGTGTAAGCCACTCTTGAGGACTTTTAATGGATACAATTAAATGATAACGCCATTGCGCTACTGATTCTCTTTTTAATAGAATGGTAACACCGCCTGCGCGAGGGGAAAGGGATTTATAGTAATGGAGACTGAGAATCCCATTGCTAGCAATATACCTAACCAGGTCCTCCTCGTTCCTCGACGTCGCGGTTCTCCCTGGAAACTATCATGATTAATTCCTGATGAATTCATCATGATGGGCTAACTGGCCTGTTTTCATTCTCATCTATCACCCTTCACTGGTGCTGCGCCAGCGTATCCCGTTAGCGTAGGCGGGGCTACCTTACATTTCACCCATCAAAGAAACACCGCCTACGCTATAGATATACGCTGCGCTGATAATTAAAAGGCAAGTCAGTTAGCCTATTGTTATAAATAAATACACCTAGAATTGAATACGATGCATTCCAGGGGATACCATAGGAAGGTCGACCTAGAGTATATTACTAGTAAGGAGACTAGTAGATTGCATTACTAACAATCTCTTCCCCCCCGTGGAGTACTTTTTTTTTATGGGTGAAAATGGTATGGTAACTCCGCCTGCGCTAACGAGATATGCTGGCGGAGCATCAGTGAGAGATGATAGGTGAGAATAAAAAGTCGAGTCAATTAGCCGATTAACGATGGTTTCCAGGAGGAACCACATGTAAGTCGATCTGATAGAAGCCGGGGGAAAGCAATATACTCTATATTATTCTCCCCCGGCTTTCTTCATTTTGTACCAAGTTTTGGGAAGGGGCGTTCGCATAGGATCACTGAATGAATATTTTTAACTTTTATGGGATGTATATAATACGGTAACACTGTGCGGGTTATGACAGAAACCTTGTGTGCGCAGGCGCTGGGCACGTTCGGCCTATGTCAGCTGGTGGCGTTTACACAGTACCTGCGCGCGAGACTATCGCCCGCCAACTTCGAGGTGCTGTTCCGTTCGCTCGTGTTCGCGCTGCTCGCCACGCTCGGCAGCGCCGCGCTCGCTCTCACGCTTACAGGTATCACCTACCTTCATGCTGTTTTACTGGAATTTATTATTTATAGTATATTTCCTTATTTGTTTTACTAGGAGGCGTCCATTATTTTACGTAGTAATTAATTGTAATAAAATTCATACAGCATAGGTAAATATACTTGTTGATCCGTGCAACTACGTTTGTGACACATACGAGAGAAAGGTGGTTGAGAGTAGGGCGTAAAGATGTTTTTTTTTAATATTTATATTTGGTATAGATTATGTTAGGAATCCCCTGCAATAAAATTTCGACTATAACGTAAATGTAATAAGCTTACTTTAGCGTTGCATTCTTTAGTAAGACCTTGATATGAAATTGAGCATTGTTTACTTACAGGAAAAATTTCACCATGGACTGGAAGATTCTACTCTCTACTTGATCCGTCGTATGCCAAAAACCACATTCCAATTATTGGTAGGTGACATTTTATTATATGTCCATATTTTTGTACATAAAAAATATCAATTATATGTACTGTAGAGAAAGGAAGACTTTTCACAAGTTTTCTGCCTGAATACATACCCGAACCACCTGCATCCACTGAAATATAAAATACAGCAATCAAATTACAGGGTATGGAGACAACATGTAGTTCTCAGGAATAGCAACACATGAGGGGTATCATGACTGTATGATTTCCAAAGAAGACTGTGTTGAGATCAATCTGATATGGCATATGGAGGGAAAGAAATTGTTAGTATTGGGGACGATAATCCCCTTTTCTAGCAATACCTTTTCTAGACAGATCGACCTCCACGCGGTTCTACCTGGAAGTTATTGTAGTCCATCTTGATTAATTCCACAATTATGTTGAACTCATCATGATGGACCAACTGACCTGGTTTCAGCCTCACCTTTCATCCTTTACTGGTACTCCGCCAGCGTATACCGAGCGCAGGCGTAGTTATTATTCCATTATCATCCATAAAAAACCTCTTCCCATCCTCTTTAAACACTTCATTTTGCAGCATCCGTATCGGAGCACCAGCCTACGTCGTGGTCGTCCTTCTACTTCGACCTGCAAGTGCTGGTGTTCCTGTTCCCCGCCGGGCTGTACTTCTGCTTCAGCAAGCTGACGGACGCGAACATATTCATCATACTGTATGGAGTGCTCAGTATATACTTTGCTGTAAGTCGACATTTTACAATCAAAATTTATAATAATATTTATACACCTATTTATATACTCTTATGACGGGGCAATGAACTTTATATATTTTTTAACCGCCATCGAATATCTCTGCACATCTTAAAGGTTGGCTGATAGAGGAATGCCTATAACATTAAGTATACATTTTGTACCACATTTTATTGGTCAATAAAGTTTCAATAAATAAATTTTTAACCAATTGTACATGATAATTCTATGCACTTATACATATTTTTATTTATTTATTTACTTATTTATTTATTCACAATTTGTGTTTCTTTGTTGTATTTACATTATTTTCACCGGTACCTTTCCTGCACTGAATTACCCAAATTAAATCATTTTCTCTCTAACTACACTGGGTTGGCTGGAAGAGATCTCTTTCAGAGATAAGCCATCCCTTGCTAACAAGTTGTTAAACTAATTGTCGCATGTATTAAATGAAAATTCAATAGACATTTTCATATGGCATTAAATTTTATTTTGTGAATATTACATTGAAATAACTATTACAACACGGACATATTTTAGAATTCATGTTTGTATAAATATTTTATGTTAGTTGTATCCCGCGGATTCGCCCGCGTTAATTAGTAAGCACACATGTGCTAAGTTATTAAATAAAATACATACACACACATACATACATAGATAGGTTATATACCTATCTATGTACTAAATTTTATTTGAATCCATTCAGTAGTTTTTACATGACATCCGCCCATCCTTACAAACTTTTGGATGTATTATATTAATTTTATATTTTATTATATTTTTATTATATTATTATTTTATATTTAATTATTTTAATATAATATTGATGGTATTATATTAATAGGATCATCTCTAGAAAATGACTAACGAAATACAGTTTTGTAAGTAAGAAATGTTTAACTGAACTTAAAAACTATTAATTCTTTTATAAGAATCAGTCAGGCTTATCGTAAAGTACAGCTTGATAGGTCTTTTTTAATTGGACATTCATATTTACAGAAAAAATCTTCTGTACAATGTTCTAAATTAAATTCTATTGTCTATGCTCTAAAGTAGAGTGTTAATAGACATTATTATTTGAAATTCTGTATACTGTTATGATGACAATCAAAGCTTGAGCGCGTCGAAGACAACGTCGAGCACTCTCCGTTGACTCCGCGCAATGACCAATTACACTTTGATCGCTGATTATACTGTTCCAACATATAACTTCAACTACCAATCACCAGTATACTCAGAGCTCTGTTCACGTCTGACCACCAGGGTGTGATGGTTCGTTTGATGCTTGTGCTGGCGCCGGTCATGTGCATAGTGTCAGGTGTGGCCGCGTCCAGTCTGCTCAGCTTGCACGTGAAGGACATAGAGCCGAAAGTGGAGAAGCATGAGAAGAAGAAGAAACATGAGAACAATCTTGTGTTCCGATCTGAGGTGTGTATCGTATACTAGCTGTATCCCGCGGTTTCGTCATGATCATATTGTGATACTGAATTGTCTTTAATCTTTCTATAAAGTATTTCTGATAGTTCTACAATATGACATTTAAACAGATAAATGTTTAAAGTATAAATATTGGGAAACAGCGTACTTCAACCGGGTATTCTTTTAAACTTCAAAATATAAGAATTTATTTTATTTATAATTCCACCAAATCCGCTTCGAGCTTATATTGTATAAGTGAGAATGGTCCACATGTCTATCTCACTCTAATATTTATGTTATTATGTTTTTTCTTTTTTAAATAACCAATCTATATAGTTTAAGGAGGATTAATGTCAGGCAGGTGACTAGTCATAAAACTGAAAGCCAAAACCTTGGAGTAATATGGATAAAAACATATTACGCTGACCCCAAAATTTATATTATTGGGATAAGGACAGAAAGGTGATGAAACTATATACTTCATAATCTAATCATAATTTCAATATAGAAAGCAGTTTCTAGAAATTAATTCCGTTCAACTAATATCGCAATACAATTTAAACTTTAACATATATGTAAATACGGTGGTTTATCGTGTACAGGTGGGCGCGCTGTTCGTATGCGTGTTGGGTTGCTTGCTGATCTCGTACGTGTTCCACTGCACGTGGGTGACATCGGAAGCGTACTCATCGCCGTCCATCGTGCTGTCTGCGCGTGCGCACGACGGCGCCAGGATCATCTTCGACGACTTCCGCGAGGCATACACCTGGCTCAAGATGAACACCGCTGAGGTGCGCATTGTCAACATTGTTTATTAGAGCAAATTCAATACACTGCATTAAGTAGGCAAAAAAGTTTGTTAAATGCTAAATTCCTTTTTAATTAGTTTGCACCTGCAACCAGGTCGACCTCCTCGCGGTTCTCCTTGGAAACTGTCATGGTTAATTCCTGATAAATTTCATCATGATGTGCTAACTGGCCTGTTTTCATTCTCATCTATCACCCTTTACTGGTGCTCCGCCAGCGTATCCCGTTAGCGCAGGCGGGGTTACCATTCCATTTTCACCTATCAAAAAAAAACCCTGGGCTAAACGATAAGGCTTCACTTTCAGATTTTTATGTCTATAAGTACGCATTAACTGCTATAAGTCAATTTTGTATTGAATCTGCAAAACAGACGTAAATAGCGCAGCAAAGAAGGTGAAAGTTCTTAACAGCTAAAAGCGTATATCTGTCAAAATAAACGTCACATTTTTTTTTACAACACAGGGGGCAAACTAGCATGCGGCTCACCTGATGGTAAGTGACTACCGCCGCCCATGGTCACCCACAACACCTACGGCATTGCAGGTGTGCTGCCGGCCTTTTAAAAAGGAATACGCTCTTTTCTTGAAGGTTATGTTGTCGTATCGGTTCGGAAATACTGCTGCTGGAAGTTGATTCCAAAGAGTGGTTGTGCGTGGGAGAAAGTGCATATAACAGCACCACGACCATTTGTTCTCAAATAACATAATACTGTACGTAGTAGTAACAAGCATATGGTACTCAATTTTGCAGGATGCAAAGGTGATGTCATGGTGGGACTACGGCTACCAGATAACGGCGATGGCAAACCGCACCGTGATAGTGGATAACAACACGTGGAACAACACGCACATATCGCGCGTGGGACAGGCCATGGCCTCCAGCGAGGAGCGCGCCTACGAGATCATGCGAGAGCTAGACGTGGACTACGTGCTCGTCATATTCGGCGGGCTGGTCGGCTACTCGTCCGACGGTGAGTTATTTTTTTTTATTGGATGAAAATGGAGTGGTAACTCCGCTTGCGCTAATGGGATACGCTGGCGGAGCACCAGTGAAGACTGATCGATGAGGATGAAAACAAGCCAGTTAGCCCATCATGATGAATTCATCAGGAATTAATCATGATAGTTTCCAGGGAGAACCGCGAGGAGGTCGACCTGGTTGGGTATATTGGTAGCAATGGGATTCTCAGTCTCCATTACTAACTAATGCAATTTTTATAATTATGTTCCTAAAAGTATAACTTAAAGTTTTCTTTACGATTATATTGATACGCCATCTAGTGATTACATACTTCCGAAAACATACAAAGTTGCCGGTAAAGCTAGTATATAAATGCCTATTGCATATTGTCAGATATCAACAAGTTCCTGTGGATGGTGCGCATCGGCGGCAGCACAGAGCGTGGCGCACACATCCGCGAGGCGGACTACTACACGGCCGCCGGCGAGTTCCGCGTCGACGGCGACGGCTCCAGCACGCTGCTCAACTGCCTCATGTACAAGATGAGCTACTACAAGTTCGGCCTCGTCTACACCGAGGGCGGTGCGTACACGTCACACAGCTTGCTTTGTGATATCACTACCTTATACCAAATATATAAATATATATTTATATAGGTATATATAACTATACATTATTCTGATTTTCGTGTATAGTATAGTATTTTAATTATGTATATTTATTATTTATTGATTCGTTTATATATGTAATTTCAGTATTTCAAAATTACTCATACCGCATTCGAGTATTCTGACACTTTCCTATAGTTGACTGGAAGAAAATGCCTTTAGCATCAAGTCCGCCATGTACACATATTTGTTTTAATGAATAAATAAATAAATAAAATGGTAACTGTTATCTAGACATGTTACTAAATTAAATAAATAAATATCACTGTACAGGCCGACCGCCGGGCTTCGACCGCGTCCGCGGCGCCGAGATCGGGAACAAAGACTTCAACTTGGACGTTCTAGAGGAGGCGTACACGACCGAGCACTGGCTCGTTCGCATCTACAAAGTGAAATCACTACCCAACCGGGGTGTGTGAGATAGACCATTGTAATTGTTCATAACACATTAAAAATTGTGACTCCAGTGAATAAGTGGACGCTTCAAGGCATGGTGATACGTACTTGGTATGTTGTATAGTCATTAAACTGTATTTCCGTTTGTACTCTTCAATAGTGAAGCTTTCTCGTTTAGTACACAATATAGTTTATTGGGTTTTGACATGTATCGAATAATAATAATAATAATTTTAATTCGTGCATTTATGCATGCATGGAAAGTTTTTTTTTTTCGTGATTCTACCGCTGACTCATGCTGAATTAAGTGAATACTTTATTTAACCGCATATTATACTGCCCCAGCTTCGCACGAATACAGGTTAGGGTATAATTTTCATTTTTTTTTTTATGCAACTTAGAATGGCAAACAAGCTGACGGCTTACCTAATGGAAAGTGTTAACCGTCGCCTATAGACACGAGCAGTACCATAGACATAACAAAGTGGTCTGTTTCGCCCATGATACCTTATACATATATACCTTTTAAAAAAACTTCATTAAAATCAATCAAAGTATACTGTTTCGCCCATGATACCTATGTATACATATATAACTTTTAAAAAACTTCATTAAAATCAATGTCTATATATGGGAAATTAATGAACTCATTGTATTTTTGTCATTTCATTTGTTTCGACTTCATCCGGAAGTCTTCTTCAGGGGGCTTTTAACGCTTAGCGTCACAGCGTCTCGCATCGTATTTTCATTAAAATCGTGATTTTTAGCAGTGAGTAGAGAAACAGACAGACATCAACACTGTTTTATATTATTTGAAAATAATTCGTGTACAACCCGACAAACTATATTGATAATAGGGTTGATTCTGAAACTCCATTCCTTATATGTAGCGCCAAAAGTAAAATTTTAAATTGATAACGAAAATTATAGACCATAAGGTAAAAAGTAATTCCAACACAAATTTGTTGAATATGAATGTGAAAGACTCTATTTTCCGCGCTTAGCCTCTCATTTGGGCCATTGTGCGTATGAGTCGCGGCTAGTAAAGCCAACCTAGCTCCGCCCAGAAGCACAGAAGCTTCCTGGGTTCTTTACAGGCCTCACGGAGCGACCTCACCGTTCCGAGGATTTCTAAACGTTGATGGGCCACAGCTTCACATTCCAGGATTACATGAGCAGCCGTTTCTTCGGCGTCGAAACAACCTCGACATAGAGGGCTGTCTGTGGCTCCTATTGTGTACAAATGTTTGTTTAATGGACGATGGCCTGTTGTTGTCCCTATCATTATTTTGAGGGTTCACAAATCCGTTATAAATATAGTTCATACTAGTTCACTAAAAAGATGTCTCTGTTAAACATTAAAGTTTTAGTTATAAAGATAATAGAGTAGGGCGCTTCAGAATCTACCCTGATATACTAATGAAGTAAACGAAGACATCAGTGTACACTACCACCTTAAGTTTTACCATCTGTAAGTGCTGGCCACATAAACACCCATTACATTATTATATTTCAAAATTAGCATAAGTTTTATAAATAATCTCAATTTGTACACTCGAGTGAAATATAGATAAATGTTCACTGGCTTTTTCTCTGTTAAGTTTTCACTTGAGGATCCAAACTATGTATTTGCATATCGCTCTACAATCTCAACTTGCCTTATAGTTTCTTAGTCAAACCCTTCATTTTCTTCTATTTTAATGTGCTATGAACAGCCATGTTTTATAATTTTATATTTATAACGAAGAGATTCGAGTGTTAAAGGTATCCTAAAAGTTGGCATGTCACAAATTGTATACAACCTGTAGATGTGTGATCATTTTTTTTTTTGTATGCCGGATTTACACGCTTGACAAACCACAGCAAGTGCCCGTAAGTCCAAACGTGTAGACATGGTTTGAGCTTGGGTTGCGTACGCTTGCAATTTTGCAAATGGTTGTCATAGATCCGCAGTCTAATCTATATTATATAAAAGGGGATGCAGATTGATTGACTGGCCCATATATATAGCATAGCTAAATCTAGAATCTTAAATTTTGCAAAAAGGTTCTATATTACAGCGTAGGTAAAAAGGTAAAACGGGGGTTGAAAGTTTGTTACCTATAAATTAGCAATTAACAAACGTGCCGTCTCTTTGAATAAGGTAATATTTGCGGTTACAAAAACTCGAGGCTTACGAAGTGGCAAGCATGTGAATCCAGCGAAACAAATAAATATGATAATTCTTGATTTTACAGACAGATTACACTGTCACAAATTTTGCTCTCTTAATAAAATGTTCGCCAATTTGTGATGTCACTAAATATTAGATACAATGTACAATTGTGATCTAAATTTTTTTTTCTCAAATCCCCAGTGATATAGACTTCCGATTACAGTAAAATATTTAAAAAACAATTATCATTTATTTTACCTTTTGTACCATTTACTTTTATATAAGTTATTTATGAGTCACAAATGTTTATTTTTATTTAACTTCTGTACTTTTAGAGGCCTATTTTAAAATTCTATTATAATGGACAAATAAGTACGTCGAGGGTTGACCCTTATTTGTGCATATGTTTAATATATTATTGTAAATTTTAAAACAATTGTATTGAATAAATAGCTTACTTAGTGAAACCGACTTATATCGACTACAACAAAATTAGCGCTGATCAGTTAATTTAATAACAAATTGAATGTGAGTTGTTATATTCTATTCACATACATTTTATTATTAAATGACAAAAGTCATCAAGGAAAAGCGTGTAAACATCATGCATTGTGCAAAAGTAAAATTCACAAATAGACTGATTTATTTAATTGCACGTATTTTTAAAATCTATTTAAATAAGTCTTTTAAAAGAGACATAGTGCAGTAGTAAATTTATAATGGAGTCGATTCTAAGGCGATATTTCTCTAAACCTGTCTCTTAAAATTATATATATATATATATATATATATATATATATATATATATATATATATATATATATATATATATATATATATATAATGAAATTAAATTATAGTTTAATGGACCGTCGTAAGCTAAATTTATATAAAATTAGTACACAATGGTCTTTACAATAAAGATTTTGCATTGATATCAAACTGAAATTTTACATCTAAAGATAGATTTGAAGTAATGACGCCTCAGAATTGAGTCCAATGTCTACCTCTAAATATTATATGAAATGAGCGCACAAATTAGTTTCACAAGACATCTTTCCATGTATATATTATATAGTCAGTGACACAACCAGAGCATGATACCAGGACATTTGTAGACAATGAAAGTTGTATAAATTCATTTTTTATTTTCATTCTAAATAAAGTTTATGAATAAATAACGTGTCTATTATTTTCCTCGTACGTTTAATTATGTGAATATTTATAGATTTTATAACTATATTAGTAGGAAACAGTTTTCACAACGTTAGCTAATGAAACTGCTAAATTTCTTTGAAAAAATTTTCCCAAAGAAATTTAACTTGACAGCTGGGTGTACTATGTTAATTCTTGAAAACTAGGTGCACGCCCCGGCTTCGCACGGCATTAAAATAATGGACTTACATAAATTCGTCAATTGATTTATATAGTAAATATTGTGTACTATATTTAGATTTATGAAATAAAAAGCGAATTAAATATAGTACAATGAATTTTAATAATAAAAAAAAATAAGCCGTCAATTGTCCTCATCGTCGCTGCGGTCGGAGCACTCCTCGGGCCGGAAGGTGTCATCGTTGTTATAGTGTGCGTGTGTTTGCACGCGCCGTCGCTTGTGTGCGTGCTGCGGACGATCTGGACGGTCCTCTCCCACCTGATCGAGAATATAAAAAAATAAGGTTTGCTAGAAGAAATCGCTTATTAGAGATATGCAAAAGCGACTATGTACATTACATCTAAAATTAAATGTTTTTATCACTATGTTCCTTTACAATAAAGAATAAATTATAGATTATTGTCTGTTATTTTTTTTATTAATTGAAAATGGAATGACGACTCTATGCTTATCAGTTTACGCTGGTGGCGGTACCCAGTGAGAGATCATAGACGAGGATGAAGTCAGATCAGTTGCTCCATCGTGACGAAACCAAAAATTAACCAGGATGGGGATTAATGGGACCGCTAGAATCTATTATTAGCGAATTATGAACAACTAGCGACCCGCCCCGGCTTCGCACGGGTGCACATTACATTAGAAACCTCTAAAATTATTAGTGTTTATCTACTATATTATTTATGTATTATACATATAAACCTCTTGAATCTGTCTATTAAAAAAAAAACGCATCAAAATCCGTTGCGTAGTTGTAAGATCTAAGTATACATAGGGACAGATAGATGGAAAGCGACTATGTTTGTGTATACCAGTGGTTCCCAACAAGTGGTCCGCAGAAGCTAAAACATGATCCGCGAATGATTTTAAATTTAGCGGGCGGTTAGCCGTTGGTCGCCGTGCAATGAGTTATTTCTTCTTATGTAATTTCCTATTGAGTTTTTGAATTTTGATTGAATTTGATTATTACAGTATATTTTTATTACACCTACATAGTGGTCCCTACTAACAACAATAATATAAAATTGGTTCCTAACCAAAAAAACGTTGGGAACCCCTGGTGTATACTATGCAGTGATAGTGAAATGGTAGGCAGAGGTAGTGATGATAGATAAATGAAGTAGGTAATAGCGCTTTGGTTAGATTTTACAACTAAGTTACTAACATTTTAAAACACTACTATATATGTATTTACAAATGAAATCAAAGGAAACTGACAATTTTACAATTAGAGACCATTTTTACTGACCTGACGCACAAACTTGTACGGTCCAACGCCATCAATGAACGCTTCTTTGAACGCCTTCCTCAATGGTTTCCGTCTAAACACGATGCACTGTTGTTGCAATGCCTCGGCAGCACCATCAGGTAAGTCTATAAAATAGGGGGGAAGAGATTGTTAGTAACGCGGACTACCAGTCCCATTGCTAGCAATATACCCCCGTCAGGTCGACCTCCACGTGGTCACCCCTGGAAACCATCGTGCTCATTTCCAGGTATATTATTTATCACAATAGGCTAACTGACCTACCTTTTCATTCTCACCTATCATCCCTCACTAGTGCCTCGCCAACGTATACCGTTAGCAAAGGCGAGGTGTTACCATTACCTTGCCATCCATTAAGAAAAAAGTCTATAAAATTATTTAAATACAATTAGTCTAATGGATCCATTAGTTGTAAAGAACTTTTGTACAAAAATCTATTAATAATATATTAATATATTTTCGTACCACGTGCGTGAAAAAGAACAAGATGCGGAATGTTGCCGTCTCGTTTATTTATTTATTTGTTATAAGTTACAATAACAGTTTGCAAACAGAAATGCACCATTAAAAAGAAAACAACCACTTTCCCAGGAGGTGGACTGTCAGCTTGTTTGCCATTCTAAGTTGTAAGTATAAAAAAATAATGCAGTGAACGCTCTATATAAGCAACATTGTTTATATTTTGTTTATTCTACTCAGCTTAGTTAGTAAAAGAAATAAGAAAAAATATTTTCCAGACAATACATATTTTTCCCCCTATAAGCAACTTTTCCCAATAAGAAACTTTTTTTATTGAAATCGGTTCAAATGAGTTGCTTATATAAAGCGTTCACTGTATAAAACATCATTAAAACGGCAAATAAGGACTCGCAAATGTACATGTAAATGTATGTACTTTATGTATAGCTATAAGCTCTTGTTTTTATCATGGAGTGGGCACTAAACAATTCTGGAGTGGATATGCCCCCCCCCCCCCCCACTCCTTAAATACGCCTATGTTCGCCACTTATCTATAGGGACTATGTTTTACTATGACTATATAGGATGTAGAAGGATATAGGCTACTTGTTATCGCGGTCACGTCAACAAACTCGAGGGTAAAAGCTAGTATCGAATAAAGAGCAAGTGAGTACAAACCAATTTCTCTAATGTTGAAAGTTTTTGGTCTGATATCATAGATTCTATAATCCAACATAAGCACCACACCAATCTGTTCCTCCTCCGGATCATTACTCTTGACCACAAATGTTATCTCTATATGGGAGCCATCAATTTTCTTGAAAAGTTCAGCTTCTACATTTAATAGCCTCTGTAAAATATAAATTAAATAATATTTAATAAATTTCTCTATCCTTTTATTTAAGAGTTTCCTCTTGTCGGACATTCTGTTCCAGCCAGTTCTATTCCAGGCCATATCTTTGACCTCCCTGTATGACATGACACCTGCAATATATAACACTATGAAAAATAATTTACATATTATATGTATTGATATATATACATATATTGATAGATTAATTGATTTTTCCACTTCTAAAATCTATGCAGGCAAGAATGTAGTATAAATACTGTAATGAAAAGTAAACAAATGTCATGTGTGAAATATAAGTAATATTCGAAATAAAGGGTACAGAGGATTAACACCTGAGTCCTCGGGAATGGCAATGCATGGAGGGCACCATGAGTGAAACAGTATATTCTGTTATATCCATGGTACTGCTCATGTCTATAGGCGACGGTTACCACTTTCCACCAGGTGGGCTGTCAGTTGTTTCCCATTATAAGTTGTATAAAACAAAAAAAAATATATATTTATTTTTTTAATAAAACAATCTATTTTTATTATAATATACAACTATTTGTTTACATCACCTACCTTTAGAGCATCATACTGCTCAAGCCTATCATAATATGCTACGAGTGCCTTCCTAATAGCGCCCAGGCAGTCTGGCATCATTATATTGTTGAAGTCTTCCATCACCCCATCGAAATTGAATCCCAGAGGGAGGGAAAACTTGGATACTTCTTTCGCGCCTGCAACAATTTATTAATATTTAAAAATTGATATCTCATAACAGTTAATATTTTAAGACTATGATGATTGACAGGTCTTAGATCAGAGAGTATCTTTTTATCTTAAACATATTTATTATGAAACAGCATGCAATAACAGGTGTTGTTAAGTTTTAAACTTTATTTTTTTTTTTTAGGTAACACAGAGGAGATAAGGAATATAAGGCAATTAGTAATCTAAATATTTTTTATTTTACTAGAGTTATTTTTTGGTTTTTTAAAATTGTCTTTTATGACTACAGTTGGATTCTGAATATCATATCTGCTGTTTCGAGAAACTGAGGTTTGAAGAGTAATTTGAGTTTATATTATCTCTTTTTAATCATTTGGCATTCTTTTTACTTGTGTAAAAATACAAGTAAAATTGAACAAGATATACTTTATAAAATAAATAGTACTGCAAAACTGGATTAATAGGATCCAGTTCTGCAATTTACTTTAGACATGCAATGCATGGGAAATGTATCAAATGGTACTGTGCATTCTTCATTTACTTTCCAATTAAACAAAGCTTAATAAAAAATTTCAAATTAAGATATTTATAATGAGTTTCATAAAGACTGTCTAAATTGCAAGAATTAAAACTAAAAATTATAAACACCATATTTAATTCTCATGGATTTACTAAAATATATTAATAAATAAAATATATTACCAGGCTTCATCTCAATCCTGAGGCCATGTTTGATTTCATTTTTGGAATCATGCTGCATGTGGTATATTATACTACAGTGGTCATTAGCCACATAAGACTGAACCTCCATACTGGATAACATTGCCATTAGCTCTAGATCTCTTTTTAAGCTCGCCACTGAATTAGCGAGAACTATTTTCTGTAGAAAAAATCATACTCGTCTTGTAATTTTATTTTAATATGCAACTGTCAATAATAAACTAGCTGATGGTCCCGTGAACATCAGCTTATACTGGCTGACAGTACAAGAAGAGATCCATGGTGCTCATGTATTGTATTTATTGAAAACTAGGGTGCTGTACCATTCTACTGAAGTCATGGTTAAATCCTAACTGTAGTGTAGCATATGATACAACAAATAACATTATAGTTTTAAAGAGTAGTAGATGAGCAGTGCTGACATATCTCCTACAATACATGTGGAAGTCTATGATGGATTTCCCCATGTTAAAGAGAGTGTTATCTTTATGTACCCAATAACTTCACTCTTGATATTGAAACAGCTATGCAAGCAGTTTTAGACTATGTTTTATATATAATATAACATATATAATATATACAAATATCTATAATTGTTACTGCTACTAAGTTCATGACAATGTGATGACAATGTTGTCTTTTCTTTGCCATGTGAACACTAACAAGAATTACTTGACATGTTCATTTGATATTATTTATCAATGCGTAGAGGAAAAGCTTTGCAATAAAGCTAATTGTTTTCTTTTATTAAAATTCAAAATACCTGCGGTCTAACAAATGGATCTGGTTTTCTCTTTGTTGGTGGTGATGCTTTACATCTAAAACTATTCCTTTGCAGCTGGAATAACTCATCCTGTTTCCCTTTAAGTACCTGTTGCAACTTTAAAATCTCTTCATGTTCCTCGTCACGATGATCAGACTGTTTTGGTACAGTTACTATAAAAAAAACAATTCTTTCATTGATAATTTTTAAATTAAGAATGTCATTGAATATTAGTTACAATTTTTATTAAAAAAAAAATTAAACGCATTGAAATAAAAAAAAAATAATTATTATTGCTTATTCTATTAATATTATAAATGCGAAAATTTGTAAAGAAGGATGGATGGATGTTATTTACTCTTTCACGTAACTGCTACTGAACAGATTTCAATTAATTTGGTATACGGGTAGGTTATATTCTAACTTAGCACAAAAGATACATATTAATTCACGCGGATGAACCCGCGAGATACAGTTTGCTAATAAATCGTTACTCTTGTCACTTTAATGTGTAAACTTACATCCTTTACGAAATATTTTCGTTATCTTCTGTTGCTTTATATTTTTATTGATAACCATTTTGATTGTATGTGTTATTCTGTACTTATTTTGTTATCAAACAATGAAATTAATCATACATTTTTATTTAGTGAATGAAAATGAATATTTATTTCATTAATTGAATGAAAATATATTTTGTAGTAAACAAAAGTTTTGAAACAACGGAAAAAGATTTTTAAACACAACTGTCAAGTGCGTGACTGAGATGACAAATTTAAGGTAAATTGACTGACAGGCAACTGATGTAACGTGCTGACTACAGGCTGAGACATGCTGTCATAGATATAAGATGGTAACCCACATTCTCTGTCTATGCTAATAATTCAATCTACACATAAACACGCCTATAAGAGATAATTTTTTCTTAAAAATCAATCTGTTTGTGCTTTAGGTACAAAAAGTTTATGGTATTATCTTATAAAACTTATCAGTAATATACCATTTATTTACAAATAAAATTACACTGAATATTGTCTTTTCAGTTTATTATTGATAAACTATTATCGGTGCATAATAAAAAGAAAAGGAAATGCATAAGGAAAATCATACGCAATTTGGTATTTATTTCGAAAATATATTTCTAATTTTAACTTAAATACATCATATGGTACACCCAGCATAATGTTACATAAGTTAGGCTTGCATTTAGCCTAGAATAAGTAAGTTTATATTAGTTGTCCATAACAATAATGACGCACATATCAGCCTTACTTATACTACGCATAATACAAACAATATTTTAAAGAAAAACAAATGTGAGATATGACGAAAATAAATGAGATCATATAAGACATTTGCTTGCTATAGATTGCAATGTAATTTACTTCAGCCGATATAAACTTTTATATCAATGCCATCCGGAGACACCAATAGACTTGAGACTTTTTTCACTCAATCGCCCTTCTTTGAATTTCACACGTAATCTGGCAACGGAAAAAAATAATTAAAAATACACTATATAATTTTCGCTTAAATCTAATTTTGTACACCCACATTTTAAGAGAAAAATTTTTGTAGGTTATAAATAATCTAAAACATAAATTTTTATTTTTTTAAGTTTCTTTACATGATTCGCAAAGGAAACTGCTTTATTAATTAAATGGTAGATTAAAAAAGAGTAAAAAGTTTTAAGAGTCATTAAATTAGCCCTTAAAAAAATCATTCATTCCCTTTACAGTTCAACTAGTTTCCCCCTTAGTTTGTTCCCCATGGCTGTCATATATTGTTTGGCTAGGATAAAAATAGCTTATATTTGTCCACCGTAATAGTGCATGTTTACCAAATTCCATGATGGCTAGTTGACTCTTTAAGGCGTTAAGAGATAAACACATTTTCACATTAATAATATTAATACCCAGATTTTTTTTCTTCAAATGCATACTGTAGATATAAATAAATTTATTATCTATCTATTAAATAAATATTATTTCTTACCTCTCTTCATTATGTTTAATGGACCACAGCTCAGGCATATATTGTGGGTGCATGATAGTTAAGAAGTGCTCTCTCCATACCTCTTCGAGTCTCAGCAAACCACCTTCCTGCCCCAGAAAGTATTCAACCACTTTCAAACCGTGGGATTCATAATCTGTATTTTCAAATCTGTTGAAAATTAATAAAAAATAATTACTATTTTGTCCCTAACAATTATTTGACATGGTAATGAATGGAATAGAAAGGCAAACTGACGGTCCACTTCATAGGAAATGTAACAATCGCCTTTAATTGCACCACTTTTATCACCAAAGCCATCGATCATCTTCATCATATTTGAATTAGTGAAAGCCAAGGTATTATGCCTACATACTCTTAGATCCTATTATAAACAATTCCTAGTGCCCTTATTTTTTTTAATGGATGATATTAGCATGGTAACCTTGCCTGCGCTAACAGTAAACGCTGGTGGGGCATCATTGAGGGATGACCGATGAAAATGAAAAGGCAAGTCAGTTAGCCCCACATGACGAATTTTTTTTTTAATGGGTGACAATGGTACGGTTACCCCGCCTGCGCTATCGGTATACACTGGCGGGGCACCAATGATAGATGACTGATGAGAATGAAAGCAGGTCAGTTAGCCCATCTTGACGAATTCAACTAGAATTGGCCACGATGGTTTCCAGGGGGAACCACATGGAGATCGACTTGACAGGGTATATTGCTAGTAATGGGGCTATTTAACCTCATTACTAATAATCCCTTTCCCCCCAACGAATATACTTGGAATTCAGCATGATTACTTCCAGGGGGACCAGTGAGACAAGTGGAGGAGGACAAGTGGAGATTCACCTGACAGGTTATATCACTACCAATGGGACTAGTAGTCCGCATTACTAACAATCCTTTCCCCCCTTATTTAGGTATATTATGGTGCTACACGGTTGTCCATATTCAGAAGCTTCAAGTGTTCAGCGAGCTATGGAGAGGGCTATGTTTTCTTTGAATGACAGAATCCGAAATGAGGATATCTGCAAAAAAATCAAAGTCACCTACATAGCCCGAAGGATCAGCAAGCTGAAGTAGCAAAGGACTGATCATAAAGCTCAAAGAACTGATAACAGATTAGGAAGAAAGTTTCCTAAGTACTCCATACCCGCAAAAACAATGTAGGACGACCGTCATAGATGGAGTAACGACCTCAAATGAATTACAGTCAGGATGCACATCAGGACCATTTCTTAAGGCAGTCTATGGGGGAGGCCTATGTTCAACAATAAACACAGATAACGAATGACTTAGCCCTTGGAAAAGGGAAGGGGTTGGAAAGTATAAAATGAATTTATCCAGTTATTTCAATTAGTGCTCAGATAAGAAAGAGCAAGACGCCATATTTCGCCATCTCATTCCAACCTCACGGACTTGTTAGCGATAACGATAGATTTTTTTGTACCACTTGTCTGGAGAGGAGCCGGAAATATCATGATAAGATAAATATACTCACAAAACATGGAGTTCCGCTGCCTCCTTCAGGAGTTCCGTGGTTATCTCGGTGTGCTCTGTATAATACTGAAGTAGAACGTGTTTTAGACATCTGCTTCGCTTTTCTGGTAGCTTGGCCGACAGGTTGAGTAAAGCTCGAGCGGCGGAGCGGACTTTTCTGATGAAAACCATGAAGTTTGTTTATAAAATATTTTTAAATGAAACTAGTTTATTTGTTGATTGACCATTATCTATAGACATGAATATTACAGAATACATACACATCACAGGTACACCTCAAGTGTACCCATTCCTGACTATTTGAGTATTTACCATGATACTATATCAGCCATTAATTGTCTACTGCCCCCCTTTAAAGATTTTGCCAGTAGTTGTCACACTTGGCAAGCGAGTTCGCAATCGCAGTTAGGCCTTGGAGATGTTTTAAGAGGGATGCTGCTGCCCATTCCTCGCCCTACCTTAGTCGTTTTTACGATACCCACGGGAAAAGAAGCCGGGACCACACAGTTATAATAATACTAAAATACAGTAACTGCAGTTGCCAACCCGTTTGCCAAGCGTGGCAACTACTGGCAAAACTCTCCTTGTGGGGAAGTCTTATGTTCAGCAGTGGACAATAAAAGGTTAAAAACATAAAAAAAGACTGAAAAAAATGCACATATCTCGGTCAGTTATTAATCGTAAATAATTAAATAAATTTAAAGTAGAGAAAGGTACAAATGCAACGTACTTGCGCATCGAGTCCTCCACGTACTTGCTGGAGTCCTTGCAGGCGAGCGGCGCGGCGCACAAGTTCGCGAGCTGCTCGCGTACCCGTTGATCGGCCATATTGCTGCGCTGGTGGCATTGCACGCAAAGCAGCAGTACGTCGTGTGACGAGTGGTCCTTCATTATGTCTGGAACGCAATCAAATGACTGTAAACTCTTCAATTTAATAACAGCTGTATGCTTATTTGACGCCTATGTGGTATATAAAACACAGTTTCCATAGCAAGTCAGTGAGGCGTGCTGATAAAGACGCCCGTTGGGAGGTAAATAATATACGCGTAACAAGTCAAATTGGACTTTATGGAGGAAGAATGGAGTACCTACTGCACTATAGCACTAAGTACTAAAACTAAAGTACTAACACTTAGTACTAAAGTTTAGTTGCCTTATTGATCTGTTTTTGACTCTACCTCAGACTCTTTCTGAGTGTTTTATTCAACTTAGAATGGCAAACAAGCTGACAGTCCACCTGATGGAAAGTGGTAACCGTAGCCTATAGACATGAGCAGTACCATGGACATAACAGAGTATACTATTTCGCCCGTGATATCTCCCATGCGTTGCCATTTCTAAGGACTCGGGTGTTATTCCTCTGTACCCTATAAATTCACTGCCATATCACACCCTTCAAACCGAAACACAGCTATGCAAACACAACCGCTTCACGGTAGAAACATGAATGGGACAGATGTACCCAAGCAAACGACTTTTGTACAAAGCCTCCCTCTGGTAAAACAATTAAAATTATAACACACTAGTTGTATTCCGCGGCTTTGCCCACGTATATCAGTATACAAAGGTATCCTATGTGCTAAGTTAGGATATAACCTTCCCGTATACTAAATTTCATGCATATCCGTTTAACAGTTTCTGCGTGAAAGAGTAACAAACATCCATACATCCATCCATCCTTACAAACTGTCGCATTTATAATATTAAATAGTATTGTTATAACAACGATTTTTTTTACACAATTAGTTCCAGGGAACACGGCAGTGCTCCTGCCAAGTCATTGCACGCCGCCATTTTCCTTGTGAGCACAATCTTAGCAGATATTAAATGACAACATGGACTAATGTTTAGTTATGTATAAATTCAAATAACACCTTTTCTCTTCAGCTTTGAAAAACCCCGTGATGTCGGAGTATAGACATCAAAATTTAAGAATTGCATTTCTGTACTGCACACGGCTGTAAAACGAAGAAACAAAGCCGTTTTACTTACCAGGGAAGTACTTCCTATATTCTCTAGGGACGACATTCTTCCGTATGTACGAGTTCGCGTTGCCACAGACTACGCATTTGTTTTCTTTGGTGAGCTGATAGTAGCGTCCTACCTCGCCAACCGACCTGCCCGCGGGCTCGAAGCGAAGTCTCACTGTTAAAGGTTCTTCTGTCACTACATCAGCTAGCTGTTTCTCGACGTACCTGTTTGGGGAGGAGAAGGGATCGTTAATAAAGCAGATGAGTAATCCCATTGCTATACCTTGCTACCTTATAAGGTCGACCTCCACGCAGTTTCCCCTAAAAATCATGACTGATTTATTGTTGAATTCGTCACGATGATACAATTGACCTGCTTCATCATAATCTATCATCCCTCAGTGGTACTTCACCAGTGTATACCGATAGCGCAGGCGGGTGTAACTATTCCATTATCATCCATTAAAAAAAAAGAAAACCTGTTTGAAAATAATTGAAGATTGTGTCGCTCAAAAAAAATAACTTCAACTGTGACAAAACCAGTTATTTCAGTCTCAAAATTAAACTACTAAATCGATTTTAACAAAATTTCTATGGGACCAATCTGAAAGTATATCTTTAGGATAAAAAAAATCAAATTGATTCAGAACTAAATTAGTTTTGAGGTAACAGATCAAAACAATGTCTTGCAAGTTACAGGATGTGGATGGCATAACGTCTTAGTCCACAGAAATGGCAACGCATAAGAGGGATCATGGGTATCACAGTATTTTTTATGATGTCCATGATACTGTTTGCATCTATAGACAATGGTTTTCTTTAAGTGAAAGGTCAGCTGTTGTAAAAGGTCATACTAAATAAAATGCAAAAGATGTTATGAAAAGCACCATGGTGTAACTTACCATAATGCCTTTTTGTTGTCACACGTGCACAGCAACTCCCCATCAGGCGCCTGTAGAAAGCAGTTGTGATACAATGGTTTGCTGCGAGTCAAATTCGAATATGTCTTGGAAACTTCTTTGTTTCTTTTTGAGTTATTACTGAAACACAATTATTCTTAGCATTTTGAAGTCATCACAATATATCACACAAAAAAATTACACAGTATTACAACTAATTGCAAGTTAAAAATGAAATATTATAATAAAAAATGAGTTTTGAACAGTAGACAATATTTTTTTTTTAATTAGTATGAGGTGCTCAAAATTTTTCGGCCAAACAGCCAGACCATAATAAACAAAACAAGTTTTATTAAACAAACAATTTATACTTTTATTTCAAGATTAAGAATTTCTATGTTATTTTTAATCTTTAAAAAAAAAAAAAGCACAATTAAAAACTATACACATATGTATTATAAGAAACTTACACTCCAATATCCTTAGTTTTGTTCCCATGTTTCATTGTGAAATTGTAATTAGCATATTTTAGACACACTTCATCCAAATTACTCCATATATCTTTCTTGTTCCTTTGTAGCACTTTGTATATGCTAGGTTTATTCAATTCCTCTATAAGTTTCACAAATATCTTAATAGCCACATGGGCATCTGCTGCTGCATACTTCACTTGCATATCTGACAATGTCTCCGCTTCCCAGTTACTGCAACGGACCTATTATAGAAGAGACAGCCAATAGACTGATTTCTAAATAATCATAATCTATATTGGTATATGGATGGCTACTAAATGGCGACAGATACTGGAGCTGGGATATTTTCAAGCAAAAGTGAAAATGTCAAAGCACTGGCAAATACTCTACTGTTTTTTAAATAGAATTGTATGCTGTTATCTACTATATAACTACTATATAAGAATTTTAAATTAAAAAATCAGTAAAAATCTATACATATATTTTATACATAAACCTCCACATACCCTCCAACTTTTGTCCAAAATAATATGTAACAATGATTTTGTCAAGGAAGCCAAGCCGCCAGGCTGATGTCCGCACAGCACTGCTATGTGTCTGATATCCAGGGAGGAGTTGAGGTTGATGCCATAATCCGCAAACAAGTATTTTGCATCATCAGTTGGTGCAACTCCCACCTTATATATGGTTTTATCTTCTAATAACTCCTAGAAAATATGTAGACACTTTAATACACTCAACAAAACTTCATTTCACTTCCATCATCACCATACATACTGATGGGATACTACCTCACTTGTCATTACTTCATTTACATCTATAAAAAAACTGCTTCAATTTTCCTCTTACAATATAATATGAACCATTGCAGAAAATGTACCTACAATCATTTAAAAATCCAGCAATGCACAAACAACTCCTCTCCTGTTGCAGGTATTCATGGGTAAGAGTAGCTGCTTTCTAATCAGATTTTTCTCAGTCTCAAGTCAAGATTTTGCTTATTTGCCTCCTTAACAATAAAAAGTATAGATCTTAGACTAGTTAAGTAACAAATTATTATTTTAAATCTCTATTTACTTCAATAGAGGGTTGTTGTAATATGTTTACAATTATTAAGTATGCAATAATTTATTATACAATAAAAAGGAGATAATTAAAATTTATAATTGCAAAATTATCTTCAAAGTACAATCCATAACAAAGTATAATACTTTGTAGCAAAAATAATTTGTTTATTATTTAACACACAGAAACAGAAAATACAACTGAAAATAATATAATAAAAGATAAAAACAAATGATACCTTTAAAGAATTGGGTACAGTCCGCAGCATATTTAGTCGGAATAGGCCACAGTACCCATCAAATGTAGACAACTGCACTAATGCAACTGGCCGCTTTTTTCCATGCTCTGTCACCCATTCACAATCAAAACCCACCGCTCGATAAACTTTGCATCTTCTAAAACATTTTTAAATAAAATTATCTAAATCATAATTTAAAAAATTATGTACTACTAAGCAATAGTAAAATTTGTAATTACCTCTGTAGTTCTTTTATAACGACTTCACAATCGCTTTCAGTGATTACAGTTACAATTGTTAAATAATTTAGAGCATCTGTAGCGTTTCGAAAACGCCTATTAAACTTTAAAATTAAATAAACAAAACCTACACAACCCACTAGCAAAGTAGTAGAGGTTATATACAATTTAAGATATGAATCTAACTGCATAATTATTTTAGTTACTCTATAATAAAATAATAATTACTTTGATACCATGATATTTACAGATTTTCAATTAAATAAAAATATCCTGTAATTGAACAAAAACAAACAATAGGAAAACAAATAAACAAAAACATTTATTTTGTATTTTTTTTTTATTAATGGAAATGGCAACTCAATGCCTATTTTTTTTCTGACCTCTGTAAATGGTTTCTTTTTAATTTTTATCACGCCTGTGCTAATAATGTATACTGGCGGAGCACCGCACAGTGGGAACTTTGACTCATTTTCATCTCATAAATCTATATCTTCCGTATTAATAAAGATATGTACATGATTTTTTTTCCTGATAATCTTAAATATATATTCTTTTAAATAATGTATGCTTTGTGAGTAAAAATTTATTTCTAATAGTTATAAATAATATAGGAATACAAGAAATATAAAATTTGTAGACTTACATTTATGTCCTAAGAAGTTTATATAGGAATAAGTAAAAGTATCTGCGTAAAAAACAAAAACTCTTATAAAGATAACTTAGAAGTCACTCAAGAGCTCCTTTACTTCATCAAAAAGTTCTAAATATTTTTTATTGGAAGGTTTTCTTAAACTTGTTATGTATGGGTCAGAGGTATATAAAAGTGCGTGTAGAACATCTTCGTTAGTGGCTACCCTCGAACATTGTCTTGCATGATGAAGCCTGAACTGTTTATAGTCTTTGTTCCGTGACTCTTGAGCATCTTCTGAAAGTTACCCAAGAGGCAAGACAGAAAAAGTAACGTATCACACTTTCACAATGAATCAACACCTTGTGATTTTGGCGGATAGCAAGATTCTGTAACTTCACGAATCAACTTGTATGATGGAAACAATAAGCAATTCTTTGCTATCAAACAACTCATCATATTTTCATACTGTGCCTTGTTCAGATCCAATTCTACAAAAATGCTAAGATCTTCATCTTTTGAATATGCTGTTATATGTGCCGGTTCATTAAGAAGATTACTGCGTATTTTACTCTTTTTTTTGACGGCCATGCTCGTAAAATATCAACGATGAATGCTTCATCTACTTCACCACGTGACCTTAAACCCTGTACATATGAGTTCAGTATGAAATCAAGTCCACAGGTATCAAGCAGTCCCTTGTTTTTCCGTTTCTTTGTACTCTCTGAACTGTCATCGTATCTTTTAGAAGGTCTTCCTCTTTTCTCTGTCAAAGTAGAAGGTTCAGGTTCGCATGTAGTTTTTTCTAGATTTACAGTGAAAATGACATTAAACCAATTGCTATTTTGATTTAAAAACTGTTCTTTCTTTCGACCACATTTCGTATAGCGTTGACGAAACTGAGTTATGAAGGACTTCTAAATACTTGCGATAATTTTTGCTATATTCGCATCTGAAGATTCGGTAATATTATTTCGTACATAGTTTGAGATATAATCAATATAATTTGTATCACTTTCAACAATAAGAGACTTAAGTCGCGTCCGGTACACGAGACTTCACTCATTGCGGAGAGATAAGTAATTAACAATTGTTTAGAAATGACAAATGCTTATAAAGAACTGTAATATTTCATATGTAAATGCACTATTTTATACTTAATAATGATCATAGACGTGTGCAAAATTACTTGATTTAAAAAATTCATCATTATGTGGTTATGCGGTAAAGAATAGGTCTGTATGGAAATGGGAACTAAATACTGTGTGAAATACTTGTTAAAAGTAACGTAAAAGATAAAATATAAAGTAATAATTGAGACAAAAGTATTTTTTTGAGTGTCCAGACAGAGAATCTCAAATAAAGAAAAAAAAATCTTAATATACGTACTTAGAAAAAAACATTCTCACCATGATATTATACTAGATTTAAATATATTACGCAGTAAAACTGCAAAAAAAAATCTTTTGCCCTCAAATTACATTATATTTCCTAATAAATTAAACCAAAATCAGAACTTCGGCAAGCTTCGGCAACTGTCAAATCTCCAATTGAAAGTTTGAGAAAAGAAAATAATACATATAACGATATATGGATCTTTGGTTAAGTAATATTGTACTAAACTAAATATATTTTTATTTTATAGTAAAGTACACATTCTAAGCATTTTAAAATGGTATCACACTATATGACTTCTATTGTTTTGATACTATAAAATTATACCAAACGAAATTTAAGTTTCATAATTATTTTTGTATTTTTTTCATTCCTTGACTTTAGATGCTCTGTTTTATGAAGTATGAATAGTGATAGATTTGAATCATACTTATAATGATAGAGTAACTCGTTAGCTACAATTTGAGGTATTATACATGCATATCCACAGAGTTTTAGAAAAAGTATTTATGAGATGGCTTTCTTAGGCGAGTTCCCACTGTGCACCGGTGAGGGATGATAAGTGAGAATGAAAAGACATGTCAATTAGTCCATTGTGATGAATACAACTGGGATTCATCACAATGGTTTCCAGGAGGACTACGACGAAGATCTAACAGGATATATTGTTAGTAATATGATTGATATGGTAGTTCACATTACTAATAGTCCCTTCCTACCTATTATAAACGATTAAACAGTCGTTTTATATTGAGCTAATATTTATTGCCTGGAAGTTAGAGACAATTATATAAAATTATAACGTACTTAATTCCACTTATACCATTGTGTATATTTGAAGAATAACAGCAGTGAGACTATTTACTACTAAGTCTGCATAATTTTATTCCTTGTTTTTTTTTACTATGGCAAATATGGAGCAGATTTGAAATACCTGACAGCCACTTTGACAACCAATGTCAAAATTGTCCAAAGGACTAATACGCAGTCTTGTTTGTACTTTCTTTCATATTTGATTTTTATTCAAGTAAAACTAAATTAACTTTTCTTAATAAAAAAGGATTTAATAATCCTGATATTACTATCTAATCCATTTGGATTATGGCACGGGATAGAAGTCCCGATCGACGGCGATCGCGTTCCAGAGAAAGACGTGACCGGGATCGATACGATGATCGTGAATCTCATCGTGATAAAGCCAAACGAAGAGACAGGTCTAGGAGCCCTAGAAAAGATAGAGACAGATCCAGGAGTCCGACAAGAAAAGAAAGGGAACGGTCTCGTAGCCCAACAAGGAAAGATCGCGCGCGCTCTCGAAGTCCGAAAAAGCGTGAAGGTAAGGATAGACGAACTGACGAGAAAGACAAGAGCAAGAGTAAAAGAGATGAGGAAAACAAACAGGCGGAAGAGGAAATACAAGAGTCGAAAAAGGAGGAACCTAAACCTGTGAAACGAGAACCACTCTCTTTGGAAGAGTTGCTTGCTAAGAAAAAAGCTGAAGAAGAGGCTAGGAGCAAACCTGTATTTTTGACTAAAGAACAAAGAGCTGCTTTAGCACTTGAACGACGCCGGGAACAAGTGGCAGCTATAAGAGCAAATGTTGATAAACCGTCTATAACAACTATAGATTTAACAGGTCCTACAAAAAAAGAAGAAGATAAGAAATACAAAGAAGACAGAGATAGAGAAAAGGAACGAGAAAGGAGAGAAGACAGAGAGAGGGAAAGAAAATATGATGACAGAAAGTCCACTGGTGACCGGCGTGATGATAAAAAAGAGAAGAACGAAGAGTTTTCCAAAACGAAAGACAAAGAAAGAGAAGAAGAAGCCATAAAAGCTCGTTACTTAGGAATTGTAAAAAAGAAACGGAGAGTGAGGAGGTTAAATGATAGGAAATTTGTTTTTGATTGGGATGCTTCAGAGGACACATCAAATGATTACAATGCATTGTATAAAGAGAGACACCAAGTGCAGTTTTTTGGTCGAGGACATATTGCTGGTATTGATATCAAAGCCCAAAAGAAAGACCATAGTAAATTTTATGGAAATCTATTGGAAAAACGCAGAACAGAACTGGAAAAGGAACAAGAAAAGTTGCGTTTGAGAAAAGTAAAGAAAAAGGAAGACAAACAGAAGTGGGATGACAGACATTGGTCCGAGAAAGATCAAGATGAAATGACAGAGAGAGATTGGCGTATTTTCAGAGAAGACTACAATATTACAATCAAGGGTGGCAAAATTCCCAACCCCATTAGGTCATGGAAAGAAGCTGGCTTCCATAGTGATATTATGGATATAATTACTAAAGTAGGCTACAAGAGTCCCACTCCCATCCAACGGCAAGCCATTCCTATAGGACTACAGAATAGAGACATTATTGGTGTAGCAGAAACTGGTTCTGGTAAAACTTTGGCTTTCCTCATACCTTTGCTGACATGGATACAATCTCTTCCAAAGAATGAGCGTTTGGAAGATGCTGATCAAGGCCCATATGCTATTATACTGGCTCCAACACGTGAATTAGCACAACAAATTGAAGAAGAGACTAATAAATTTGGAGTTCCATTAGGTATTACGTCAGTTGTTGTTGTTGGTGGCCTTTCAAGAGAAGAGCAAGGTTTTAAATTAAGAATGGGTTGTGAAATCGTCATTGCTACACCAGGACGTCTAATAGACGTATTGGAAAACAGGTATTTAGTACTGAATAGATGTACATATGTAGTCTTAGACGAAGCAGATCGTATGATTGACATGGGTTTCGAGCCCGATGTGCAAAAGATCTTAGAATACATGCCAGTATCAAATATAAAACCAGACACAGATGCCGCAGAGGATGCTTCAGTTCTATTAGCCAATTACAATACAAAGAAGAAGTACAGACAAACTGTGATGTTTACAGCTACCATGCCACCGGCAGTAGAACGTCTAGCAAGAAGCTACCTTAGGAGACCAGCTATTGTATACATAGGCTCTGTTGGAAAACCAGTAGACAGAACTGAACAAGTTGTTTACATGATTGGTGAGAATGAGAAACGTAGGAAATTGACCGAAATTCTACAACGTGGTGTCGAACCCCCTATTATCATTTTCGTCAATCAGAAAAAAGGTGCAGATGTTCTTGCAAAGGGATTGGAGAAGCTTGGGTTCAACGCCTGCACTTTGCATGGTGGCAAAGGGCAGGAGCAGCGTGACTTTGCGTTGGCCAGTCTTAAGAATGGTTCTAAAGATATACTCGTTGCTACAGATGTCGCTGGTCGTGGTATAGATATCAAAGATGTGAGTATGGTAATAAATTACGACATGGCAAAGACTATAGAAGACTACACTCATCGTATTGGTCGTACAGGCCGTGCTGGCAAAACTGGTAAAGCAGTCTCATTTGTTACCAAAGAAGATTCTGCATTGTTTTATGACCTTAAGCAGGTTCTACTTAGTAGTTCTGTATCAACGTGCCCACCTGAACTAATGAATCATCCAGAAGCACAGCATAAACCTGGTACAGTGGTTACTAAAAAGAGGAGGGAAGAAATGATATTTGCTTAAAATGTCTATAAACATCATCTAACAATCAAGTTTTGTAGATACCTACTTTTTACTTGCAATAAGCAAACTGTTGTAAATGGTATAATAACAATTGTAATATTTTTGTTTTCAGGACTTTTATTATTATGATAAAATTTGCATAATATTGTGTACTGTTTAAAAAAATACCTGAGAGGTGTTTTCAGTCAGGTGTTCAGGTGGTCAGGTGTTCTCATTCGTCAACTACTTTCATAAGTCAAGTGTGCTCTCTTCTTCACACTTCACAAACCAATCGTATAAAATTCTCTAAGACTTTTTACGCTAGCAGGATAATTCCACAAAAATGCATGACTGAAAACATCTCAAATGAAATATTATTTTTATAGATGCAGCATATAATTATACCTCAATAAAATAAACTGAAGATGATTTGTTTCGTTTCAATTACAATATGTAAATTTTTTTATGCAATTTAATATAACAAACAAGCTGACCGCCTGTACCGATGGAAAGTGGTAACCGTTGTCTATAGACATAAACAGTACCATGGATAGACAGAATATACTGTGTAGCCCATAATAAGGGCTTTATGAAGTGTCTACGGTGCTATTTTTGAGAACTAAGATATACCTCTGTACCCTGTAATTTTATTAATTCAAAATGAATCGCAGCCATACAAACAACTGTTTCACGGTAGAAACACGAATGGGATAGATACCCAAGCAGACGGCATGTGCTAGTGTCACTATGGGAAATAATACTTCAAAATTTGTTATGTATTTTAGTTTATGTCTCCACTTTTTAAAAACTTAACAATGACATAATTAAAGGTAAACAGATGCAATGTAAAATAAATCTCACAATAATAAAAATATACATTTTAATTAATTACATTTCGTAAGTAATTTACACTGAATTCAACTAGCCGGTAATAAATAAGACGTCGCTAAGGGTGTAGTGGAAATGCGGTAAGAGTTCTCACACATTCACATTGAAGCTGGAAAAAAAAAGAAAAAACATTTTAAGCCATATAAATCCTGTGATGAAGGTTATGTGCTGCTCATTAAGGTAAATGAGCTCAAATTCATTATGTATCATGGGCGAAACAGAATACTCTGTTATATCCATGGTACTGCTTATGTCTATAGGCGACGGTTACCACTTTCCATCAGGTGGGCCGTCTGCTTGTTTGCCATTCTAAGTTGTATAAAAAAAAAGTTCGATGCAGTCGTATTACTTCTTTCTCATAAAAAAGTTTCTTTAAGGTTGGCAACGCGCACGTCACAACTCTACTTTTGCAGACTACAGTAATCATTGGTATTGGAACAGACCTGCTCAATGCTTGTGTATAAAAAAAGATGCGTACATTTGGCTCTGGTGTTTGTGAATACTAAAATGAAAGCTACTGGAATTAAAGTCTGATTTTGTACAGCTCAAAAGAAGTTCATCATAACCAGTCTTATTGATGTAAATCTTCGGGGATAAAATGGTTAGTTTAATTAATAATTAATCATAATTAATTCAACTCTGTTTAACATCTTGCACTAAGAGCCTATTATTATTTCACTAGTAAAATTTCATTAATTTACATAAAATTGACTGTAATATGATTTTTTTTAAGCAACTTAGAATGACAAACAAGCTGACGACCCACCTGACGGAAAGTGGTAATTATCGCCTATAGACTATTATGTCCATGGTACAGTATACTGTTTTACCTATGATACTCCACGTTGCCATTTCTGAGGACTCAGGTGTTATTTCTCTGTACTCTGTAAATTCACTGTCATATCCCACCCTTCAAATCGAAAGACAGCCATGCAAACACAACTGCTTCACGGTAGAAACACGAATAAGGCAGAGGTGCCCAAGTAAACGACTTTTGTACAAAGTCTCTCTCTGGTACAAAATGGTTCATTCGTACAAAGTGGTTATTTTGGCTGTTCTTTTATACTTACTGGGTACTCGGTCATCTACTTCGTCATTAAAGAAATAATCTGAAAATAAAATTAACAATTTAAGAACCAATAAGTAACTATAATTTAATGAGAGGAAAGGGATTGTTAATAATGGAGACTGAGAATCGCATTGCTAGCAATATACCCAAACAGGTCTACCTCCTCGCGGTTCTCCCTGGAAACTATTATGGTTAATTTCTGATGAATTCATCATGATGGGCTAACTGGCCTGTTTTCATTCTCATCTATCACCCTTCACTGGTGCTCCGCAAGCGTATACCGTTAGCGCAGGGTTACCATACCATTTTAACCCATCAAAAAAAAAACTATAATTTAATATCTTAAATCGTTAAGTGAATTTGGCTGTTGAGAACAATAATGTCACTAATTGATTTTATTAATGTGAAATTGATGTCTTAAGAAAATGTCGTGTGCGTCTGTTATTGGCGTACATGCAAGATGCAAATCTGTGTTTACACTACCGATGCTGATGTACCTTTTCAAAATACATATATAAATAGTTTGTATGTAGGTATATATTATTTAGTAAATAAAAATCATGATTCAACATTTCGAACTGAGTAGTAATCTAGGTTATGTGATAATTATGTACCAGTTTTTGCTCGCGACTTTGACCGCGTGCCCGGTATATGTTTACTAACCAGGATAAAGATTAGCCGACATCCTTTTCCATCCCATATAGCACGTGCATACCAAATTTCAAAGTGATTGTTTAAGCCATTAAGGCACTATAAGGAAACAAACTTATTTTCACATTTATAATATTAGTATATATTATTGGTATATTTGCATGCAAAAATGTTATGTAACATGTTAGTATCTATTCAATAGAAATATATGAAAATACACATAAAACATAAGCCAAGCACGAACATAAGAATTAACCAAAACACAAAATATGCCAAAGCCGATTCCATGCAGAGACCATGATCCAACACCTACACAAAATTGTACCTAAGCCTTCTTGTCTGAAGGTTTAGAATCGGCTGATTCCTTTGCTGGTGGGGGCATCACTGCTTGTTTCACTGACGACGCTAAAGAGACGGTCAAGTCAACGAATTCCGAGAAGTTTTTGGGCACAGTGAGCTCGGGGAATTTCACCTCGAGCTGTGGATCCCCAGGTTTCACTGAAGGAAATACAATTTTCTATACAAAACTTATTCGAGTAATAGGTGAGAATTAATACGACCCGTAATAATGGGTCATACTAATTTTAATTTGTTTAAAAAAAATGGCACCTGTATGATACCGGGAAGCTTAGAACAAAATAGTGATTTCAATATAAAACTAAAATGAAGGAAAATGAATTTAACCTTTATACCATTGCAAAGTGTAAACGAAATAGAGAATAAAGGGAAAGATATTAGTGCTCGTAATTCATAGGAAAAATATTCGTACTGCAATCTCCTTTTGTTTTAAAACTTTTTGGTATCATATATTTATGGAGAAAATCAAAGTAGAGGTTATTCTTCCTAAATGTTGGCTACAAATCAATACATACCTCCATATAAAAAGTTGTACGCAATATTTATGTATTGTTTGGCAAGTGCTCCATTGCTCTTCACTAGCTCTTTTGTTTCGTCTGGGAAACAAACAAATCCCATGGCCGTGGTGCTTACGCTCGCGTACAGAACCCTCTGAAAACATATATTTTTTTTATTTTAATTATTTTCTAATACAAATACAATAAGAATCCGAATTCCTTATCTTACCACTTCCTCATAGCTTAATCTACCTATAGAACTGGAGGGTAGAGTATAAAAAAAATTGTGTTTAAGTAAAAAAAATCCTATAGACATAAAAAAGTTTTGATTTCTTACTTTCATTTAATAACTACATATATATATATATATATATATATATATATATATATATATATATTTAATTACACTTATGTCAGTACACAATAAAATGGATTTACCAATCATTATGGAACTCTAACATGAGAGAGTAATGTGTGTTTATTATTCAATCATGCTTATACAACTGAATAGTTTTTTATGTTTTGTACATAGATGGACTAATACATAGTCCTGGATTAACACATAAGGTACGCGTGAAAAACTGCGAGAGCTCTATGTATTGAACTAGATCTATGTAGATAATAAAAAGATAGAGTAAGAAACAGTGTGATTAGATAGAAGTGTGGACTGAAAGACGATGTAGTGACAAAAATCGAAAAAGGAATGTTGCGTTGGTTTGGATGGATGAAAGAAGAATTACGAAAGAGGTTTATGGAGCAAGAATGAATGGAGATGTTGGTAGGGGCCGCCCTAGATGGACGTATGTTGACCAAATAGGCGACATGCTGAAGAAGGGCCAAATTAAATGTACCCGTAACCGGCGAGCGTGTATGAAAAGATTGATGAATGTGGAAGAAGCGAAAGAGGTTTGTTTGAATCGAAGCATTTGGCGTTCCATTGTTTCTGCCTACCCTAATGGGAGACAGGCGTGACAGATATGTATGTATGTATGTATCTATGTAGATATAACATGTCTTGTCCATGTATTTGGTACATACCAAAGACATAAACCTAATCATTCACTAGTGACAAAAATGATTAATTACCCTGATAAATCCACCTCTCAGTCCAAATATGAACCCTGTGAGACCGCCCATAGCCACGGCGCCATAGCGGATATCTTTATTTTCTTCCTCACGTAGATATTTTACTATCCCTGAAACATAAATTTAATATAACAATATAAAGCAATAATTAACTCTCTGGCCAGTATATATTAATGGGTAATATAATTTTGTCTTGACTAATGTCCTACATATTTTTTTTTTATGAAACAATGGGGAAAGACGGAAAAAGCAACAAGCAGTTTATTGATGTGCAAAAAAAAAACAAACTTAAAACATCTCTAAAGCCTGACTGCGGTTGTCAATTTGCCTGCCAAGTATGGTAACTACTGGCAAAACCCCCCAAAAGAGAAACTTATATTCAGCAGTGAATAGTGAAAGAGTGATATGACGATGATAAAACAAAAACAGTTTTAATAGTCACAAAATTATTATGGCAGTAAAATATAAAGATTACATGAAGATTTTTCTTTTGATCTACAAAGAAAAATCTTTCGATAAATAGCAGCTTCAATTGTGACTAAACGAGTAATGTAACAAGAAAAACACCTCATTATTGCAGTTGCAAAAAGAATTGGTTAATGTACACCTAGTATAGTTACTAAAAAAATATAAATTGATAATTATAATTTTGGTAATCAATTAAAATACTAACAATCTGTTTTATCCTGGAATTGGTGGTAGTTGTCCTGCACGGCGTTGGTGACGGACTCGGTCTGCGCGTACGCGACCTGCGCACATTCGCGCGCCGCCCGCACCGGCTGCTGCAGCGCTGATCTCAGATAGCTGCTCTTCTCTGAATTTTTCTTTGATTGGATGTATCTACAATAATATGTAATGTTAAAATAATTTCATTTAATATGGTGGTGTGACAAGAACTAACAAAATTAGTAATTACTTAGTAAACTAAAGTAGCACTTTTAAATTTTCTCTGATATACCAGTGATGGAAAAGGTAGTTATTCCGACTATTGGTATTGATATGATATGCATAAGATGAGAACCATGTTTTAAGTTTTCTAATATGCAAAGTATGCATGTGGATGATTATAAGGAGAAAGGCATGTAAAAAGACATGAATGGACTGTGCGAAAAATATGACCAGAATGGAAGTGAATGGAAGTAACTGTAAATAAAGAGCAATGGAAGAAAAAAAACATATTGAGATGACCCTAATAATAATTAGGAAAAGGATAGAATAGAATAGAAATAATCTTTATACAAATAGACTTGTTTAATCATTTAAATAATCAATTTTTATAATTATACTGCTGTGCTGTTATCTACAGATCTGCTGAGAATAACCTACTAAAAAACTCAACAGTTACTCTTTTCAAATTATTATGTACAAGATAATTTTACATTTGCATGGGTATTGTGACTATAATTGGAATCAAATCCTATGATATTAATGTAGGATGATAATTAAAATTATTTAAAATGAAAACTTTAATTTTCATTTTCAAAATGGCTTGAAAAAATAATCACATTCCAATAGAGAATCAAATAGCAATAAATATTTACATAACATACATTATATACAGTCTAATCAGAAACTTCTCCTTTTTAGTCTACTCAGTTACAAAATAAGTCACCTTGATGAACTGAAGTAAATATTAAAAATAAATTACAATAAAAAAAGAATTCAATCATGTTTATCATATTGTAAGTTACATAAATATATATTTATATTAATGCATTGTGCATATAAGAACCTTTGATAAAGACCAAAAGAGATATACTGGTCATGTAATAATTATATACTTACACACTGTTGTGAAACAAGCTTTCATCATTCATAGAATTATTTACATCAATCATTATTTGATAGATAAATATATCAAACTATTTATCAGAGAGATAGGTAACTTCTTACAGTAATTTTATTACTTTTGCATTGTATGATTTTATTTGTATTATTTAGTATATTTTATTTATAGAAAGATAATTCTATTTTGTTTATGTATTATAAAATTAAAATGTATCTTGCTGGAGGTATGCATATATAGCAACAGCTGAGGTGGCTCCTATTACCAGCAAAATATTATTTTTCTTTTTTATTGTTATTTTTGTCTGTTATTAATATTGTTGTTGGTAATAAAGACTATCTATTTAATATGTATATCCAATCAAATATTACTGCAGAAAATACTCTTGGATAGTCTGATTATATTTTACATAGAATTCATAGATTCATTATAATTATTATACTGAATTGTATAAAAATCCCAAAAGGACAATAAAAAAAATATAATACACACTGTTTGTAAGAACACAACATTTATATAAATCTTTAAGTGATGAATTTATTTATTGTCTATTGCTATAATATATAAACATGCGCAAACGATTTGCAAGTTTATTTCCTATTTCATTGAAAATATATATTGGATTGAACTATATAATCTAGGATGTTAACCCAAAAACTTACTCTGCATAATCTGCGTGTGGGGCTTCGTATATTGGCAAATCAGAGGGTCTCATCGGAGGAGGTTTTGCAGGCTCACCCGGTACTGGGGAAGCAGCACTAATAGTTGGCACCAGCGATACTAGGCCAGACCCGAACACCACTTTTCGGAGCATCTACAAAGTTACAAACGTAATGAATAAAATATATTACAAGAAATATATATGCAACGAAAGAAGGAAAAATACTGTGTTAAGAATAATACGTGCCTCTGAAGAGATGTTATATTGAAAAATTACATAAATATTATATTAAGATATATAAAATAGTAGGTGATCAGCTGCTGCTTGACAGCAACAATTGACGTTACGTAAGCTGTTGCCATTTAGAAATACAATTTATTTTATAATAGATTTTTTTATTTTATTATGGAATAAAGGTTATTGCGTGATTTTTGTGTCATAATAGAAATTGAATTAGTAATTTATATTTAATTACTTTGATAGCTTTCTAAGTATGTACCTACTGGCTCTTATCTTGTGGTTTTAAGAGCGTTCTAAATATGTGCCTACTAGCTCTTATCTTACATTTTCTTCATTTTTTAGCTATAACTTACGCCATTACATTTATCATTGACATTCATGTCAATGTCAATTATACTGTCATATTTGTCAGTGACGTTGTGTTTTATCGGTCGTGATCGCTCGCATTCGCAATTCGCATTGTCGTTCTAATGTGTTTTCTCATTTGTCTCTTTATAATTGTATATACTTCTTTTGAATTCGAAAGGAAATAAAAACTCAACACTTTTAATTGATATTATTATCTAAATAAAATCGTTCTACGTATTAGTGTAATTATGTGAATATTTTACACGTGTTACGGGAATGTAACTGCTGACAAACAAAATAATTGTGATTGTGAGTACAGATTTAGAGTTTACGAATCAATAAATTTGTTGTATAACGTTCGTATTGGAATAGTGAAATCTGGATTACGGGATGTCCGGCGTTAGGACCGGCAGAGTGGGTAAACATAGGAGAGGGCGCCGTTTGAGGAGTGGATCAGGTATGGTATCGCGTTGTGGCTTTTCATATTAGAATGCAGGTTTTCGCTTGAAAATATTAATTTCCAATAGATCTGAGCTTGATACATATTTAATCTAAAAATCTAACGATATTTCCCTTGTATCATGTCTAAATCCATAAACATATGTACTCATCATTATAGTATTTTTTTTTGTAATTTATAATATATTGTTAAATGTTTCTTTCAACTGGAATAACTTATAAATATCTGCAAATATTAAATAACAATAAGTAAAAATATTAATTATTAATTCATTGTTATATCATGAGATTGAATGTTTATTACTATAAACAAGTGTTATATTACTTTATCAAAGACAGTTATTATATAAACAAACATATTTATTTGATCAAAGCTCAACATGTGTATTGATATAAACATAACATATAATTTTAATAATTTATTAATAAAATACTACACTTTAGGAATACATGGTTTAAAGAAAAAAGAATAATTTTGATGGATTAAGACATGTATTATGGTAAATTTTAAATATTCTTAATCTACAAACTAATATTCATTTGCTGTTTACTCATCTCCATTGTTCTATTGAAGGTTATTTTCCAGGAGAGCCCTTAAAAAGTCACATATTTGCATTCAGTCTTTGTAAACCTTTGCTTGGAACCTGGGGCAGATATGTTCCACCTAGCCTCCCTTTAATATGCCTATGGTTATCTCAGATATGAATAATACAGTTTGCAAAAAAATTAGTAGAACACACCTTCCATATGGCTATATAGCAATGTATTGTAATCTGCAACTTTAAAATAGGTGTATGTAAAAAAGTCTGGTGCCCACCTCATCCGTAATGCACAAAGACATGTTTATATGTCATAATATATCCACACGTTATTTAAAAACCCTTCAGCACACCTAAAATGTCAGTTCTCAATGCCTTACATTCTCTTTACTGTATTACAAATATTTTCTGTCAACCTTAATGTCATAAATATAAGGATCAAATTTATAAACAATAGTTTATTTGACCATAGTGAAAAATAAAAAACATTTTGACCAATTTTTTTTTCATACCACAGAGTGTTTATTACACTCGAGAGGTAAAAAATCCACATCCTACCTGGCAAATAACCTTCAATATGCCAATGTTGACAATACTAACATGTAACTTGCATTGATCCAGGATTGTAACGTGCATGATGTGTATGAGAGTGACAATCTGTTGACTTCAGTCATCAACAATCGAGCCTCAACACCACCAGAGATATCTTTGGGATGAAATGGTATACTATAATGTCTAAACACATTACATTTTTTCAATTCATAGTTTTATCTCATTTAAAATACACACACACACATATAAAATCATGCTACTCTGCAAATTTATTTATTAATTATTATTATTTATAAAATCCAGTCTTCCTTTTCATAAATACATCATATATCTAATGAACCTAATTAGTTCTTGAAGAGAAAATAAAAAGTATTTTATCCTAAATATTCTATTTGTAAGAAGGTGACAAAATTCTCAAATAGTAAAAGTGGGTTTGTTTGTTTTACTTTTTATTATTAAAGTGGTAATTTTATATACAAAAAGTGCTTTATACATTGACTAGAATAGTGACTTTATACACTTATATATTTGGTTAGTGGATACCCCTAGATTTTACATAAGAAATAAAAAGAAATTTTAATAAGACTAAATTATTGTATTTTATATCAAATCAATTACCGAGTAAATATAAGAAATAGGAGCAGTTTGAAGGTTGTATAAATTCTGAACTAAACCAATTCAAACTATATTATAATATTTATAAAAAAATACTTCTATTTGAATATTTTTTTATTTCATCATATTTATGTAAGAAATTATTCTTTAATATAATAAATACACTGTATAAACTTAATGTTCACTACATAAATAATTATAATTATTTCTGTTTAACTATTGTTTTAAAAATAATAAAATGAAGCAAGAACTTAATGAAAACATTACATTGAAACTCACATGTTACTCTTTACAATTTGCACTATACTTATATACATACATTACTGTCACATATATATTTTAAAATATCTGGTCCACACACAAACAGTTCACATTTTATACATCTTGCATGCTTTGAATTTCGTTTTTGAATATTTAATATTAATTGCATGTGAAAAAACTTTATTTTAATTATATTTTAATGCTAATAGTTGCCTTAATAAGTATGCTTATTTATGGATTACTTAATTTAAGATTAAAAAAATATCTGATTTCAACTGTGGATAAATTATAATGGTACAAATAAAACATAAATCCTTTTGATTAAAAGAATTTTTAAAATTGCTTAAGATATACAGTAAAAAATTTACATTGCCCTGTAAAAAAAAATCAATTTACATTTTAACTAAATCAGTATGAGACCAACATGATATTACATTTTTTAAATAAAATACAGATAAATTAAAATGTATTCACAACTGGAAAATATATCATTTAATAATCTGTCAACAAAATTCTTTTTCTATAACATGCACTGGTATATAAGTTTGATGGCTCACTCATTGGAAGGTGCTAACTGTCACCTATAGACATGAACAGCATCATGGATATCACAAAATGAGTAAGACTGATATCTAATCAACCGCCCCTCATGCATTGCCATTCCTGAGCCAAATCCATATTTATGGACTATTAGCTAGAAGCTACTTTGTCTTCGTGACTGGGATATAAAGATAAAAAAAAATTAGAAACTTTATTTTACAAAAAATATACGACTACACCCACACAGGGGTCAAAAAATGATTAAGAATTATATTAAAGAAACTACACAAAAAAATATAAATAAAGAAAAAAATAAAATAAAAGAAAATGCGTATTATAACAGATAAAGTCACTTATTTGTACAATAATTCTTGGTTAGTGCTAGAATAGATAGTGACTAGGATAGAGGGATAATATATAATAACATTCATATGAAGAATCTCTTAAAATTTTTAAATAAAAAGAAATTTCGTAATTAGCCATAGACTGGTACTTCGCTTTTATATACAATACAGTAATGCACTTACACTCGTACCTATCTATGCACATTAGCTATTATTTGTATTATTGCTCTCACGATATAAGTATCTCTCGTTTACGTGGGAATCTTGGAGAAATTCTTTCTTAGCATGGACTTTTTTTGTGGACAGAAAATGGTAATCCTGCATGCATTGTCGGTTTATTTTGGCATAATACCAATGACTGATGATAGACGAGGGCAAGGTCAGGTTAATTGATCTATTGACTAATTCATCAGGAATTGACGATTTATTACAAGGGGGGCCCCGTAGAGGTCGGAAGATTGCTAGTATAGCACGGGCACGTCCATTAACATAACATTAGTAGTTTCTACGATTGGCAGGCGAATTGGCAACCGCAGTTTAGCTTTTGGTGATGTTTTAAGAGGGACGTTGCCCGACCCTTGAGTTTAACCTCTCTTAGTCGCCTCTTAAGACACCCACGGGAAAGGGAGAGGTGACCTATTCTATGCCGGAACCTACACGGCTAATAACATGGGCACTTGGAGATTATTATTGAAATAAAATTTTGAAATTTTAGATGTTATTTTAGTCCAGCTTCTTTCGGCATTGAAAAACCATGGAATTAATCAATCAATAATAAAAACTTTAATTTTTTTAACACAGTTTTTGGTATATTTAAAAATACACGGATGTGATTCATTTACTCAACTGTTACATGTAAAAATAGTATTGAAATTATATATGCAAGGTGAAGTTTACGTCACTTTCGGTCCGATTGACGCCACAACTCGAGTCTGTCAATGGCTCGTTTCATTACCATCATAACGCGTCATTAGTAGTAATTAAAACAGTTATTCAGCCATACAAAGCGTTGACGGTTGCTCCTCAGGAATTGTAAATGGATTTCACAATTGATGTGACCGCGACGGGGATGATGAGCGTGTCTATTGCTTTGTTGTTTGTATTGACCGCATATAATCTATGTACCAGCCAATATTTACGCTAGAGGACGTAGTAACGAAAATCCTATAGTTTAGTTTTTGACAGTTTCTAGCCGCCATATTTGTATTATGGAGTCTACAATCATCTTGCAGTCCACATAACTTGGTAGTTGTAATTGCTCTGTTTTTGCACTGACGGAATATAATATTTGTAGGTACTTGCAATATTTATATTGTTAATAAAATCCTTCTCTTCATAAAAATATTTTCGTTGCAGCTGTCAAAAATTAAATTAATTTAGTCTCGAAACGTTTCTGGCCTCCATATTTAATTAAGAGCGTCAATCGTCGTATAGCCTAAATAACGGAATGAAAACTCGTTCAATCCTAGAAATAGTTTGAAAGCGTCATGGCCCGACTTCTAGAACGCAAAGGTCTTGAGCTTAAATCTGGTAGACACCGGAAAGTTGTTGACTTTAAATTTCCGACTAATCCATTAATGGAAAATACCGATAACAAATTAAATTACTCTAAACCATGGTGGTAACATCATCAGCTGTGTTGGGTTCTTGCGGGCATGTCGAGTATTACCTTCACCACAACAATAACAGTCGACAAATGCGTATGTCGACATTTACCTATTAGGGATTACGTGAGTATATGTTTTTTTTTTCAAATAAGTCAATTCTAACGACACTTTATTTATTAAAATCACTTCGGATAATTGTAAAGTTACCAAAAAAAGGTTTCATTAAAAATAAAAAGAATACACTATTTTATTTTAGTTTCTTAGAAAAAAATTGTGAACCGTTGCTAAATGGAATCACAAAGAAACTCGTTCTAAAAATAGCATTTTGAAAGAAATATAATAATTTAAGTGTATTCTCTTTTAGTAAAAAAAAAAAATTGTAAATTTGTAATTATCAAATTCCTGCGAGTCGTTAGTTAACTGTAAATGCATACATAATATGCATACAATTGATAACTCAGGTTAGGAGAAAATCCTGGTTATTTAATTTTATACCTATCACTCCGTAAATAATAGGTCTTATTTAACAAAATATTTCTC